CTCGAGCACAGATTCTCGCTAACTTGGATCTGAGATGGCACATGAGCTCGGTAGGTACCGAGGTGCCAAGAGGTGGAGGGGGAGGGAGGGGGAGAGGGAGAAGAGATTGGATCTGAAATGGCACATGAGCCCGGTAGGTACCGAGGTGCCATAAGATGGGGTGGGAGGCGGAGTTGATGAGAGTGGTTTAGAGAAATCTTAAAAATTTTTTTGTTGCTGAGAAAGTTCTCCTCATAATAGGATTCCCCTAAAAATTCTAGAATTAACTTTGTGACATGTGCTATGCCTTAGCAGGCAGTCAATTTGAGCAGATGTCTCAAACATTTTTCGCCCGGTATATGGAGGAAAAAGTATTAGATATTCATCACGAACAAATGAAAAATCATAATAATTCATTCAATAATAATTCGGAGAAAGTACTTGATTAGCATATCCTATTATTTCTGAATATAATTAATTCAACTATCCCATGAATGACCCTGCCGATTGACATCTCATCGGCATCGGCACTCGCATCACACACCGCTCGTTTCCCCCCAGCCTCGTGATAGGCGCCCAAAGTCTCATCCACTTGGGTTGCTGTACATCCCATTCTAATTGGCTTGTGATTTAGTACCCTATGTCTCACCGGCCGCTAGTGACATTCAGCAGTGGTAGGATGTCAATGGATACGGTGTAGGCGTGGGCTCACCATATCCCCGTTGACGACCCACTACTGATGAATTCGCAGTCGCACATGACGTGTCCCTCAGTCCGCCTCGTCTTGCAATTTGCTCGCCAGTTCCCTCCTCAAGGGGGGCCTGGCTTTGCTGCTTCGTGCTCTATTCTGCTTAGATTTCTGGCTTGGCGTTTTTATGTTACTGAGTCGTCTTGGGAGCTTACGCCCTTTCTCCATCGTCTTGCGCTGCTTTGTCTCCCTGACACCGCATACCACATTCTGACTTCCCTTGTCACCTTTGTCCACGCTTGACACCGCATCCCTCTTTTCAACTGGCTTACTCCCTTTTCCTTTGCTTCGTCCTCCCTACTTGCTTGACACCACTTCACTCTTGCCTAGTCGCTTACCCCTCTTCCCCCCCCCCGCTTCCTCACATTACACCTCATACCCCTCTCATTGCTCTTCGTCATCGCTTCGTGCCTCATACCCATTTCTTCGCCATTTAGTGCCTCCTACCCATCATCTCTCGCTCTGCCTTGGCTATCCGTACCCAATATCCTCTGCCTTCTGGCTTGACGCCACATTCCCCTCGACTTGCCTTGCTTCGCCGTATTGTAACCTATGCCCTTCGCCTCTCTTCGCTCCGCTGCATGGCGCTACATGACCTCATGGCGCAAATGGGTTTTAGCCCGATTGCCATTTCCGTACACCTCTTCCCGATCGGCGGAAGGAGGTGGTTTCCGAACCCATAGTGTAAGGCCCAATCGTTCGGGAAGTGAGCCCGGAAACTGCCTCACCGCCGTTTTCTGAGCCCAATGTGTTCGCAGAAGCGAATGCCCTCATGAGCCCAGGAGTCGTTCTTGGGCGTGGAGACCGTGGAAATCTCCTGGATGGAGATGTCGTCTGGTCTCGGTGAAGATGGCGTGAGCCAGCCTCCAAATTACACCTCAAGCCCATAAAATTATTGGTTATTTTCCTATGTATAAATTATTTCACTATGTAAAAATTATGGGTGTCCAGAAGAATGTTGAATAAATTCTTATTGTCCGTGGATTTATTTGAATTTTAATGCTGCAGTGACTGAATAGACCAAGTTAGCGAGAATCTGTGCTCGAGCACTGGGGCTGTAAGAGAGCTCCAGGGTTTTTTTTTTTAGAGTTGAATAGAACACTTCTGCCAGCTCATAAATTCATAGTTCCTCCATCCTGCTTATATAATCCCTCATTGTATAACATACCCTAACATAAGAAGGAGATGTTTGAGAGAAGCTGTGTGACAGCTTCGAGGATTTGCGTCCCTGCATCCTCGCCCTTCCACACCTCTAAGTACTGAAGCAGTACCGGGGATCACGCAGTTGGCGCACCTAGCGGGTATGAAAATAATTTTTGTCGTTTCCTTTGTAACGCTGCATTTTGTTTTTCCATGTTCCGAGTGGTATACTTTTGGCGCAATTTGGACAAACTTGGGGGTGGCGGGGTGCATTGACCTTTTTACCTCCGGTGGGTTCGGCGCCAATGCTCTGTGGCACCTTTCTGCTTATCATGAACGCAGCCATGAAGCCTTTATCTTGAGAATTCCTATCTTCCACGCCAAGTTACTCGCTCACTTCATCATGGTCTTCGTCCGGAGTGTGTGGAGGACGCATTCTGTGATAAGGATGGCATCGAGAGGCAGGAGTGCGTGTCCCAGGTTCAGTGGAGTAATGGTAGCACACCTGACCGGCAATCAGGATCGGGTTCAATTCCCGGCAGTCCCCTGGCTTTCTTTCGTCCGATCTCGCCATCCAGCTTTCCTTACCATCAACTCTTCACGTCACAATTCCCATTCATGCACGTCACTGTGTCTCTGCCTTCCTCGGCTCCTCGTTCAAATGGACCCGGATGAAGATTCGAGATCGAATGAAACCATTTTGTGACTTTAAGTCAGAAATTTATTTCATTCACCACGGTCTCTCCTCTCCCCCCGTGCATTCACAGACACGAGATGGAAAAAAAAGGGAGGGAGGGGGAAGAAAGGAATGAGAGCTGCCACACGTGGGGAAAAATCAATGAATGCACTTTGCCCTCTCTTTTTCTCACTCTGTCATGGGAGAAAGGGAAATATCAAGGTCATATAAGTCACACACCTTACAATGAGATCAGAGGAAGACATTGACAATGCAATGAGACAAAAAAATAAAGAGATTAAATGTAAAGACAGCAAAATGGTGATGGGGATTATAAATGCATAATTATCCTCCCACGGTTTTCCAATACTTGCGATAAAAAGCAGGTTGTGAGTTGGCTTCCTCCTTATGGCACCACATTCTTCGCCTCCATGGACAATAATATCGTGAAAAAGGCAAGGGAGAGCAATAAGAACAACTGGACACTGAAAGAGGACATTGGAAAAGTCGTTTTTGAGCAAATCCCATTTCTGTAAACAGCAAACACCAAAATGCAAAGAGGAAGGAAAAACAACTTTCTTCCTTTTGTGCACTTGCACCGCAAACATCCGTGCATTCACGTCGACAATACCATCACGTAAAAAGAAATAAAATTAATACTCATTTCGTGTGTATATAATAATACGGAGCGGTGTACCGTAGGAGAAGAAGAATATCACATGAAAGAAAGCCTCTCAGATCAAGCTTCAGCATCCCCGGTCATGAGCTGATGGACCTGGTCCAGTCGGTGGGCCAGACGCTGCCTCTGTGAGAATTCATCTTCCTCCAGAGCATACCTCAGCTGATCGCTGTATTTGAAGGCGTATGCGTACAGCTCATGGATGGCTGCATTTGTGTTGAATTCGCTCGAATGCATCTGTACGAGACATCAATCAAATGATTGGAGTGGCTAGCTCCTAGAGAGAACTAAAGAATATAGTGGATACAGTTAACTTCTGAAATCTTAAGTTAGCCTAAATTCTGTTGTACCCATACTTTATGCCTAAAGGTGGTTTTGAAAAACTTAATAAAAATAAAGCTTACCTTTACCCTGCCTCACATCTAACAAGGAAGATGCAAATATTTTTTGTTGCAGAAATAGGAAATTTCCAAAGAGATGCATACGAGAGCTGTTGACTTCTTTCCACCACACCAAACTTTGAAAGGAAGAAGATGAAAGAAACTCACTCGAGATTCCTCAGCTAGCATGGCACTCATATCCTGATCCGAGATGGCAGGCATGGTGGCAATATCGGCATAATACCGCTCCACCCAGTCTCTGTAGACGGGGATGTCCTTGGCATAGAGGAGCTTGGAGCTTGGACTGTCTTTTCCTGTTTAAGATATGGTATGTTATTAATAAGTATTGGATGCATGGTCTCAAGCAAGGCCAGCAGTATTAAGGAAATGCATATAATCATTTTCAGATTATGTGATTCAGATCCCATTATGTGATCAGGTCTACCAACAATCTCAAGTTGCAGATCATAATAAAAAAATCATCTTGCATATTGACAACCAATCATTTGAAAACCATCTCTAAAAACTTTGAATTCTGTGCCCATGGTGGTCTAGTTATCAAGTTACCAAGGACACTAACAGCTGACACCAGCATAAAATCAAAGTAGTAATATGCACTCATTACTGTCAAATTGCATACATATATTCCTTCAAGCTGCTGCAATTCTCTACATTTTAGGAAGTATTCATTCACAACCATGAACACCTCTATTGAGGATACTTGAAGGGGTACATGACTGGATGAAGCTGTTGCAAAAAGTATCTCAGGGTGGCCTGGTAGCCCACTAGCGACAAAAGTCTGATTTCATCATAAATTCTTAGTACATCATGTTGTTTCTTTTACACTCATTGCAGACAGTAGGAATACGGGAAAGTAGGATGGTATCAGATATGGATAAGAACAGATCAAATAATACTTTGCATAAAATGATCAATAAAATTAATAGAAATTCTGAAACTAAAAATCATTTATATCGGAAAAAGTTTACAGGCTTTAAAGCTCCATTCCCACAGCAAAAGATAAAATCTGAAAAGTCCCAATAGCAAATGCTAACAACTTTCTTTAAGGAAACTTGAAAAAAAACCCACCCATTTTAACTTTTTTAAATTATTAACCTGATTGAAATCAGCAAACCCTCAAAGTAACTTAATCTTGCAAAAATGTAATATGCCAAACTAAACATAAAGAAACTTGCATGCCTCATAGCTCAAACAGAGAGACACGTCCTCTTTCTCTTCCATCAAGGTTATGATATTCAGACAAAGAGCAGGACCTATGCCTACCTAGTCTATGGTCAGAGGTGGAGCAGGAGTCCATGAATGTCTGGGCAACAACTGATAGGCAAGAATCCACTGTGTGGCTCTTCTGGATGTCAAACACAAACTGAGGGTTCTTGATCAAGTTCACCCAAAATCGCAGTGGCAAGCTGAAAACAGAAACAAGCAAAAACATGTCTCAGGTAACAGAGTATGCACAAAGAGAAGAAACAGATGACGGCCAAGGCATGGGCATACCTGTTGCTCTTCCACGTGTGAACAATCTCAGGATCAGTTAAGCCATGTTGCAATGCCTGATCATCAAGGAAGTCAAACAGATACTTGATGGCAAGTGGGAGTGCTGATCCCCGATGGGCTATGCTGAAGATCGTCTCAAAGAGGTCATCTACATACTTCTGCAGTGTGATCTACAATGACAGATGGCAAAATGAGAGCACATCTTAGTTCTGGCTGTGGGATGCTTTTGAGACAGTCACAAATCTAGAAGGAACTGAGAGGAGTCAGACCTTGGTTGCAAGAAGACGGGTGAGGTAGATCTCGGAGACCATCTTGTTACCTCGATCGTTCCCTTCCTTGTCCTGCTCTGAGTGGCGGACAAGGTGCCACGTGCGAAGGTGGGGATTTCCACCCGAAGACGAGGAGGTTCCCATCCCGATCCCGAGGCCATCGGGAGACTCGTTGTTGAGGGGAGAAGTGGCTCGTGACATCGGGGGACTAGGCATCTTTCCAAGTGGAAGATTCAATGTCTCATACTTATGCGACTTAAGAGTCTCCAACTGGAGGGTGCTTGCCAGATTGTAAATGCTGCTCTGCTTTGGGATGAGGGTCAGAAATGCACCATCTGGGACCTGCAAGCACAAGGTTACAATAGTACTACTCAATCACATTGGAAGAAAAAGGTAAAAAATCTAGAAAAAAAAAATAGGAAGCAACAAACTCGATAGTGGAAGAGTGTGTTCAGGCGTTTCCAGCTGTTTTCAACCTTGCTGGTAGAGTCTTCATCATATAGGATGAGTCGCCCTGAAGTCCCTGTTCGCCACTCTGTGATCATACAACAAGCAATCACAACCTCATTCATTATAAGACATAAGATGGCAAAAGCCATCTAAAACAGTCACCAAATGGGCTAGGTTAATTATAGATCTGAACTCAATTAATATGAACCTGAACATAGACAATAGGCAAAGGATTTTGACTTTTCAGTTTATTATACTCATGAACTGATTATTCTGCTTTACAACCCACAATCTATTATTGTTGGTATAGGAAAATGGTACTTGACTTCCTGGTTCCAATAAAAGGTTCAGATAACCTAGAAGCTGCTTTTAGACAACATGAAAGGAAGCAATATAAATTGCAAAATTAGGCATTTTTTGTAAGAAGTTTGGAAGGTCCTATCTATTGGCCAATTATGCACAGAAAGCTTTTCTGTTCAAGCAAGTAATATATTGTTCTTGTCAAATGTCACCATAACTTTGGCAGTTGACCCAATCAGAAGTCACTGCCTCATTGGACCCAATTCAACAGGTGAGGGAATTAGGTTTTGACGTTAGTAATTTCTTTTCTTCTTATTTTGAGCCCAAAGCTGTTTCATATTTGCTGCTTGAGTTATTTTTTTGGCTAGACAGCGTATCTTCCAAATATACAACAAAGAAACAAAATTATGGATAACATGTAATTAATAGTAAGTAAGAAAAATTGTCATACCAAGATCCAAGTCCTCCTTAGCAGGACGCTGTGAATATGGGGTACTCTTATAGATGGAATCCAATGCTTTGTCCTTCACTTGCGAGATTGTGTCACAATCCAGGACCCTGACCTGGACCTCCATGTTGTCATGCATAGGCTCAAGCCCTCCAGCAACATACAACGTCTGAGGGGACATGGACACATACACCGTCTGCAAAAGAATAAAAATATTAATCACATAAAACAATAATAAAGGATGAAGAGGGAGAGAGAGAGAGGGAGAGAAAGAGAAAGAGAGAGGGAGAGGGAGAGAAAGAGAGAGGGGGAGGGGGAGAGAGAGAGAGTAAAAGGGAGACATGGAACATGAAACAGACCATGGTGTTGAATTCCACTGTCTGTCGGATGAGTTTCTCCTCAGAAAGAGAATAGCGAGCCTCAGCGGTTACTATATCTACAGGTCCTTTGTCAATCTGCTGCTTCATGGCTCGATAGAGGAGGAACAGGGGCTCCCCTGCACATTCCCGCAAGAACTTGTAGAGGAGGAATGTGAACCAAGCTGAGAGCATCTTCTCAGCCACACTCTCAGTGCGTCGCAGGAGGAGTTTTGGATGGGAACGGCCATCCATGCATCGTTCAATGAGCTCAGCAAGGAGGGTCTTGAGGACGTCTGTGCAATATTCCATCTTCCCTTGGAGAGTGACCATGATGAGAGATGCTACATTGACACGATCCCTCATTGAGAAATATCGGTTGCTCTCCAAGGCTCGAATGAAGAGCAGTAAAAATATCTTGTTCATGAGAAGCTGGCCAAAGAGACGCAGTCCCTTCTCTCGAGTTTCCACATCGGGGAGCTCTCCCCGTAGACGCACGACCGCGTGGTCCTCCATGTTGGGAAATAGGATCTTCATGGCATAGGAGCGGTAGTCAAGGAACGGAATCCCTCCGCATGTCAGATCTGATGTCAGATCTGTGATCTCAGTCTGCAGCTCAGCAAATGCTGAAAATAAATTATAGGTAGGTAAGACTTGGAGTCTAACCCCATGAATACCACACACAGTCCAACTTCCACTTGCTACATCATCACCAATCTTTTTCCCAGTCAGACAGTCAAGAAAAAAAAGGCAATTTGGGAGATGGGGTGACATTGTTGCTAAACTTTTCTGACTGGAAACATCTCATTTTCTTTCATACCAATAACCATTTAAATTGGTCAGAATTTGTTTTACTGTTTTACAGTTACTTTCCAAATTACACAGGCACCTCAGATGACACTTTGTTCTACATCACATTTACAGTTGAGAAACTCATCTCTTTTTGTATAAACTCTCCATATCAAAATCCATCTGAAGGCATAAAAGTTCAATCAAGAAGAAAAGGTGATCAAAGTAGCCTATCAGAGTGAAGATGAGAATGGTCCTGATGCATAGGTCAACAATATCTCCAAGGATATGGCACAGATCGCTTTAGTAAATTTAATGAGGTCTTTTATTGGGGAAAACACAGGGGAAACCTCCCATCTTTCTAATTCTCAAGTCCCAGCCATGCAACCCCAGCAATGTGAAATACATGGCACATCTAGTGCATGAAATGGGTCTGTAACTGATGTGTCACCAAACTCCAAGTTATTTTGGTACAAGGACCATGTGATGACAAAATGCTGCCTTCAGTCAGGAAATCAGAATGCAAAAAAATGATAGTATCTAATTTGCCTGGCTCTCATCAGAATCTAACACAATCTATTAAAAAAACATTGACTATTACTCCCTGCAATTAGGCGCTTGACTGTCACCACCTCAATAATCCACTTTTGATTCCAGGTCTTGTTCAAGAACAAGCCTCTCCTTTTTAAAAATATTCTCACAAGTACAAACAAAAAAAAGTTTAGTTGTATGGAGAACTATTCATATTTAATTTTCAAGGCTGACAGGGAGAGATAAGAGGAAGCAGAACAACCCCAACAAATAGGGCCAGGAAAAGGAAAAGATAAAGAGGAAGAGGATGTCGCAGATAGGGCTACTACTTAAGTCTACATGCTGTGGCCAGTCCAGAGACTGAGCAATGACAAAGAAGGCACAAATCTAAAACAGTGTGCTTCTGAAAATCTTCAGATGGAGCAGTGAATTATTCAGACTTTGATGTAATGCCATGCAAGCATGAGGTCTGGAAGCACACCTCACCAATTTAAGAAATGGTGCCCCACCTCCTCCTGGTGCGTTTTTTCTCAATATGCCTAGCGCCTTAGCCTTTCATGAATCATACCATACCAAATTGACTTGTTATAAGTTTGGTACTAGCTACCATTACCAATAGCTAGGCCTAATTCATAAGTTCCTTACTGATAGAACTCTTAGATCTCAAGTGTAACCCAAAGCCTCATCTAATTCAAGCTAGGGAAACATTTAAAAAAATCAAAGCAATAAAGAGAGCATAGTGCTAGGCTAAAACTGCTGTTCCAGAATAGTCAGATGGAAGGAAAAGCCTGAGATTCTTAGTAAACGGTGGATCAGTCACTATTTGCTATGACCTGAATGAAAGTTTGAAAGTTCTTACTTGAAAAAAGGAAATGGCAAGGAAAGAAGCCAACACCTTGAAGTGATGGATGTGTGAGTTAGTATTCCCAAGAGGAAAAACCATTGGCCTCCAATTTATCAAGGCAGCATGATGCAGAATAAGTTATGTTTCATGTACCTTTCCTCAGAAAATTAACAACCTCTCCATGCCAATGCTGACCAGAATGAAGACCACTAGGCTGCCCGACAATGTGATTCTAGTAAGCAATTCAGCTTTAAGTCTTAGTTTCGAAATAGAATAATCTTAGCCACTATTTCTGCAATTCCAACTGATGACAGCAATTTACCAGTTAGCAGTGTGATCGCATGAAGCACAACACATAGCACAGTGATGCACTATAATATCATTGTTGTCCTATTTCCCTATGACCCTAAAAGTGACAAAATTGTGCATTTGAACAAATGTGGTTCAGCAAGAGAGCATTAGCATTGGTTTATGAAGTGATTCTAGTTTAAAGGTGCTGCTTTGAGTTATCCACACAATTTCAATCTCAGTTTCAGATGTAAAGTGAAGATCAATTCCAGTTGACTGAAATTCAAGCCAGATCCAATGGTACCAAACCACACTGCCTCTTGAAGTCACTAACAACTTTAGTGTAAGAGGAATAAAGTAAGGGGGAGCAGAGAAATGATACATTCCACATCAAGGAATGTCATGACATCCCAAAAAGTTCAATGAGACAAAGACACAACCAAGAAGCCAAAGAAGAATCTGTTGATATCGAGGAAACTTTACGTTTTATCTCCAGGTAAATGGAAGAATGTCCTCAACAGGTGATCCGAGTTAGCAAGAATCCACTCTATACTTTACCATTTGACCCCCAAGGATAAATGACAATCCTATGATGAAACATTCATCATGTCATATCAGAAATTTGCTCATATAGACAATGTTGGTCAATGAAAATGCATATTCAACCAAGTCACAATTCCCCCCCCCCTCATTATTTTCCTGGTGTAATGAGCCAAAATAACCATATTAAGGATAGGTTAGATAACAGTAAGTTGGCTGAAAGGTTTTCTTTTTTGCATTGATGAACAGGAATTAAGAACTTTTTCACTGCATGACACTCTAGCCATATTAACTGAATATGCAGTATCTACTGTACAGGACATGAGGCTGGCTTGACGAGAGTGGGATATTGCTTGGAGTTTCTGTTACATCATCATCTGAAAACTTCAGTCATCTGGTGACCGTACTGGACTTCTAAACAACTCTCATGAGAATCCATTGGTTAGTACATCAGGTGTTTGCTGATCTATTAATTATCTCTAACAGGAATCAGGACTTTATGACATCTTCTTTGACTACCATCACTCTAATAAGAGTGATGGTAAGCAAAGCTTACCCCTTTCACTGGCAAATGGAAATTTAAATCTCCAACCTCCTCCTGGAGGTGCCATTGGCATCTCATGGGTGTCAGGAGATGCTGATACCAGTGAAAGGGTCTAGCAAAATTATTCTCCTATGTTGTACCAATGTGCTTTCTTAGCACAGATTATCACCATTCCAGATATGGAACAGGATATGCAGAGACTGCATGATAAATACAGCATGTGACACCATAATCAATTAACATGTCTATCTGATCTGAAATCCTAGCCTGAAACTGGACATTCTGGAAGGACCCAATTGGAAGGCAGAAGCAATAGTGAAGGCAATTTGATGGCATACCCTTCTGTCATCTGATGGCAGCATTGCAACAAAACTAGGACGAACAAGGAACTCTAAATCCAAGGAGATGGAAGACAATTGCAGAAATGACAAGAAAAGCCTGATTTTCCTTTGTTCCATTTTTTCCCCAATGCCATTGCCCTATGCTCATTATATGTTCATTCCTCAATTTTATGCATGTAGCATCACATGAACCCCATCAGCTTCATTTCTTTTCTTCCTTTTCATGCTGTTTTGAAACTGAAACTCAGCAAGATGGTGCCTTCTCATTACTAATGCATCATCACTGGTCTACCAGTGATGCATAGGACCATTTCTCCATGTTCCCTTCCCAAAATGATGAAATAAATGAATGAAACCCTTCCCCCCAATACCATGCACTGTCACCTCCAAGACAAAAGGTGGTGGGGCCTTGCCAAGTTGCTGTCCTTCTGTTTGATATTATAGCAATTACCTTCATGAACATCCTCACAAAGCTGAATGTAGCTTTAAATTTGGTGCAGGAGAATTTTGAAATGCAGGGAGAGCCACACATATTAGAGCCCCCCCCTGGTGTTATCAACCTCTTTCCTTCACCTGTCTCCAAACCCCAAAAAAGAAAACTGTGGCCGACTCATCAGAGACAGGAAATCAATAAACACTTGGAGGAGGCCACTCTTCTTTGTAATTTACATGTGCCTCCTTGTTAAATCTCCTATCTCAATCTTGGATTATTTCCCCCATGCTTACAACATGACTCAGACATGAAAGAGCTAATTGGTTGCATCTCACTTATCATGACAGACTCCTATATTAGAAAGAGGCAAATCATTTCATCTCCCCAAGATAAGAATCCAGAGAAGGAAGCAGCAGGGAACAGAGACACACATATGTGCAAGTTGGATCTCTGGGTTCTGTGAGACCCAGTGGCTTCATCACATGTTAGAATCCCTCCCATACCTGATCTCATCCTATCAAATGCATTCCATCTTCATCATGTGTCATATCAGGCAGTCAGTCCTGGGAGATTGCCTTGTATTTTGCACTCATTGAGTGACCACTTGAATTGTACTCGTATGTTCAGAAAAAATTCATTCCAAGTATGAGATGAATCTCTCATTGATATCAAGAAAATATACACTTGAAGAAAGTGCCTCAGTGACATGCATGAGCAGGAGAAATATTCTTGGAATGTCTGAAATTTTACAATTTTTTTTATATAACAACCCAATCAGAGCTTAACACCTCAACTTCCATGCCCATTCATGACTGATTCCTCTTGACTTGATTGTCATACGTGCTATCTCCAGCAGCCTTGTGATATCCACATATCCTGCTTTCTGACAACTTCATTGAGGCCACCCTCCAGTGATTGTGAGAAACCAGTATTTAATAACAGTCATCTCTCTTTGGTGTATTTCCTATCAATTCCTCTCCACAGAAGAAGCTTTTCTTCATTGCACTGCTGACCACCTGGCACAGGACAGGGGGGTAGACTGACCTTCTTTGCACTCAGCAGCAACTTTGAGCTCAAGGACATCCATCTGTTCCTGCATGGATCGAAGGACACGGGCACTCTCTGAGCTCTTCCTTCTGTACATGATTATGATGCCAATGACTATGAGGATGAGGATGACACCGCCGACAGCCAGGCCGACCAGAGCACCCTGAGGCAATGGTGGTGCTAATGTTGTGCCTGATGAGTAACTCAGGCTCCCCAGTCGATATGTTAGGTTCCCACCAACGATCACCTAGAGTTGTGACAAATGAATTCATTCCTTAGTTTCTTCTCATTAAAATTGTACAAACCAGCCCACAACATGATAGAAAACTAAAGGTTCATTTAATAAACATACCACAACTTGAGGTAGGGAATGTGATTGGTCAAGGGGAGGAGGTTGTTGTGGAGGGGGTTTGCAGGTCAGCTGATTGCGGGACAGAGACGTCACCTTGCATTCCTCGTTTCCTATCCACACCTTCACATCAGACTCTTGGCATGCACGATCAAGGTTCGCTCCCTTTGAAGAGAAAAAACAAGAAACAAGCATGAAGAAGGCAGCATACTGAAACAAAAAAGGAAAGTCCAGAGGACAGAGACTCACATTGATGGTGAGATAATCACTCTTATAATATTTGATGTCTTCAGGGAATTCCTGATACACAGGATCCGGATACAACAGAAAATGGTCCATATCTCGATTGGATGAGAGATTCTGGACTGTTGTCACATTGTCCATAATGAATCCAAAATCTAACTCCAGAGGACGATCTCCATCAAGATGACCTTCCTCTCCATCCTCCAGCTCCTCCATGGATCCAATTCGGATCCATGGACTCCGACACCTCATCATCTGTGCACTTTCCACTTCACAGGGCTGGGAAAATGTAGCATGAAAATACTTATTTTACAATCATAAGGAGACAAAAAAACACATGGAAGAGCAGCTGAGGGCAGACTCACCCGAGAGAATCTCTGGCCATTGTGCCAAACATAGAAGAGTGGTTTTTGGATGGCATCAAGCCCTTCCCCAATGACAGTAATTCCAATGCCGCCCGAAGGAATGCCACGGGGGATCTTCACCTGACTCATTGGCCCTGAATGAACTCCAATAACTTTGGGATCTTGTACATACTGGTATGTTCCATCCTTCCTTTCCCCGTCATCAAAGCGGACTCTCACAGGAGCCTTCTTCAGCTCCAGAGAAGATGATGTCTTGCAACGTACCTCCTCCCTCGATTTCCTTCATTGGATCATACAAAAGGGTGCATACAACTACCCTTTACAAGGACTATAGGATGCTCTAGCCCAAGGGTGCAAAACATACAGCCCACTGGCCGCATGTGGCCTGTGAGGTCCTTGCTTGTGGCCAGACATGACTGGCAACATTGTAAGTGTTACTCTAGCTCCTGCCCTGTTGGCTACAGCTATGGTCAGCCAGACAGCGGCCCACAGTAAGTGAGTAAAAGTCACAAGTGGCCCTCACAGTCATTTGAGTTGTGCACCCCTGCTCTAGCCTATTAATCCATTCTGCATATAAGCTGTGACCTCTCCAAGAATGGTACAAAGCAGACTTGCTCTTGAGCGGACTTGAACAGCATCTGCTTTCTGTTGAACTTCTTGTTCACTTCTGTTAAAGTTCCTTATGTTTACTATTTTTTCAAATGACTATGACAGATAAGTTGATGAATTGACTGAAGGAAGAATTCAATAAATTTCATTAGTTTTCACTAGCTGTGTTCAGTAATGTATTAGCCAAAACTATAATCAGAGGAGGAATATAATTTTTTAATTTAAAAAAGCTAGCATCAGCCAGAGCTAATACATTCCATTAAGGTTATAGCCACTCATGAATATACAAGTTCAAATGAGGATAATTTTACTTTTTCCAGGAAAAAAAAATTAAGAAGTCATTTGGCAGAGTTTCCACCTGGCAACTACTGTTTCACAGCCATCATTTTTCATGCTGATAGCAATCACTTGATACCACCAACGTCTATACAGTACTTTTATATTTACTCTCTCCTAGTTGGTTTTAGAATTGGATGTGACAATTTCACCAAAAACGAAAGAAATTAAAAGGATAAATCCCTTCACTCTTGACTCACCTTTAAATCTACAGACCAATACATGTGCATAACTTACACAAGAGTAAAAAATAATCAAGCAGAGGACAAGAGTTGGAAACACCAGCTCAGTACTTGACAATGACCAGCAAGGTTACACTTACGACACAATGTGACAAGGGAGATCCCCAAGAAAGGCTGACACATGGCTTCCAGCATCCATATATGACCCATAGATAGAAACCTCTGTGCCACCCGAGAGAGGACCTCTTGATGGTGAGATTCCTTCCACAGATGGATCAACAAACTCATAACTACGAGTCGATTCTCCTCGATAGTCAGCCACCTTCACCACTACAGGGCCTTTACGAAACACCTTTGTCCCAGGGCTATCCAGTTTGCATGTCACCTGAAACAGTGATTGAGAGCCAAGTCACACCAGAGACATAGAGACAAGTTAGAAACCATGAACACAGTGATGGGGACAGAATCTAACCTGCTGAGTTTTGATGTAGGAGTCTGCAAAAGGATCACAGGGTATCCCACCCACAGTGATCCCACCATGGATGTCTTGAAAATTTTTTCCCAAATTCACACCAACAATGGTGATGTTTGTGCCTCCTTCCCAAGGTCCATAATGGGGATAGAAGTCCGTGACATTGGGATTGGGACAAGTGGCATCTCGATCCAGCCATGCTCCCTTCCCCTTGTCACACTGCAATTGGATCTCACACCGACTTGAAGATTGGCACCAGCCACAGTTGTACTTCTCATCCAGGGCCAGGCACAGCCCACAGTTATCGGCCATCTCACGACACCGGTAGATCAAGACTAAAGGCATAAATGGAAAAATGGAGGTCCTGACAGATCCAGGAGAGAGCAAAAGAGAGATAAAAAATAGAAAATAGAAAGCAGACCATGGATATTATCTGGATTGTCAAGGGGCTTTGAGCTTCCCCAGATGACAGCAAATGATGCAGAGACATTGGGGAATGCTGCATTGTAGTCAAACTTCAACTCATCACAGTAGATAATGTCCCCAAGGAGCTGAGCATTTACACTCCGTACTCGACCCTCAATGTTGAACTGACACACAAATCTTGTCTGCACAATGAATTGCTGAGGGATGGAAAATGAAGTCAGGATTGAGGAACTTTGGAAGGATTAAGGTATATCCATTGAGATGTAACCCTTATGGGTGAGAAACAGGGAAAGAAAGGAGAGACTTACAGCAATGTTGTCCACTCTGACTCGGATTCCTTTCTTGGTCCCAGAAGATACAAGCAATTGAGAAGATCCTGTGTCAGATGCATTGATACGTGGACAGAATCCAGGCCCACTACGGATGCTAGGACCGATTCTCTGCAAGATAAATGCAGAGAAATCATTGATTGAGGCCAGGTGGAACAATCAAAGTGATCAAGGAAACAATACGAACATTCAGTCCAGTGACGAGGACATCGTTGCGGCAGTTTTCAGCTGTGTCATGGGTACAACGATGGCCATCTACACACCAGTCACAAGGGAATGGGCTGCTCACACACTCTGTACATGATGCATAGGTGTTGCAGTCAAAGAAAGTGAAGTTAGTCCCAACTACATCCGAGCCAGCCTCTGTGCGCACTGCTAGCCAAGAAGTGAAGTGATCTAAGGGAACAAGGCAGACTACCATGCAATAAATATATTAATGTCTTAAAAAAGAAGGGGAGAAGGAAACAGACGTTGTCCTGGAAGGATGGGTGGGAGAAGATCAGTCCTCGGAGTTGCACATGAGATCGTAGTCTTCCCCCTATGTACTTCTCCATTCCCACTTCCACCTCCTTCTCGGGTCGCATTTGTTTCCAGAGTTTTCCCTTGTGCCGTGAATGCACATACAAATGGCCCCTTCAACTCAGGCAGGTTCTCTATCTCCAGGCTCAACTGAAATAATGCATAACCACATTTGCATGGCATATCTAGACATTTATAAATATGGGAGTATCCCATCCTGAATAACTGGCAAATGGAACATACTCATAAGCAGATCTGATTATTTCACCACTATTTATTACTATTTCTTGAAAATGAAGAGGTTCAAATTTTGAAGACAGTATAGGCTACACTCTCTAGATTGTGTTGGTGAAATCAATATGTTCTAGGATTGTGAGAGTAAACAAAGGAAATTACCCTTCTAGCTGTGGTCCTCTGCAGCTGCTTTGGATTCACAGAAGAAATGGAAGTACACCTTCCTCGTCCGTATGGGATCCAATACTGCATACGATCCTGGCAAGCTGACCGCCCTGTGCACCTAAAGAAAAAAATTATGAGAGAGGGGTTTTGAATGTGTATCTTATCTGCCTTTACAAAAACAGGTCCAAGAGATAGACAACTTACTTGTTGTTGATGGAACACCAGCCACAGTATGGGTCTCGTGCTCCTAAACACTCCTCACAGCTACCATACAGCTCACACTCCTGAACCTTTACCTTGCTCAACTGGTATAAAATCAATGCAGTCATAACTCAACACTATCGCACTCAATCAATGCCACATAATTATTATATCCTTAAGGAATTAGATCCTGCCTACCCCAGAAAAGGAGTAATTCTATCATGAACATCTACACATTTACTGAAAACCAACACCTGATTATAGGTCATGAGGTCCTGAATACAGGATACTGGAATGCCATGTCAAAATTTCATATCATGGTACCTTGTGATAATAGAAAAAAAAAAGACAAATGAGAACTTACTTGAAAGAAGGGGCAAAATGAAGAGTTACACAGGCCAAAGGTCAGCTACATCATTGATAGTGAGTAGGTCTCACAAAGAAGTTAACCCCTTAAATGGGAAGATTTTCCATCATATGCATTCTACAACAGAAGTTCAACCAATCAGATACTTAAAAAAAAAATTTTTTTTAAAGAGGGTGAATTGAATGTTATTGGCCTACTTGACCTACATATTCTTATACAAGGGGAAAAGATTTGACCTAAATTGCTTAGCCCCCAATACTAGGCATATGCTATGTTGACTTTACACCTATAGGGGCCCTAGCCGAATCATGGAAAAAATGTTCACTTGTGTGAAAGGATCTCCAGGACAGGACAAAGTTAGGACAGTCATGCATATAAAAAAATTGGTCTATCAGTGAATTTACTTCAAGAGAGGAGAAAGAGAAAAATTGAAAGAGTAGAAAATCATGCTTTCTAAATTTCTTTCCAGATTCATATTCCTAACATTTTTAAGGAGATACTCTCCCAACATTGGTAATTGAATATCACAAAGCAGAATATAAGAAAAACTCAAAACTGTTAAATCCCAACATGAATGAAGTCAAGACAATTCTTTACCTTTGACCTGGTGATCACAAGGATGTGTTCTGGAGACTTCTCTTGGTCAAACACCATGTCAGAACGCAAAGCACTCCCTGCATCAATGGCAAGAGATGCATATTCCAAGCCTGACTCTGGGCTCTCCAAGACCACCTATTAAAACAAATTGCCAATCCAAAAAATCAGACTCCATAATACAAAAATACCAACCCTGAAAGAATAAAATGCTCTGATAAAAAACCAAATTATTTAGGCATGCCTTTTTAAGGTGACCATCAGCAGTCCCAACAAAGACAACAGTGGAATCTCCAGCAGGTGTGGCAGCAACTGCAGTTGGATATGACTTCCTGCTTCCATCGTGCCATGTGATGACAGGGACAGAGCTCACTGGTTGATCCCCTCCCAAAGGGGTGTTTACATCAATCCCACAGAAGTTGTCATCTATGGTCAGCTTCTACAATACCCAGACATAAATGAAATGGGAGAGATTGCATAAATAACAATGCTCTTGATAGTGATTAGATGCATTTCTAATAATATTTTCATTCATGAAGTCTTTAACACTCACAGTATGAAGACAAGCCTGGCTTGGAGAGATGAATGCAAGACCTCTTTCACCTTCGCCACTAAAGCATTTCTTGATGTTCTGAACAAATCTATGTTGAATGTTCCTGAGAGTATAGACACAGAGAGCAGAGTGAGGCCCAGGTGATATGGTTTCTGGGGGGTCACTCTTGGAGAAGGCAATATACAAAACTTCATCCTGGGCTGTGATTCCCAACTGTCCTGAGAGCTCTCCACCAGCATGCCCAAGATATGCAGCTCGGGCAATATTGTAATGAATGGCTGTTTCAGGGGCTCCCCCACTGGATTCATTGCCTTGGATCTGATTCTGACCACTTACTCCAGTACAGTCCACTGGGATCTCAGTGTAAGAGTAATAATCAGGATCATTTTGGCAGATTCGAACCAACTTGGAAATGTATTGAGTAACAGTTGGAGATTTCATTTGGACTGTGAGGAAGTAACTAAAGCCCTCAGAACTGAATCCATAGATGTAATGAATGGGATAGGTGTCCCTGTAGACAGCATTGACAAACATCCTAGTTCCTCCGCTCACTCCCATTTGAGCCAGTTTAAACATCTTCTGGACGGGTTCCAGGCTCCTGGATGCAACAGCTGGGATGTCCGCACGGTAAGGTGAATTCCCAGTGTACGTGACTCCAACATAAAGGACCAGAGGATACGTACGTGAGGGACCTTTGGCTATGAAACCGACAGTGGATGCAGTTGCATTATTTGCCACCACAGCTTCTTGTACTGATCGGATGAGATGAGTGATGTTTTGAGCACTGCGAACCTCACACGAGCCTTGGAAGAGGCTCCCACAGGCAATGAGCTGTCCCTTGCCCTCCACAAGGAGGAGGAGTTTGTTGACATTATCAATTGAGGTCTTTTCTGTCCCAGAGGGGCATTCTCGGGTCACAGAACACTCAGGGCTGTCATCTTGAGGGCCTGTGGTGGCAGAGGCAAGCAACTCAAAGTCTGAACTCAGTTGATGGAGACGATTTGTTGCACCTATGTAGATGTAGCCAGTGGAGTGATCGATGGCCAAATGGTTAAACATTATGTTGGCTTCTGGAGCACGAAATGATTTCACAATGAAAGGTGCTCCCCATCCTTCCATAATGAACACAGGTGACAACAACAAAAATACTAAAACAGCTGCCATGTTGACAACTGTATTGAGGTCAGTGTCTTTTTGGCCTCACCCTTGGGAATCCATCCTACAGAAAAACAAGGAAATGAGTGAACCAATACAAATTGGAGACATGCCATGCCCTAAAACATTTTCTGATATTCTAAACTACACCTTTTCATGTAGGAGGTATGATTGCCAAATGGCATTGTGTTGAACGAAATATGACTTGGATTTTAGAATTCCCACTTCTTTAAGGCATCAGAGATTGCTGATGACACCATCAATAGAAAAATTATTAAAGAGGAACAACCTTGTAATGGTGGCAGTAAAAATTTTGCTAAATATATTTTTAGATGAATGCCAAATCCTGAGATGGGAGGCTTCTCTGGGCAAGTTTCTGTCCAATAAGGCAAAGATTTCTGTGATGTCTTCATATCAAAATGATATCACCCTAATATGAAAGCCAGACAATGCTATTTCAGCCACCTTATTCCATTTTTTAACATGATTAAGAATAATTTATTGGTGAACAAGACCTCCATAAAGTCTTTCAACATCTGTGTCCCATGTCAATACTGCTGCCGTCAATGAAAATGAAAGGACCACACAGGAGTGTATTGATTATGGATCATCCATCAAGTAAAAGGGGGTATCCTTCAAACTGAGAAGTTTGAAGGATATCCTTTTCAGTCAATAATCAGTCATGTCAGACTAACAACAGTCAGCAGTCATGAGACCATGGTCTACATAGCCAAATAGAACTTTGATGTTCCCCAAACATTATTGGCTTTTCTCATCAGATGCATATTGTGGGGATTGAAATAACTTAAAATGTAGGAATTTATTTGAATATCAGTTGTGCACCTATGAAATGAAATGCTGCAGCAGTTCCTGTTAAATAACATATTTCACAATTATACATAGGACACATTATGTATACTTATACACAATTATACATAATTATACATACAATTATAGCCTATGAAATGTTTAGAGTGATCCCTTCACTCTTTTAGATTTTTCTTGCATTCAAGTAGGCATATATCTACCTTACATGTGATTGCCAGATTAGATCACATCACAGAAATCAATTACTTCCTCAGTTACAAATATTCTTCAGTATACCTATTCTTCTTCCATTCTGAAAATTTCCAAGCTGACAGCAAAATGTAAATTAACAATGTACTCTACATGATTTTATAGACCAAGGATGACATAATATGTTAGACCTATGTTTGACCAATTGCAAAAAACTGAAATGCAATTCATTTGTGAAGAAAATCATAGGATGCCTCCTAATAAATGAGACCAGTAAGCTTGACAAATGATGCTGGTGCAAAAACTTCCAGGATTTTGTTCCCTCTACCTTCATCCCATCTAGGTAGAATTATATGTAGTTGCTTACATTATCTTCATGGGACTGCATGAACTATATAATTTCAGTAGGCTCTGGTAACCCTTCATATTCTCTACCTCATGCAAGGCAATACCTCCAGTGTGGGAAGGATTCCATACCTAAAAATTTCCTATTGGTAATGGACCATGGGCATTACAAATTCTCCACAGCACCCTGAAGTGCTAGAATATTATGCAAAACTGCATGAAATGCCCATTTAACATTTTCAAGTTGTAAGATCCTGCAAGATGAACCTTGCTTCTATAAACCAGCAATTTGATAAATCCCCACAAAAAGTCCATTGATGTCAGTTCTGGTGACCATAACACGAATGTCCTGTCCCAACCTGGCCCATATGCCACTCAGGAAACCAAAGTCTGGCAATTGTCAGCATGGAGTATTATTTAGATATCTGTCCACCTTTCCACTGCTGTAGAACTTCTATTGAGTAAACCCAAAATTTAAAGGAAATGTAATGTTTTTCATCATAATTGATGGGGATTTTATTAACACTCTGTAAAATCTGTATGGATAGATTATAATTGTTACAAAGACTTCAAAGCAGGCATGCATTTCTGGCAGGGACCAAGGAAAAATGCAAGCCCAAGTACATGGACCAATAAAAAAGTTCTTGGGCAGAGTTTTTCCAATCCAACCATTTACAAGACATAAAACCACCATGTTTGCCTTGACTTTAAGAAGATGGCAACCACTTCCAAAGAAACAATAGATGCAGAGGGAGAATGAAGCCATTCCAAACCTGATCAAGTGAAAGTACCACATGAAATTTCAACTGCAGAGTCACCATTTGGATGATATCATAGAGGTGCAAGCAGCATTAATGGCAGCACTGAATGTATCAACAAAAAATAGCCTACAACATGGTTCCATGCTGGTGTACCATTGCAGGATAAAGGGTGCAACTGCATGGGGATACTTTTTTAAAGGAAGCAACTTGAATATGTGATTTCCCTCAATGCAAATAAAAATACAGTCCAGAAGCTTTTTGAAAAATCCTCTTATACCTATGGCAGATGTGGTTTTTCATTCATAAAAATTTAATGGAGAATTTCACATTGCACTCATTTTATGCCACAAGACAACCTATGTTCCTACCTAGTTCTATGAGCTACTTGAGTATTTACTAACACGTCCTTGCCTGACAACATTTACGTCTGCCTGAAAAAGTCTGCCAGAGAAACCAAAATGTTATGTAAACTCCACGGTGTTTACCAGTGTTGGCTTGAGTTTAACATAGATAGCAGTCCCTTGGGGCAAACAAATACATTGCATGCTTAGCTTATTTTTAAAAGAAAGAATTTAGCTACAACAAAACAAGAATCTAAAACACCACAGGTCACCTTCCACTAAGATGCCTAATTCATCTTCATATCTCAAAATAAACTGACATAGTGGGAAGATGTGGTCACCTGCTCCACTACTTGAAAAAGGAGTTTCCCAGATTATTGAACTCTTATTTGAAAAACAAAGTTGGCCCTGACTATGGCTCAATCTTTGTATGAAAAGAACCACCAAAAATCCGGCCTTGCCACATCCCGATGACAGAAATGTGAGTCATCGGTTTCAAACAGACCAATCATAGCTAAGATAAGATAACACATACTGTATCACCTCACAGGATGCTTGTTTATCAGATTACAATGGCCCATATGCTGGGTTCCATCATTCGAACCATAAAACAGATTTCCCCAAAACTAAAGTCTACCATTAATACATATGATATGCAGCTCCAAACAGGAAGAATTTAACATAACCTAAGCAAACAGTTAAGAACCACAAGATGGCTTCCACTAATTGGCCTAGAACTTGACCTTGGCATATCAGAACAACTACTGCAACAAATGTGACCCACTGCTACACCTATATTTAGCAGGGTTTTGCACAATGTTGAACTAGTGTGGAAAACATAGAAGGCCTGGATGAAAGCCAAGTCTATGCAAGGAAACAGTAGCCATCAATGAACCAATGCCTATTTCACACTGATAAAGATATGATTCATCTTTAAATAAACCAATCATAGCTGTGATAAGATTAGGTGAAGTAGGAACACCACCCAGGATGTTTACTTATGTGTTGGCGAAGGGTCCTATCAGTCTGGATCGCATTCTTCCTGGACGTGTTCAAGTGCTGCAAATATTTTTTCAAAACAAACTCAGGAAATATTCATATACAATCTAACTCACTTAGAAAACAGGACTGCAGCATAATTTGGGACTTCGCTTACTAATTTGGCTCATATTGCTCCAAACTATTAATTGGGTAATGTCACGCGAAGCACAGAACTGGAGGGTAGCTTCGCGAAAAATGCTTCAGGCTATCAACCCATCAAGCTAAGGAAACGATACTAGTTCAAGCCAAGAATACATAAATCAGATGACACATCCTCCCAGTTCAAGTACGTCGACACACTTGTGTATAATTATATTACGCACTTCAGCCATGTCAACCCACAATACACATGCGTAACGATTTCGAAAATTTCTCACTTCTTTTGTCGCTTCTCCTATTATCTCTTCCCCGTGTCAAGTTTTCCACGACAATCTCGCTTTCAACATTACCATTTCGACTCAGGTACATGCAGCCCCAGCGCTCATATTCAACTTGGCTCTTAATAGCGCGAAGGAAGTCGATTCTAGAGTGGGTTATTTGATATGCATCGGCGGCGTTGTGCCACGAATGAGGACTGGCTCCATCAGATAATCTATCATCTCCCCCAATTAGTACTTTCCTCAGTGATACCGATCTCGCACGAAAAAGTCCCGAACCGAACCAAGCAACACTCGAGGCGTAAAACCAAGCACTCCAGAGTCGGCCTTGGCCGCGGCGAACCCACAGCGACAACACAGGCGAAGGAACAACACATCAGGGACGCCATGATATGCAGCGAAGGCCTGGCAATAGCCATTCCCCGTGGACCGGCTCGAGGCTCCACGGTCGGGCGACATCTAAATTTTCCTCTAAAACTAATCGATTCGTTTCTATACGCTAGACGTCTGAAGCATCCACGCGGCGAAGGCTCAGTCTTCCAGCGTTAATCGGTTCTCCGGCCGATACCAGTCGAATTGATTTACAGTCCGCGACACCGACCAGGGTCGGATCCTCTCCATCCCCCAAACTAAAAAAAAGAGGGGTAGTTCGAATCGGGCTTTTCTTCTGACTAATTTTTTCCCCTCCATTTTTCTCTAGAACATGAATGAATACCCAAGAATCAACCCAAGAAGAACCAACCGTCGATAGAAATGGACGTCGGTAGGCTACCGTGCTGCCTCTGGCGCTTCTATGGTTAAGGACGAAACGAAGGCATTTCCTTCCAAGAGAAGACGCATAACATCCGCCGTGCCATCGCCACCTACCGATTCCGGATCCCAGAGAGTCCGACGGTTCGTGGATTTCGTGGACGAGGTGGTGCCGAGAGTGAAGCAAGAGCGTGGAGCAGCTCGATTTTTTTCCCTGAAATTTTTTCCTCGTCTCCCACGTACTTAACACTCCCGCTTAACACTCACGGGACCGGCAAACTTTATTCTACGCAATCCGGAGTATTCCAATAGCCGGATCGATCGTATTGGACTTTTCTTCGTACTTCGGGCAACTCTTGAAAAGCATATACTGTGGTACGGTACCCGTATTTGCGCATCCGTCACTTTTAAGAATGCGTCTTGCGTATTACAACATTCTGCTAACTTGTGTTTGATGATCTAAGGGGCATAGCTAAAATTGGAATTCCCAAGGAAGGTTCAAATATGCCTGTGTCACCGACCAGGAAGCCGAAGGGGGGGGATTCTAACCCCCTAAACCACTTCCCCACCCCCCTTCCCTATGCCACTGCCTTTATGCGATGTTTTTCATAATGTACCTGATGGTGGAAAAATCGGGACCGTACAATAGTACTCCATTAAGCGATATTCGATCATGCGGAGTCAACTTATTTAGAGTGCATTTCTTCCATCCTCACTTAACGAATTGCAATCAGAAAAAAAAATATATTTTCTAAATCCGAGAAGAGCTTGGCAGACTCTCTTTCGTCTAAGTATTTTAAACAATCTCACTCGTGTTCCTTGAAGAAAATCCCCCGATTCGCCTGAAGCCGTCAACCACCAAACCACAAACCGTTCTAGGAACGCAAACCGGTCGGTCCCATCGCTTTTCTCGGACGCGAAGCGGAACGATCCTGCAGATTCCACGGAAGATACGTCTGAAGAAGATTCCTCGAAGACTAAAAGCTCTTATGAACTCGTTCGAACATCGGTTGCGAAGTTCAGAGAACGACCGGTCGCAGTCACGAAGCAACCGCAACTCGTGCAGCAGTGTCAGCTTTCTCTCGAGCAATTCGAGACGCGGAAGATCCCGAAGCCTATGAGTGGGTCCAGCTCGACCACTGGGGATTTTAGGTTCTCGTGGGAGAACTCGGTGCAACGGCACCCCGAGGCCTTGTCGTCGCGAAATCACGGGAAGTGTGAATAACTTTATAACTGCAGATCGAATGGACCTTTCCCGTATCGACTGAAACGGTCAACACCAGACTCGAATGAATAGGGAAAAGGCTCTCTCGACCTTTCTCGTATGAGGGACGCGACTCCAAATCATTCCGAATCCCAACTTAACGCGATCGACTGCATTCATATCCAAAAGACCGAACGTTGAACCCAGGGAAATCCGAGACGAAGAATACCCATGATTCATACTTCGTGATGTTGATTCTCATCTGTCTCAGATAGCAGCTCAGACAAGATCTCTAGGGTTTCTTTCAAACGCACGCACTCCAGTCCTCAAGGTTCAGACTACCCCTCTAAAACATTCGAAGATGGGGCTTCCTTCACCTTCCTGTCAGTGCAAGAGATTGCATAATTTATAGATATGGTATTTCGAAAAAGAAACTGCAGGAGAGAGTGGGTAAAGGAAAGAAAAAATTTCTTCATTTATCACATTCTCAACACAGTGTGGCTAAATTCACCTTCAATGGGAGGAAAAGAAAGGAGGGAGAACACTAGGAAGAAAGATACACCATACCTTCAATGATATGCTCTGGTTTCCGTAAAAGAGTTCACTTCACCGAGTTATTGCTAAGGAAATGGGTGAGGAAACAGGAAGACTGCTTAAAATCACAACGACCCCCAATTCAACTGGGGATATCCATGCCAGCTGCCCTTATTGGAGACCAGAACTTTTACTGGTGCTCTTTCTCTAATACATCACCATCACATTAGAGGAAATGACCAGGGACTGAATGAAATTGACAATCGTCAAAAAAGCGTCTCGAACCGATGGGAACACTTTGGTCGTCGATGCGGATCTTCGGTTTCGCCCGCCGCTACGGCGCCTCCTCGCCGACTTTCAGGATGATTCGCGGCTCTTCGTAAAGCTGGGAGAAGCGTGAAGGTCGCAGGGGAATCGTTCGACTGCTGATACTGGAGGGGGGATGAAAAAGGAACAGAACTTACCACCTCAAAGTCGGTGTCCATGAAGAGCTCCTGGAGGAAGCGCCTCGACGAGAGGCGAAACCGGTACATGCCAAGGATGGTGGCCACTTCGGAATACAGGCAGACGTCTTGCAACGCCCCGGGAAACCGCTCCTTCAGGCTGGAGGAACAAACGGGAAAAAAATGATTTTGCAACGACCAAATGCAACGGGAACGAGAAGGAAGGATGGACCGAAGCATCGTACTTGAGGAGCCCTCGCTCGGCAGCCTTGGTCCCGATGGAGCTGCACATGCTTCCGACGAAGCGAAGGACCTCCTTTCGGATCAGGGCTCGACCCTCGGGACTGTCTTCGCTGAGGCGTGCCTGGAGATGCCCTCGACCTCAAAGGCAAACAAACAGCATGACAATGGATGGGTCTCAAGGGCCAAATATTGCTATGTATCTCTCTCACCTGATCGAAATCCATGGGAAACACTGTGTTCAGGGCTCACCGGTTGACTTTCATTTTCTGACACCATTCGGGAGCGAGAGATCCCCGGGGAAGAGCTGCGCACCGAAGGCAAGGATTCTGTCTCGCCTGTCTTATCTCTGTCTCCGTTCACACCTGATTCACAGACCACCAGAATCAAAAGGTGAAACTAGAAGCAGCTTCGACTTTCAGGATGTATCATGCTCCAAAAAGACAGAAAATCTAAAATCGTACTGCCATCATCAGAGACAATCACAGATGGTGGATAAAGTTTCCAGCATGCAAGACAGTTCTCATGAGAATGAAACTCTAGTCCTTCGAGATCTGGTGCAGCATCGAGCTCAGCCTGAGCCTCTCCTTCTTGTTCTGACATCAGGACTGAGGAACTCAGCATACTTTCCCTTTCTTCTTCCCCCAACATCTTATGATAACCTAAAAAGTCAAAAGCAGATGAAGATGTTATAAGTCAAAATTACAAGAATGGATTGCAGACAGTGAGTGACAAGACCTCTCTTCTGCATCTCATTGAGGTTAAGCCCATCAAGGACCAATCCAATAGATTCTTCAGGACCCTCAGGAACATCTTCCTCTTCATCAATATCCATTTCTTCCTCCATGCCTTCCAAAACTGGGAGTGGGGGAGTTGAAGCACCGGTACCTTCTACGAGCATAGAGTAGCAGAGACTCTTGCGTAGGCGTCGATAGGATTCAGGATGTCGACCGAGGAGGTCACCAAGGTCTTTCGGTAAGGCAAGTCCCATGTAATGCAGGGCTCTGCTACCGGGAGGGGTGGGAGATGTTCCTGACCCAAATGAGTACACACTGCCCGTTTCATGAGTTGGGGAGTTCACTGCAGTTGAAGATGAGGACACTGATGATGGAGACCTTCCAAAAGGATAACACAAAGGGAGGTGAACACAAGGGAGACCATTCAGATGAGTCCTGATTAGGGAATGCAACAGGACTCACCGTAGGGAGGTGCGCCGCCAAGGTGAGCCTTCCAAAGGAGAGGAGGCTAAAGGCGGGCCTTCACAGATGATGACGCGAGGGCGCCGATGCTGCCTCACACTGCGAAGCATCCATGGGTCAGGGGACACAGCAAATGCTAATGTTGGTTGTCCGCTCCAATTGCTACTTATGCTTTCCTTCCTCTGCCTCCCATCTAAACCCATTGGTGTAAGCAAACAAAGAATGAGGGGGGCACTAGGGGGAAAATAGGATAAATTACAGGCAAGAAATGTTTGTAAGCTTACCTATATCAGATGATGCCATTCCTGCCTCTGGTTTTGTGCTCAATGATGTTGAACTAGCTATCGGGCTCAAGGTCTGAGGTCGGCCACTGTGCAATAGAAAGAGCAATGATTCCTCGGTTTTCTTACCCATGGAGTAATGAATTTCACCTCTAAAGTATAACTCACGTGTGAATCATGCGGTTGGGATGTGAGGATCCTGAGTGGTTGTCCATCATGCTAAGAGGCCCAACAGATTCTGTCCCGCTGTCTGAACGGCTCTTACCTGAACTTTCGTTACTGCTGCTTCGATCTTTGGTACCATTCTTGGGATCCTTGGTATCCTCACTACAGCTGATGCTCCTCACTCTCTCTGCGGTTCCAGCCCGAGGTCTCTTGACCACATCTGACAAGCTAGAGGCATTGCTGTCGTTTCGCTTATGCAATCTCTTCCAGAGTTTACGAAAGTGTTTTATTCGTGGCGAGGGACTTTCCAGCCCCACACCAGAGCCATGCTTCATTGCTCCAGGTAATGTATTGGCTTTAACTGCACACCCACGTTGCAGGACAGGAGAGGAAGATTCCCCATCTTCAATCCCCAGATCAGAGCCAAATCCTGACTCAGTTGTGCGAACCGAACTGCTTGGGATGCCTGAAACATCTGGAGCGCGTTCTTCCTCGTGCTCATCCTCATCTCCACCCACATAGAATTGATGTGGCTGCTCAACACTTGGACTGGGGGTGGACACAACACTTGATGCCACAGATCGCAACTGGTTGGGACGGGACAGGCTGTAGAGGGAGGTAATGGACATGGTGTCTGATCCAGTGTTGTCATTCACAGGTGTCACCCAAGGTGGTTTCCAGACAGTCCTCCACAGATCCAGATGTGTTCGACGTGTTGCTTCCCAGCCTGGAATTCAGTAATATAATATCAATAAACTCTCTGGTATCAGAAATAGGACTAAAATGGTAAATGGAACTCACTAAGAGATTGTAGTGAATCAGCTCCAGCCTGTGTGGAAGCAACAAGTGAGAGGGCATAGAAGCAAGTGCCTCTGACCGAATAGACCTGACACGTCTTGGCCAGGTGAGCAATGCAGCTGAGTACAACAACAGTGCCAGTCTCTGTGGAATCAACTTCTTTCAAGTACTCCAGACCAAGCTCGGTGGAACCTAGGTGCCCCAATGCCCACAGAGCAGCCTTGAGATGAGCAATCTCTTCTTCATCCTCCGCACAACCTCCACGTATCACCTGAGAAACATTTTGGTTGCATTCATTAGAAGGTCCAGTGCTACCCAAATACTGATATCAGATGCCAAAGGTGACTTTATACTTGGAACATATGATGAATGTGCTGCTCTTCATGGTGCAAGAGATAGTCAAACCCATCTGAATGCCGTGACAGCTCCCCGTAAAGGTGGGGAAGAACATAGAGATCTTTCAAAATGTGCTTCTCTCCTGATCTTCGGCCATACCGCCCATCTTCCCCCTTCTGATGATGAGTGAGAGCATCATGGAGTTCTGTCTCAATCAGTGATACATACCTAGAAAATGCAGCAATGAAACATTGGAAAAAACTGATGGGATCACTAACATTCTCTATCCTGAAATTAAAAAAGCACCCACTGGAGGCAGTAATGATCTTTCCATTTTTCCATCTGATGATGAAGGAAGTTAGAATCACGGAGGAATTTGAAGCCAGAAGGTAGACCTAGGAATCGCACAAGAATGAGGAGCCCACGTTCTCCCAAGTGCAACAAGGAAGGACGCAATGCAATCACAGATTCCAAATACGTCTGAAAAACCAAGACCAGGATACAATGAAAGCCAAACTTGCTCTATCATATGGACTCAACAAAGACAGAAGAAAGAAGTGACAAAAATACCTCCTCATCACAAAGTTCCTGAAGGACATCCAAAGCAGCCAAGGATACTGCAGGACTTTGGTCATACAGTTGTGCAACCAAAAGCTCCACTCCCCACTTATGAAACTCTGGAATGTGCGCACGGGCCAGAGTTCTCAGGTATCGAGTGGTGAACAGGCGAGCTGCCTCTGAAGGGCTCACAAGGACCTTGGACAGGATGTTACGGTTCCCACTGCCCACCCCAGAGTAATTCAGCGATGCAACAATGAGTTTCAGGTAACTGTCATGAGTATTCACTGTCACGAGGTCCAGGAGCCTGAAATCAATGATCCAGATGAGATCCACTCCAGATTGATGTTACTTGCATGCCAATGTCATGGCTTGAGAGTTAGCAAATAAACTGACATTTGGAAGATGCCGAGACGATCCAGATAATTGTTGCCCCGATGGGATCGTGAGAGACGACCGAGGAAGAGGAAGTAAAACTGACCAGCTGTGGAGTGAACCTGGGAAGGTGAGAGAAGGCAGTCAACAGGAGGCCTCTCCCCACATAGCACTTCCACCTCCCGTTTGATATCCAGTAGAAATTCCTCTAGTAGGCGTCCACTCTCATTCTGCAGAAACAGAACGATTCGATCACCAGTGACAGCCTTCTTGAAGACATCATGACAAAATAGGCATTACGAACATGAAGAAGGACAGTGCTCCCACGAGCATCTTCTCCTTCGGCAAGGAGGTCAAGGAGAAGGCAACCGCATTCAGTGCAGAGGCGCACCAGTGGGTCCCCCAATTCCATTTTGCCAAACTGCTTTGAACTGGGCCTGAAGAAATCCACCAGCGTCTCGAGAAACACCCGACACGTGGAGTCTTCGAGACGGCGGAGGCCATCACTTGGAACCTGAGGTACATCACATCAATCCAGTCATTAGAAAGGAGCTTCAAGAGCTGTGGAAATCGGCAACAGAAAACTAAACCAGACTTACTTGTAGAATAGCACAAATTGTGTGCCACTCCCAGGCTTCAAAAGACTTCTCCCTGAGTACATGGGAAGCCTGGATCTTCCTCAATACTCCTTCCTCTTGGTCTCTTTTGCCAGCCTGCCATGCCAAATTTTTTCATTGTTTCTGTCATGAATTCACAGCTCATGTGGCATCTGATAATGGAACGAAGTCACCGATCAAAACTCACGAGCGAAAGCGTGGAACGACCATGAATTCGAACCAGGGTGTCTGATGTCTTCGCAAGGTTGGAGAACTCAAGGAGCTGAGACAAGAAGGGACTACATGGATTTCGGAACCGGCGTTTGAGCATGTGAATTCTCTTGAGCACGGACAAGGCCTCGTGGGCCAAGTGGCGCTGATGGGGGGAAAGGCTCGAGTCAGTGGCCTTCTCCATGAGAAGTGGGAGACACTGGCGATGAGGTAGGATCTCTGGAGGCAAGTAACCACTCGCCAGGGATAATAGCTCCCCTGGAAGGATTAACATCCATCTATAGAACATCTCCTTGCACTCATCATGCAAACCTCAAAGGGGATTAGTGCTCCCAACTGAAGTGCAAACAAAATGTTATGTACCTCAGGAAGTACCTCCTTGAGCAACAATAACTCATGATTCCAATTCTTGAAAAATCAATTGTGACAGCTACAATCACCAGGTAGGCTTACTTGTATTATAAATGCTACCAATTACTACAACATGAAATTAACCCAGAGATGCATAGGAAAAACTCTCTAAGGGTTCACATGTCATTTATGTTACTCAGAATTATCTGGCAATGACATTAACATGTTTATGCTAGGCATTTAATCCCGGGCCAGATAATTCTGAGTATCATAACTGACATGCGAACCTTTAGAGTTTTTCATATGCATCTCTGGGCTAAATTCATGTTAATTTCATGTCTGGGTTAAACACTATTTGCTCAAAATAACAGCCTGCCAACAAATTTATAATTGCTATGCTAAATTTTTTATCACTAATGTAAATGGAAAAATTGTCCATCTTGATTTGGGAAAGGAATTCAGTGATTTTGTCATTTTACCAATTGGATATCCATGAACTCTATTTAATATGTAGTCAAAAGTGTACAGGTTCTTTTTTTCTATCAAATTTCCCATGTTATGTGGACATAATTGTTCATGAAAATGTTCTCATTTTGATATTATGACAAAATTTGCCAGAAGACCTAAGTTCCATTTACTCAAGAAACCCTAAAACAATCTAATGTCTCAATTAAATAGAGAAGCCCTATTAAATAAAGCACCTTTTGAAGCAAAGTAATGTTTCTGATCAAGAACATTGCTGAGAAACATGAGCAACTCACAACTTTCAGTGTGCCTACGAGCTTGTGGCTTTCATTACCCAACCAAATTTCAATAAAAATTACACCTAATGAATGAAATGGAACATGCAGTATATCAGATAATTTTTAGTGTTTACAGATTTAAAATGTGAATAAGGTCTATGAGGTATACAAATGCTTTACTGTCAAAATCCATACCTGCATGCTAATTTAAACCCAATTGCAGAAACCTCATTTAGTGGTGTTAGAGAGGACTTTAAGCTAAAGAGTTCTCTTTCTCCCAAAGGAATCCACATATTATTAAAGGACTGTTAACAAAAGGAGGTTTCAGCATTTGGGCCTTAGCCTTCAAGCTCAAAGGTTGGTACATAAAATTTCAAAAATTACACAAATACTATTAAAAAAACAAAACCAGAAAACCTCTTGCTTCACATTCACTTAACATCAGGTCAAAAATTTTCACATTTGCATCAAGTTTACCAGATTTAATACAAACTAAATGAACCAAAAGCAAAAGATGCATGAGCTTCAATCAATATAATTAACCACCCCTCAAGCAAGAAACATGAAAAAGAAACTCAAGTATAACAGAAAACATCCTCAAAAGCCATATTACAGTGAAAAAATGCCCGGCATAGTGATTCAAAGAACTCCATAGTACATCGTTATGTAGGAATCCCAAAATATAATAAACACTGAGTGGCTGCTTGACCAAGTTTCTATAGTACCTACATGGACAAAAGAAATGCAAATTTACCAAGGAGAGCAACAGTTCGCATGGAGAGGCAGTCATCATGCCCAACAATCACATTCACCAAACCATCCAAAAGTCCAAGGTTGAGCAAGACATAAAGAACCAAGGCATGATGATTCTTCACCAAATTGGATCTGTAAGATCACACATATGCCAGTCAACATGGTATGACAGAAGCCTCTAACGAATTACCTCTATGGCCTCATTACAAGTATTAAGTATTTCAATAATGTTCACCTGGATGCAGAAAGGGGGGGAAGAATGCTAAGAGACTCCTCCATCACAAAACCTTCAAACAGTCTCCATGAGTTTTTGAAGGCTGAAGGATCACAGACTTTGAGGACTTCACTGGAATCATCACTCCATACTGGCACAGGGATTTCAAACAATTCAAAGAGGAGCTTGACAATTGGCTTCTGGAAAGAAAAATGGTAAAACAGCCTTATTGAGTCATGAGTACATGATACTACTATATATATCATTCATTGGAATTGAGGAATCCATCCACACCTTCATCTCCTCACGTTCTGAGCAGAGAATATTCATGAGGGATCGGAAGGGCACTGCAGCATCGATGCGACACCTCCATTTTGTTTGATAGGCTTGATTGTAGGGAATATGGGGGCAGAGGGATATGAGCCCAGGCCAAGATCGGAGGGCAGCAACAATTGCATACTCGCAGCACTGCAACCGTGTCTCCCTCAGCTCCTCACTAAGCACAAAAAGATTCTCTCACCATGAGTACTGAATGGGCATTCCAGATGGTGAGCCCATTGAAATGGGAACCATACCTGTTGGCTTCCTCTTCCCCAGTGAGGCTGAAATGAAGGTCAGTGAAGGGAGCAAGTAAGGTGTCCAACTCGAGCCGGAGTGCCTTCCGAGTGGAAGTCAGATTGAGCAGATGAAGGAGAATCCCGATGACGGCTTCATTCATACGAGGCTGACTGCACTCGATCAAATACTGCAGAATGGCTGCTGTTCCTCCACACTCAAGGAACAGTGAACTCTCACATAATGCTATTGAGGGAAGTCCAAAGCTTTTGAATAGCATGCTACATTAGGAACATTAGGGAGAAAACCAAAACAACAAACTCACCCAACTCGCAGAGAATGGCAATAGATGCAGAAACTAGCTTGTCTTTGTCTCGGCCATGACCTCCGTCTCGGGCTATAGCAACCAGAGATCGGCAGATGCAGACCGGAAATAACCCTGGAGATATGCTGAGGATCTTCCGAGCCAAACGACACGCCTGAATCCTCTCGAATTCGTTGTCTAACATCATGTCCAGGCATCTATCATGAACAAAACACATTGGCTTATTTGCATCTATTCTCACCCAATTAAGTCTGCTCACCCCTCACTCATGCAGTCCATCATGAAAGATTTTAACATGGCTAACCTGGCCACAAGAATATGCATCTTCACACGAAGGAAAGCTTCCACCTGAGATGGCTCCGCGAGGAGATAGCGGAGAAGCCGAAGTACAGTTGCTCTCACTTCTTTGGCATCATGGACCAATGCTATTCTCAGGCTGAGAAATCAGAGCAAGATGAATGAGTCATAATCAACCCTTTAAACTTCTGTTAAGTCTACAATGTGCAGTCACATTTTATCAGGTTCTTCATTCATACCAGTAGCTAGGAATGGAAAACATAACGACAGAATGTAATGTATATGCACAGATCATGATCAATATAGAACCTCACCAGCAAAATATCTCATCAGGGGTAAATCCAAGAGAAGCAGCCTTTGTCCAACTGGAGCAGGCACAAATTAAACCTTTTAGATGGGCTATCTTTCTGCCTGTAGGAGCATTGGAAAGTAATACCACCAGAACTTCATGAAGCACTTCAGCAGGAGCTGCAAAATGAAGCAAAAGAATTTATTATGAATTAGGCCTTGGCTGAGTCAAAAGGTTGAGGGAACCTACAGATAAAATCCAATTTTTAACTCAGCCTCTCAATGTCTATTCTGACCAAGTTCAGATGGCATCACACCAACTAAGGTAAATAAACTCATCTGTTTGAGTGGGTGACATCAAAAATCCACTCACTGTGACATACCTGATGCTGGTTACGTCTAGCCAATGCTTGGCCGGATGATAGTAATTTTTTACATTTTTATTATGAAGCGTTCTTATTGGCCCTACATCCCCATCCTCATCAAACCCAAGTGCAAAAAGATAACTTCATTCACCTGAGACTATTAATTTCAAATGAGAAAGTGTAAAACTCAAGTAACAAAAACTGTAGGCCCATGTGATATATCATGGTTATTGGAGATTGAACTTACCCTTATCAGGGCTGAAAGTGATGGTTTCATCCTCACTGCCTCTCCGTCCTAAATGAGAAGAACTTGGTAAATCACTAGGCTCATCAACATCAAGTCATACATTTTCTTCCAGAAGAAGGCATAATCTTTTCATGAGCAGTGCTAAATTGAACATTTTTGTTTTCACATGTTGGAAAGTTAAAAAAGAAAGAAATAAATCCTACACCATGAAGGTGTGCTGCATATATTCTTATTTTTGACTGTTCAGATCAACGGATTCACAGAGACTGATGCTCAAGTTCTGCATGAAATTTTTTGGGAAGGGTGCAGAGAAGTTATTTTTTGCAATGAGAAGAGCAAAATTTACTCAAATAAAAGACATTTCTTGTCAAATTGGCATTGGAAAGGACAAACCCCAAAATTACCAGGGAGAAACTTCTACTTAAGAAAATGTGACACCCCCCTTAGGGGAAATTCAGGATGCAGGGATGGAGAGGTGCATTTTGAAAGGTGAGATGGAGAGATGAATATTATTTTCTAGAGTAAAGAACAGTACAATTGTTTTATTTTAATTGGAAGACACGTTCCATTTGGACGCCCGTTTAGATATGGATTCCAGGTCGCTTCAGAGCGAAGCAATCAGCTGCTCCTTGGGGACGTGCGAGAGATGAATTACACGGGAAGTGCATCACCTGCAAAAAGGTTGACTCGGTTCTCCGGAGGAGAAATGATTCATTAAAAGTAACAGGAAACGGGGAATAACAGGAAGCCAAGGTCACAGCCTCGGGGGAATACCAGAGTGTATTACCGGGGGTACCGAACTATAAAGCGATCCGGTGAACCAGATCGCTTGCGGTCGGACGTAAAACGACAAATCGAATCCGAAAGGGGACATCGCGTGCTGGAACTCCGCCGAGAGAGACCTCACGATCCCCCAAGAAGCGTAAGAGATGGGAAAGAACGGGACTCACTTCCCAAAGAACGACTGTATCTCCCGGATCGTAGAGTCGGCCCCCTGGCCGTCCACGCTGCCATCTTGCTTAGACCCGGACCTCCTCCCTCCCGCTACCTCTTGCAAACTCCCTCATACGCAAGTGATGCTTTTCACCGATAGATGACGCTTACTGTCTCGTTTTTGGGGGAGCGGTATCGGCATTTCCTTGTTTCTCTACTCCAACTTCATGCCATTTATTTAATTCAAATTCATCGATTTCTTATCGGAATTCCCCATCTTTTGCCTCCGAGTCTACCGAGCAAAGTCCATTCCTTCCAACGTTTCTCTTCTTTACGCGTCTCATCATGCACACGTAATAAATGACTCTGTTGGTGTGATATATGCGTCACATAAATAAAGTATTCATGATCCAACAGGGATGCCAGGGAGATTGGCGGTCGTGGGCGAGACCGGGCAGCAGATGCGACGCAGATGCCTCGCCTCTCCGGGGGGGTTTCCACTCGGTCGAACGTTGGTAAAAAATGCACGCGCGAAGAACGATGACGCAATGCGTCGGCTCGATGCAATTTCATATCGTTCATCGGCCAACCGAAGAGGGAACGAAATCGGAGCGTGATGGCCTCGAAAACTCCCTCTCGTCCGACCCCTTTTTCTCTTTCGTCTTTGTCGAGTCACGGGACGTCCTCGCTTTCGCGTGAACGAGTAAAAAAAACTCTCCGAAGGTCGCACGAAAACGAACGATGCGTTTTAATTCGCTGCACCATCATCGTCGGACATCGTCGGGAGCAACGGCGGCGGAAAGGCACCGGACGACACCGGATTCAAGGCGGGAGAGGGGGGATCCGAGAGGGCAGGTCGGGAGGGAGGTCGGGAGTCGCGACCCGACGGAGGTCGTGCGAGCCGAGGCTCTGAGACAGAGGTCCCTTCGGGCTCGAGTCGATCGGGGGCAAGGTCACGGTGGAGCCGGGTTTGGTGCTCCATTGCAACTTGCGGGGCTTCCAGGGTCGGTCGCTCTTGAAGCTGAGATCGAGGGAGGCGGTTTCGGGGTCGGAGAGGGAGCGGGGTTCCGAGAAGGAGCGACTCAGCACTTCGGGGAACAGTTTGTGGGTGCGGGGGGATCTAGGGGAGATGGAGGGGAGGGAGGGGGGGGGTGGGTGGGGGTGGGAAGAGGGATGGTCGAGGTCGAGATCGGGGGTCTTGGGGGTGGCAGGTCCAGGTCGTACAGGGGGTTGGTGGGGTTGGGAAGGAAGGGCGTGGAGGGGTTGAGAGGGGAGGGCGTGGAGGGGTTGGGAGGGGAAGGTCTGGAGGGGTTGGAAGGAATGGGAGGGGAGGGTGTGAAAGGATTGGGAGGTGGTCCACGGGAAGCCGCGGGGAGTGGGGGGACGTCTGTTGGGGCGGTGAGAGTCTTCGGTGGTGCGGACTCGGTCGAGTTCCTTGGGGACGAGTCGGGGGATGGTCGAGGTCGAGATCGGGGGTCTTGGGGGTGGCAGGTCCAGGTCGTACAGGGATTCCGTGTCGGCGTCGCAGCTCGGGCCGTCCATGAGTTCCGGCGTGGGGCTTCGGTCGAGATCGCTCGCTTCGGGGAATCCTCCTCGATCGGCGCGGAATCGATCCCTGGCTTCGGGGAATCCTCGATCGACGCGGACTCGATCCCCGGCATCGGTCTCGCACGCCCGAAGGAGCTGCGCGACTTCTTCGTGCCGGTTCTTCTCGGCCGCGTCCAAGGCCGTCTCCCCGAACCGGTTCCTCCGCTCTGCACGAAAAAAAAATCACCGTCAACCGCGAAGCGACACCGGCGACGCCGTCGAGACGACCGGCTCGCTCGCCCCAGACGACGTCGCTCCCACCACCCCCTCGACGAACCGAGATCGGGGCAGAACGCCAGAAGGAGCGAGACGACGCGGAGCCACCCGAACCTCGCGGCCAGGACCAACGCCGTGTTCCCGTCCCCGTCCGCCGCGTCCACGCCCGGCCTCTCCTAAACGCACCACCGTCGAAAAACGTGAACTCTCGGGGTGAATACCTGCCATCGATCGCATGCCTCGCGAGAGCGGTCGTCATGCACGCGAACGATTCTTTGAGGGTCCCATAAAACGCGATCGACCCGCGAATTAATTTGTCATCCGCGTATCGATCGACTCGGCTCCTTCTCGCACTCGCCGACGATCGTTTCTCGCACGACAGAGCAGACGATCTCGGGAGAAAGAGGGGGAAAAACCGACCGTTTACCCCCCTCCCCCCACCCGCCCCCTCTCGCCCCCTCTCGCCCCCCTTACCCCTCGGCCGCTGGGCCGAGAGAAAAACCACCTCCTCGCGTGAGAAACGTGGGAAACCCCCGTGACGAAATGCCTTTCACGCGATCACTCGGCACGGCTACCTCTGATACGTGCGAGAGACCTCCTCACGGTTCCGTCGGAAAAGGGACGAAGACACCGAAACGGCCGGATCCGATTCCCCGGATCGACTGGGTGGAATCCAAGGCTCCCCCCGTTCCCTTCCTGCATTTTGCACGGAACCCATCACGAAATCGCGAGGACATCGCGTCCCGCGCAATCGCCCATCGATCACGGCTTTTCGCGAGTGGCATCGCCCTCGATGCCTCTTCGGCATCGAACCGGTCCCCGCCCGATCCGCTCGGGCGCGGTGAAAGTCGAGATCCCCGGATCGTCTCCGCCGAATCTCCGCCGGATCTCCGCCGAAATCCGAGAATCTCGTTTTCGATCGCGGACTCGAAAGGACTCGAACCCTTTCGGTCCCGGCGGGACGAAGCGAGTTCGGCGAGTCCCCCGTGACCGCTTTCGGAATTTCTTTCTTCGCGGTTAGCGACCTTTCATCGTGGAAGGTCCAACGAGGAAAATCCCCTCTTAAATTATTCATATATTTCTTTTTTATTCGGTACCGAGGAGGTTAAGGGACGGCGACTCGAAAGGACGACGACACGAAGGCGCGAGCAATTCCCATCTCGTTAGCCCCGCTCCTCTTAACGAGTAACGACCCTCGTTAGCGATGCACGTCTACGTAATCGATCGTGAAAAGCTCACGTGTTGGAGAAGCACGAGGGCATCGTCGTGGAATCCGAGGACGGCGGCGTGCATGAGAGGAGTCATCCCCCCGGCGTCTCCCACCGCGACGTCCGCGCCGGCGTCCAGGAACAGCTTCAGGAAGCGAAGCCGCTCCGTCGCGTCGCCGATCTCGGTCACCGTGCTCGTCAGGGCGGTCGATCCTGGGATGGACGGGGGATTCTTCGAGGGATTTCTGCGACGGGGGGCAGAAGGGGGGGCACGAGGGCAGAAGGGGGGGCACGGGGGCAGAAGGGGGGGCACGGGGGGCAGAAGGGGAACTCACCGTTCGAGGCTCTCAGGTTCGGGTCGAGCCCGGATTCGACGAGGAGTTCCGCCTGTCGCAGGTGACAGGACCGGATCGCGGCGACGAGGGCATCGATCGACCTCGGTCCCCTGCTCCTCCGAGGTCTCCAGATCCCTCCGAAGTCCCCCGGGTCGGCGATCCTGACGATCCACCGGAGCGATCCGCAGGAGCGATCCACCTTCCCGCACCGGCCGCAATGGGAAAGGCGGGGCATTCACCTGCCGATGCAGACGAATCCATTAAGCCCCCCCCCGAGGAAACTTAATTTCCGCCTCTCCAAGGCCCCCCGTCCGACCCCCTCACACGCGCCCCCCCCCCCCCTCACAACCCGATTCCCCTCCACACGACTTAATTCCGCCACCTCGCGACCTCATTCCTCCACTGACCGAAAATTGAAGTCTCGACGCGGCTTCCCCCGCTTCCCTGCCGGACGAAGGGCAGACATTCCCGGAATGGAGAGGACCGTGACCGTGAAGGCGAAGACGAAGGCCTCGCGAAAGCGAAGGCCTCACGGTGCAATCGATCCCTCTTCTCCCTCATTCACATGCACGGAAGCACGCGAGTATTCGCACGACGAGATCTCGTTCCATTTTTTCTTCTCGTTCCGATCGTTTCCGTGTGGGAAACGGGGTGAGAAGGTCGAGGCGATCCCGTTACGGGCGTCATCCCACGCCTGTTTCTCGCCTGTTTCTCGCCCCAACCGATTCCGCGAGATTCTATCGGCCTCGACACGGGTTTTTATTCGCCTCGCGAGTCCACAAAAGGACTTTCATGCGGCCGTTCCGGGTTTTCAAAAGGTTCGAGAACGAGTCGACGTCATGCACGAGATCTCATCGCAGGTATCATGTCGTAAAACGCAGGAAGTTACCTCTTCTCCGAGTGTGAGGCTCGTTGCGGATCGTCGGCCTGTTGTGCGCCGTGGGCCCTGCGCGAGTCGCCTGCACGCGCCGTGTGCCCGCCTGCGAACTTCCATTCGAGGCAAAAGGGACGAAGGAAACGAGAGAAAGAATGGGAAACGACGTCATCGCGAAGATCCCCGACGGGCATTCGGCTCGGGGGCACTCCGGACATATTTAAACAATATTCAAGAATGCGGAGAGGGCAGCCGAACTCGAAGCGAGAGGTTGTTCCCGATGGAGCCCCACCCGGCTCGGTCGCCGCCGCGGGACCGCGGGAACGGAGAGGAGGCATGGCGCGGGAAAGCGGGAGGAGGCGGAGGGCTCTCGAGGACGGGGAGGGGATGGAGGTGAGCGTATGGCCTACGGGCAGGCTCGGTGAGCCATGACCGCTCGTCGCTCCGACTCCCCCGGTCTCGTTCCCCAGTTCGTCTCTCCCCACCACGCGATCCCGAGAGTGAAAACCCGACCGCTCGAGTGCGGATGGCCTGACGCGGAAACCATCGGTAGACGTCGACGCGGTCGGAGGGGGATGGAGGCGGTCGGGGCCCACGGACGCCCGGCCGACTACGTCGAGGCCTCGTACGCGACCAATTACGTCCGAAACTCGAAGGCGATCGCGGTGCTGTGGGGAGTGTTCACCATCTGCTTCGCCATCATCTCGGTCGTGGTGTTCGTGCAGCCGCAGTGGATCGGCGACACGGCGAGCAGCCGCGGGATCGGCTACTTCGGGTTGTGGCAGCACTGCACGGTGTCGCACGACGGGCAGACCCTCGCGTGTCGCGGGAGGTTGCAGGATTTCGCGTCCATCCTGTCGCCGGCGTTCAGGGCCGCGACCGTCTTCACGGGTCTGTCCGTGCTCATCACGTTCCTCTGCATCTGCGCCATGCTCCTCTTCTTCTTCGTCAGGTCCTCGACGGTGTTCCACATCTGCGGCTGGATGCAGGTCTTCTCAGGTCGGTCGCAGCGAAAAAAAAAAGTCCTTCCTTTCCCCTTCCGATGCCTTTGAACGGTGACGAAGCGGAATTCTTTCGCGATGAGAATCGCGGAATCAGAGATGAGTATCGGAAAGAACTTCTTTCTCTTCGGGTCTTCCATTGTTCGAAACCATCGCGGAGCGGTTGTCTGATGAAAGTCGATCCGAGTCGACGAACTCGTACACCGCAGTAAATGAATTAAACACAATAAGGTATAAAATATAATATAAAAATACTTGAGGGTACATGAGAAAACGGCGGCCATTTCCTGCTCGTCGTGCCGTGAAATTACTCTAACGAGTAAACACTGGTGTTTTCCGCGCGGAGTGATTACTTTTTTTTTTCACTCGTATTTTTCTTTATTACTTTTATATAACTTTTTTTATGACGTTTTTTCATAAATGGCTTCCTGGACGGAGATGATGGGTTCCCTCGCCTTCCACAATGGAGTCTTTGTCCAAGGGGCATGACGAATACGCTCGTGAGAACAAGGGGATGAAATGTCGTCTGAGTGGTCCGAGGGCCCCCGAGGGTCCTTTAACGGTAAACGCCAGGAGAATCCGAGAAGGAACGAAAAGACGCGACGGAAAAACGCCCCGGAAGCGGTCGGGAACGGACGACACGTATTTATTTATAGCGGTTTTAATTTCGCCGCCGGGGATTCGCTCTCGATTCCGGCGTCCCCCGGTCGGGGAAGGACGGGTGGATCTTCCACAATTACGATTCCCATAATTGGCGTCTGATCGCTTTCTTGCGTTTCCGAGTATTCCAGAGCTAATTGATTATTTGGTAATCATGAATTATTATTTTTTACTCGTGATCATTGATTCTTGGGCAGATCTATTAGCATTGCCACTCAGACAAAATCGAATCATTTTTTAAAGCGGTTAGCCGTGATTTTTTGCCGAGTAAAAAAAATGAATTAACGGAATTGCGGTGAAACGCAGGGGCGTGTCTGGCGGTCGGAGTGCTGAGTTTCCCCGCGGGATGGGACGCCGCGGAGATCCGCGAAGTCTGCGGCCCGCACGCCGGCGACTTCAAGCTGGGCGAATGCGGATTCCGCTGGGCTTACGTCCTGGCGCTGATCGGGCTGTGTGACGTCATCGTGCTCGCGTCGTTGGCCTTCCTGTTGGCGACGCGATACATCAAGGTGTTTTCGCATCCCGACCCGCTCTACGGGTCCATCTACAAAGGTATGTTGACCCATTTCCGGGCCATCGAGGATTAAAAGGTATCATTATGTTCCGCACGAAAGATCGACGCGAGTTCCTCACGCACGTATAAAAAAAAAAGAGGTCAGATTGCGAAATGGCTGGTCTCACGACTGACCCCGTGACACGGTGCCATGACACGTTGCCACGACACGTTGCAGGCGAGGTGAACAGCGGGTACCTGATGGACAACAGGAGCCTGGCAGGGTCGCACAAGAGCCTGGGCCCGCTGGGCCCGAACCTTGGCCCAGTCATGATGGTACCGGGCCTGGAAGCGGATCGGTTCTCGGAGTTCTCTCATCGGACGGGGCGATCAAAGTACTCCAGCGCTCATAATCTCCACATGTAGGAATTTCCGTGTTTTTTTTTTGTATCGGGGACTAGAACGGACTTCGTACTCGACATGGAAGAGGGAAAAGAAACGGCGCCCCTTGTGATCAGAGTGATTGTCCTACGTGGATTGGCTTTTGTTTTTATCCTGTGAATAAAAATTGCATCTTACCTGTGACGTCGATTCGGGAGTCCTTCACTCTCCGTTTTCGAGGGCGGCAAGAAAAAGCTGCAGTCGAACGAGGAAGACGAATCGATGGTGGTTCAGGCAGGGAATTCCTTCCTTTTTTTTTCCTCTTTGGACTCGAGGACGGCCTGGTCAGACTATCCAAGAATTCGGATACGGATTTGGGACACAGAGTTCAGGGCCTCGAGTGTCTTCTGTGTTTCGGGATGGAAACTCTCGCTTCTCGCTTGACGCCACAGATGTCGCGCCCGTACACGCGGGCATGTATTTCCGGGGCTCGACTCGGATGCCAGCTGACAACACACCGGGAAATACGAACAGAAGTTGGGCCGTTTAATCTGTTTCCCGAATGAAAGCGATGAAAACTTTGGTAAGATCTCCAGATTGAAAGGGAAAACGCTGACTTAGATGACTAGATGACTTAGATGCGTCTACTGAAGGACCTGCTTGAGGGCAGCCATGGAGCGTGGGGTCCTGGATGGGAAAGGAATCGAGGAAATGCCCCATCCTCCTTCTCGGTTCCTTCTGTGGCCTCGTCGAGATGCTTCCCAGCCTGTTCTAGTTCGTCGTGATTAAATTTGGGGATGCTCGCACAGGTTCAAAAGAAATTCCAGAAGAGTTTGCCGAACACACGACAAAATAGTCCCCATCCGAGAGAACGGAAAGCCTAAAAGTGGACCTCTGGGCGTATTCGAATTCAATTTCCTGCACGAAGGCCAGCTAGAGTGATGAGGAAAAACGCTGCTAAATGCAAATTTACGTTACAGATGACGTAAGAAAATCTAGAAATGACTCCTTGGGCTTGAAACCCGTGTTGGACCCCAGTTTGACCCACCCCCATCTCGTAGAACCTCGAGAGAATCTTCCAGAAGCACCCTTGCAGTGCACTCTTACCAGAAACGGCCGCGAGATGTCACACATTCGCACTCCCATATGCACCATCTCCTCTATCCTCCAACGAGCGCAGCCTAGCAGGGTTTGTTTGTGAACGAACAGACTTATCATATGATGTACTTATCAGCATCTTATTACTTTCTATACCTAGACAGATGCCAGTCAGAATAGCTTGACCACCCATACAAGGAAGGGATTTGTTTTTCTCGTCTACAATTCCTTCCGGTCAAAGGTTCACACAGGCATGAGCAATTAGGCCAAATGCCAAAATGGTCACATTTCAAAGCTAAAGGCTTTCCAATTCATCAAACAGGTCAAGGACAACTAGTGCAAGGGATGTCGATTCATTTACACGAGGGCAAGTTATCGGACGTTGCGAATGTGGTCAGATCGAGAGGCTGATTGCCGACGAATTTGGGCTCTCCAATACCGGAATGCATAATAGCAAAGTGAAGTCATCATTCGAACAAGACCACTGATCAACAACGGCCTGGAGACCCGCCGTCGACAATCCCACAAAATGATTGCTTCTACGCCATACTTACGCACGTCAGAACCTTGACTTCATTGAATGGCGACATGAGTACCTGATCATGTCATTTTCGGAATTCCTTTTTTTTTCTCTCGTCATAGATTGAAATTCCGTAACTTCAATCATTTTAGCGACAGTGTGGCACTATGATCGAATCGGTGCATGACTTCATTTGCAGTACTCGAAATTTGAAGGAAAGGTTGGGTTAGTTCGAACTGTTGGATGCCTATTGGATGGACCAGATGGAAACGGAATTCCATCTCGCCTGACATCTAGTAGTTTATTCAATAAAAATAAAGTTCCGTTTTTATAAGAGAGGTGGCGGTTAAGTTGCCGCTGTACTGTCTCGATTCCCCCACTGCTTCTGAATGGTTCTGCAGAGGTTCTCGTCTTATACTCGATATTTTCCAACGTAAAATTAGAAGGAAGAAAGTAGTTTTAATCGATGCATTTGTTGAGAGATGTAACCCAGCTCAGGAAGACTCCAGGCAATTCTTGTTCACTGGATGAATAAAGTATTATTTACCTTGCCAGGTGAGTCTAGGGCCACGTAAGCTGTTATTTATGGCGATGGAAAACGTTAGTTTCTTCCACTCAGAGGTTAAGATGGATTATGAGAACTCCGCATTTCTTTTCTCCTCCTATTCTAACTCTTCCGTTTCTGATCCCTTAATGGGCCTTTTTCTTTCCCTTTTGGGAGTAATGGATATTCATGAGCAGGAAAATCATGTGTCAGGAAAAACTTAAGTAACATAGATGACGTAAAGAGGATGCTCCATTTTACTTGGGGATTAATATAGGTAGATCTCTCCGTGGTCGTCCAATGACTTTCCAATAATGAATGGATTTATTTATTTAGCGATAGCTACTTGGTTTGAGAAGAAAAAAAAACAGACATCCAATAGGCCATCCAAGGATAATCCCTGGACGAGACATTTAGTCATTCATTGGATGCCCGATGGATGAACATTAACAGGATGTGGCTTGCAATGAGCCGGAGGGGAGGGGGAGGGGGGGGGGGGGATCTGGGGTGCAAGGTCCTGTATATAACATGGAGGATAAATTACAACAAATTTTGGTGTTATATCTTCACCCGATACTAGATTTTCACTAAACGTGGAAATCACCACTGACATGTCGACCCGTTCGCTTTGAAATGACGAAAAATGCGCCTGCCTCTCCCTTTTCTCGTCTATTCATTTGACGAATTTGACAGAGAAACACTAGAGGTGTCAAAGAGCAAGACGATCGCATCTCGATACGACCCAAGTCAATAATTACTGGTCTTCCTGTGTGGGAACTTTTCTGCAGTCGAAACGGGAGAGAAAGACTGTTTATAGGAATTTCCATGTTTATTGGGGACTAGTACGGACTTTGTACTCGGTATGTGGAAAAGGGGAAAGAAACGGCACCCCTTGCGATCAGAGAGACTCTTCTACGTCGACTGCCTTTTCTTGTTTTAATCCTGTGAGTAAAAATCACATCCAATCGGTCCAGTCGATCGAGGACTCCTCAGAGCGACGACCTTTTCCGAGGGTGGCGCCTAACGTCAAAGGAGAAAATGAGTCAAAATGAGTCAATCGCAGGGTCGTCGAGGCGGGAGATTCGAATTTCTTCTTTTTCTTCTTCGGGGCTTGAGAATGGCATCGACGGAGAAGAGTCGCCGCCAGCGCTCGGTCGTGTCCGACGCGGAATCCGTGGATTCGGATTCGGATTCGGAGGCGGGGAGGTCGGGGCCTTGGGTGCCTTCTGTGCTTCGGGATGGAGACTCACGCTTCTCGTTTTCCATCACAGATGTCGCGCCCATCCACGCGGGGCGGCTGGGTCCGCGTTCCGATCCCGGCGCCGCGCCCGACTCGGATCCCAGTCGAGGATTCCAATAGACCGGGAAGTACGAACACGACGGGAGTTGAGGAGTCTCGTCTGTTTCCCGATGGAAAGCGATGAAAATTTCTGAATAATCGGCGGAAAACTGCGGATACGAACGGAAGAGGCTGACCTGGTCCGACCGGGAGATACGCGTACTGGAAGACCTGGTTGAGGACGGCCATGGAAGAAATGGTCGCGGGGTCCTGGATGGGGAAGGAGTTGAGGAAATGCCCTCCGCTTCCGGTGTTCCTTCCGTGGCCTCGTCGCGATGCGCCGCAGCTCGTTCCCGGTGAAATTCCGGTCTGCCATAATAATAATAATGATCATAACGATTATGACCTTGTTAATGGTATCGGGTGCTCCTAGGCTCAAGATAAGTTTGAGAAGTGTTCGTTGAACCCCCGTCAAAATAGGCCACATTCGAGAGAAAGAAAAGATTTAAAGTAGGCTTTCTGGTCATATTCGAATTCGAACTCAAATTGCAAATATATAATAAAAAATATATAAATTAATGATGAAAATATAGAAAAACATCGTCGAATGCAAAAGTTATTTACCAGACGACACCAGAAATTGTAAATCAGACCTTCGGCTTCGACCCCGTGTTGGACCCCGGCTTGATCGACCCCGTCTCGTAGAACCTCGTGAGGATCTTCGACACGCATCCGTGCGACACCAGGAGCTGCCGCGAGATGTCGCACGGTCGCACCCCCATCAGCGCCATCTCCACGATCCTCCGGCGAACGCAGTCCGGTAGGGGGCGTCCGTTCACGAACACCCCGCCCAGCTGGTTGATCCCCGCCTGGCCTGAGCCGTCAAAACCCCCCTTTTATAACGGACTTATCTCTATTTCGTTCTCATATTATTCTCATTTCCTTAGTTTATCGGTCGCATTTATAGAAGGGGATGCTCACCGGTGTGAGGCATGCGAGACCTGGACTCGTTGTCAGACGAACGGCAGGAATTCCGACCTGTGAAACCAGAAGAAAATCCACATCAGTTTAAACGAGTTTCCTCTTCCCATTTTTCCACGAAAGGGCAAATATGGAATTCATGACGTCATCGGTGACGTGGTGCAACTCGCGTCCGCAGCGAACATCCAAGACCTCGTCCTTAGACGAAAATCTCGCAGCCAAAAGTGCGAATCGCTGAATGGTCCCGTCCCGGTTAGGAGCTTTGCCCGGTCGGCTCGAGAGGTCTCTCGTGTACATCCGAGTAACACAGCATGTCGACGAATCCGTAATGTTGCCAATGTTACTGTATGTCGCACGTTGATGAATAACATCGATGAAACACCGCTTCAACGTTTTCCTTTTTTGAGCATTTGGAGAGTTGCCGAGACGCTTCCACGAATGTCATTCCAACATTTCCTTCCGATGTTTAAAGAATGTCGACAACGCAGCGACGACATCCTGATATGGCACGCACTAACAAGTTTAAAAGGAATTGTCAAGTTGTCCTCTTGGCCGACAGATGGAGGCATAGGTCTCGCTTTTCGAACAGTACATAAAAAGTGTCATTTTTCCCCCATTCCCTGGAATCGTCCCTCGCAGGAGTGTCTAGCACTTGGCCCCGCCCAGGCTCTCCATCGACGTCGCAGCGCCACGAAGTTGGACGGTCCCGAAACGTTACTGCAACGTAAGAAAACGCGTGCGGAACGATCCGCAACGTCGAGGCGATGTTCTTTTTGCAACGTTCACGTTTTGGACATATACGAATCGAATCGACATCGATCGTCGACGTTCTTAAAACGTCGCTGGAGCGTCTCGCGTCGCTTGGGCAGGGCGTGAGTGACGTAACTCCATATTTTGAGTCGTGAATGACGTTTATGATACTAGCATCAGGGAAATGGTTTTCATTTCGCATTAACGACTCGGTTCCAAAGTTAACTCTCGCTTTCAAGGAATGGCGGGAGCTGCTCGGCGACTTCAACTCAAGCTTAAGGGCTTCGAGGGAACATTTCTCGAACGGCAGTCGTGTTCTGCGTGATGTCGGCGGTCGAGCCGTGAGCGGCCGTGAGCGGCCGTGAGCGGTGTGAGTTCGCGAACCGTGATGGTAAGCGGTCCGTCATTTAACATCGTTTCTCTTCTCGACCCAACCGGTAACAAATAAATAAATAATAAAAATGATTCCTTCAATGCTCTGTCGTTCTTGGATCGAGGAGACGCGTGGCCGAGAATAATTCCGAAGAATCTCTGGATTCGGTCGAAATCCGCTTTCTTCTGGCTGCTTTCTGGTTCAGACTTGGTTTAGCAAAAACGAAAAAAAAAAATCAGTGGATAACGCCGTGCATGCGAACGTTGCGAATTTCCTGCCCGCACTTCAAATTTTCGTTTAGCGCGAATGAGATTCGGACTAGGAAGGTCATGCCGAGGGAGGTCATGTCATTCATTTCGACTCTCCCCGGGAAAACGGTGTATAAAAAAAATTGTGTCCATAAAATTGGCAAAAAAAAAATTAAATCTCTGGAATCTCAAGTCCAACGAATGTGCCAAATCAAAGTAAGACCGCCTAAATTACTTTATCAATTGTAATAATTCAGTTTAAAAAAGTCAGATTAATGAAGATTTAAGATTAATCATGAATTAAGATCTTTTTTTGGCATTTTTTTGGCCTTGATTGGAAAATCTGCAGAAGTGAGTCGGATGAGGATTAAGCGATTTACAGGTGGATCGCTCGCGGATCTGCGTCCGACGGGTCGCCGGATCCAGCGGATTAAAATTGACACTGCGATGAAAAATTGGCATTTCGATTTCCCGATTCGAGAGTCGAAAATATTTCTGCGGGAATCAAATTATGACGTCATAATCACGAATAACACGTGGTAAATTTGAAATTATTTACATATCGACAGCAAAAAGTTAAAAGGGAAATCTCAAGATGGTAATTAAATCTGTGAGCGCATTTTCCTAGTCTCTTTTATTTATATATTTATTTTTAAGTTATTATTATTTTTTTGTTATAAACTAACTCTTTAAAAGTCATTTTGAAATTTTATCGAATCTTAAAATTATGGAGCATGGACCATCTGCTCACGCACGGTGGAATGATCCACCTGTAAATTGCGTGGCAGGAGGGGCAGACTCGAGTCACCTTCTAAAGCATATTCGGAAGGCGGCTCCGAAGGCGGCTCGTCCCGCAGACGTGCAAAGACTTTCAACTTTCAACTCAAAAATTGTTGTTTACCGTTGGGAAGTCGTTTTAAATTCGGTTCTTCGCCTTTCCTCGTTGAAGATAAATAACATGCATATTTTTGCATTGTAATCTTTGATTTTTTTTTTTACATTCAGTTAGGACTGGCTTCATGGCGATTTTTATTTTGCTAGAAACGATCGTGATTCCATTTGATGCATCGCATGGATATTCTCGGAAGCAACCGGCGAAGCTGCAAAATATTTGCAAGAGGTCCAGGACTTAATTAGGTCCAATGCTTCAAGTTGTAAGCTGCACGCTAAAATTACGTATGCTCCAGTTGACGAAAAAAAGGTCTCGCGGAATGATGAAGGCGAAGCCGACAAAAAGAAGCCGACGTTGCACACGTTGGCGGCATGACGAGGCGACGACACTGACAAACAAGTCGATTTTGAACTCAACTCGTCGGATACATTTAACCAAGATTCGGGCGTTTTCAATAATTTTTTCTTGAATAAAATAAAAGTCTGGGCCGGTTAATTAGTATGAAGCTCATCAAAATTATCTGCAAGAAAATGTGAGAATAAAAAAAAAAAATCCGAACGGAAGAGAATTTGGATGAGACCTGGCCATCATCCAACTTAATTTTAATCCTTGCCTTGCCCCGGAGAAATGAATTTGGAAGAAATTTATGTCGTGGAAACACATTCGTCTCTGCACGTGTTTTTCTTTTTCCCCTGTAAATCTGCATTTTCGCCGATCGCGAATTCTTCTGCCAACTGAAAATATCCTATCTCGATGGTGAGTTCCGACTTTGTTTTTTTTTTTATATTTGCAAAAGCAGATTTTAAACGTCTGCACTGAGGCTGATTTCAAAACTGTCGTCCAGTCGCAGCTCGGTTCGAGTTGGAATTTCTTTCCGGTAGAAGTCGCGAAAAACGGAACTTCACTGGGACCGAAATCTCAAGTGCAATTGAAGTGCCGTTTTGAAAATCAGCCCGAATTTCGTTTCTCGAGATTGGCGCGCGCTATCCACGCCCGCAAGGAAAACGAAGAGTTAAGACACGCGATGATCTCGTGGATGATCCCAGAAGACTCACGGGATGCGGACGCTCGATGCGCGGGTGACAGGATGCGGGCAGGGCATGACGAAGGACGAAGACGAGCTCACGAGCGGTCCTATACGGGGCTCCGTTCACGGTGAATAGGAAGCGTTTCCCCCGGAGGAGCCGCTCCAGGCGCGGCGAGGATCCGGAATCCACCAATGGGAGCGGAGGAGAAGCGGCAGCCGACCGATCGCAGGCGGGGGGCGGGGCTTCGCTCTTCCCCGGAGAACATCCCCGGATCCAGCTGCACGGCTTCTTCCGCTCTCTCGAGACTCCTTGCATGCGAGAACGGATTCCTATAATTGATCTTCCTTTTACGAAGGGTGCAGCTAATTGGTGCTCGGCGCCGTGTGCTCGCACATTCGAGCAACTATCGACGATCGAACCCGAGAAGTATTTTCGAGGAGATTCCGACGCTTTTCGGTTTTTCGTGATTAAAAAGGAGACGACGGTCGGCGAGAGGCGGAATGAAAGCGGAAATCGATCGGGCCGCGTATCTCTCCGAGACGTAAGGCACTGTCGGGTATTTCCACTGGGTGAGTGTGAAAAGCCCCAATGCAGGTGGCCGAGGAGATAGGGGCGTCCCGCGGGGGTTTCCCCCCTAAAAATTTCATTCTCGGGGTAATGCCGACTTAATTAAAAGGATTTCCTGCCTTTTTTGGGGGGAATTCCCTCGGGGCCTCCGGGAATTCCCGGGATTTCGCTTGATTTTCCCTTTCCTTCCCCGTCATGCGTTTTTCCGTATCGGATTCCTCTCAGAATGTCTCCTTTTATCGTGCGATCCACACCCGGAAAAAAAAAATCCAGGGTGCCAGAATGCAAAATGTCCCTGATCCTTTCGCCCGAAATGTGAGGTTCGAGCGAGAAAATAGAAAATCTTGAGTCGAGGCACAGCCGTTCCGTTTATTCACATTCGGCCCCTGGCGACCCAATGACTTTCGGCCCCTGGCGGCCCGCAAATCGAGACGAGGGGAGAAAAACGTCATAGGGGACAGATAATGGTTACATGTGCACGAGATGTGTTATTCCCAAAACTCGGAGGGAATAATGAAAAGAATAATGAGGTCTCGAGCGGACGGCTCAACGCAGCGTGACCGACGCCGCCTGTCGCCCGGTTAAACAAACCTCATCGGTTTTCCGCACCTTTTTTTTTTTTTCCTTTTCTTCCTGTGAAAAGCCGTGCGGCCGGTTTCCCCCGATTTCACGCGTATCTGCGTCCCAATCTCCCGCGATTGACTCCGTCGAGAGACTTCCCTATTCATCGGGCCCCTGACCATAAATTTCCCCAACAAATGATCCAACCGGACCGCTCATTATCTGGCGACGAGTTCCCCCCCGCCGATTTCTCTTCTGTGCACACATGTCCGTTTTGCAACGAGCAAATAACGGCACAGGTTGCGAATCCCATCTGAGGCGAAGGTTGAAATTTTTTTGGCAAGCGTAAAATTACAAAATCCTGATGTTCCTCCTTCAACTGAAAAAAATGGCAATAAATCTAAAAGGCAAGATTTCTCGCTTAAAGAAAAAATTAGTTCCAATGAAATATTGCTGAGTTTCGTTGAAAGTAATTACATTTAAAATAATTAACCATTTCATGGTGTATGATCATTATAAGGACCATATCTTTTGAGACTGCTCTTGCGGTTACCATGGAACAAAACTTGTTTTATTTGGTACCGCTTAAAAACTCTCGAAAAGGGCTCTTCGGTGACGAATCATTCATTCAAGTTGTAATTCAGGTAAGCTGGATCAAAAGAAAAAGTTGTGACCTGATATTTTTTATTTTTTGTGAAATGGAATTTTGGCCGAAAAAGATTATTAAAAATATTTTTTTTTTGGAAAATGGAAATATATATGCCCGCATGCTGCAGGAGTGAACGGATATAATTGGGACAAAGGCCAAGTTTTAGGGGCTCCCCACGTGTGAACATTGGCCAGTTATTCAATATTTTTGGTTGATGATTCTTGTAATTAACAAATTCCGTTTTTGAATATATGAGTAAATATTTGAAATTTTCTGCGAGCTCTGTCTTTAGCTAGGCTTGTTCCATAGAAAAAAACGGTGAAAAAATGTTCTAGTTATTCGTTTTCTTAATTCAGCCTTGAAAGGGTTAAATTAAAATCGCATTTGTTATTCCAGGAATTCTGCAAAAACGGAGAGAAACTTGCCATCGAAACGGTGGAGACGCAGCGAGAGCGACGAGGCTCTCGTGGCAACGGCGCGCGGATGGATGCTCGTCCGCGTCGGGAATGCCTCGCCGGAAGTCGAGACGGCGGAACTCGGGGCCGTGGCGTGCGGTGCCTTCAATAATAGATGAGGACGCTTCCAATTTCCTGTGCGGAGTCGGGAGAGACGGGGGAGACGGGGGGGAAAGGGAAGGAAGGAAGTGTGTGATCCAGGTGATACATTCTCCATTACATGCCTCCATCACGGTCTGCATGTCGCTGGAACCCTGGCAGATATGGATCGGGATATAACGGGCACGTGCCTCCATTCGTTTACCCTTTCGTCTGAGTCTTCGCGGGAGGGGAGGCGGGGGGGGGGGGGGGGGGGGAGGTATGGTGATGCAGGTATTTGTGGCCGTGTTTCCTGCGTTTGCATGGTCGATGGGCGAGGGGATAAAGAGGCTGGATGAGAATCAGTGTGCAGGAAATAAAAGGATGGTTTTAGTTCGACGGAAAATCCGGACTTCAAAGAATGGTAATCATAATAAAATTCCTTCACAAATTTAGTGCTTCACCCTCTCATGCATAAGGGTCTCACTCGAGGGAAAACACGTTGCACTTTTTAATTACATTTTTGAGACTGATTGCCGTTTGAACTGATTTTTTTTTGCTAAAAAATTTGCGCGTTTACCTGAAAACAATTCTGCAAAGAAGATACTAAAATGTGGGATGAATAAAACATATCAGCAAATCGGTGGAGGAAAAGGGAGGCGAAGAAGGAGTGAAGAACGTGGGAAGCCTAAAAGAAAAATAAAAACAAATGAAATAAAAAGGTAAAAATAGAATTTTATAAATAAAGGTCGTCTGACGTGCTAAAATCAATTCCTCATAATTAAGTTTAAAGCCAATTTTGCATAAAAAGTCCTGGAAATCTTGCGTGGAATGAGGTGAATCACGAGGCATTCAAGTGCGAAAAATTTGCACGCGAGGGAATTCGAGGAATTTACAAAAATTCCATTTACTTAATTGGGGGAGAAAAAAACTCTCAGTAAAGTCATTAATGAAGCCGTCTGCTCGTAACGTTACAGTTACAGTTACGGATGCCGTTACGCTTCACAGTTCGCATCAGCAAGTGACGATTGCGTTATTTAAGCTGCCAGGGGAAGACGAACAGTCACGACGATAGGGTTCAGTTCTTCCGGATATTTTATGGATCTTTAAATCACAAGACCTTTAAATCATAAGACCTTTAAATCACAAGACTGAACACGAATCGTGAAGAGTTATTTGAGATTTAAATTAGGGAGCGATTTCCGTTCAAACTGTGAAATGCCTCTGCAGAAATTCTGTTGACATTTCTTCGAACTTCCACAAGTGATTAATGATGTTATATTAATTATGATAAAAAATGTATTTAATTAGTAGAAATCCAAAGTTCGAGCGATAACATAACACAATTGTTATTTGCCCACCCAGGATTTCTAAAAATAAAAACCACTGAAGAACTGCTTGGAACCGCCTTACCGCTTTTCGCTCGCCGATCCAAATGTTTGCAATTCTGTGCGTGCAAATGACGTCACGCCAGAGGTTTTCTTTCGTGCAACTCTCGATGATGTCATTATTGTCGCTTCGTGGAGTTGCGGTGAGTCGTGCTGGAGTGCAAACTGACCCTATCATCATCATGCGAACAGACAATTTTATGGAGTTTTTTTTTTCTTTTTTCATGCGCGAGCTTCTGAGACAGTGTTGCCGGAATACTTTGGGCGTTCGGGCAACACTGGGAACGGCGCGATGCATCCCGCTGGTCGTGAGCAGAACGCGAATTCCCGCGATCCTCGCGAGCACCGCGAGATGGAAGAGGAAAGGGCGCAGCCGGCATCTCGACGAAAGGGTGGAAAGGGGCAGAGGCGAGGGCAAAGGGGCAAACGGGCAAAGGGGCAGGTGCATGTTACGGATGTGGCCCGACCGAGTCGTAAATCTCGGGCGCACGCGAGTCGCCTCCGACGCCTTTTATCTCCTTCCCGTTTCGCCAATCTCTGGACGCAGGAACGAGTGTGATTCCGCAGGAACGAGTGTGATTCCGCAGGAACGAGTGCGATTCCGCAGGAACGATGGAGACGCGTTCCGTGAAATCCCGGCGGGCGAGGGCGCAATCCGTGCATCGAAATGGCTTCGAAGGAAAACTCGCTCGGGCTCGTGGAATCCGTCGGAGAGACGAACGGAAAGGCCGAAAGGAGAACCATCTCCGACGAAAATGGAAACGCGCATCAGACAAATAAATTTCTTCGACAATTTTAAATGTCGCACGTGGGAAAAAAAACTCGTCCGTGTCGACACCGTTTCCCCCCGCCTTCAAGAAGGCCGTCACGTGAAAATTCTTTTTCGGCCCTCGAAGAGGCAGAGGAAAGGGCAAGAGCCTTTCAATCTTTCCACCGATTTTTAACGAACTCAAACGGCACGATCGCTTCCTATCGAACATTTTCAGGCTTGGATTGCACAAAGTTGACTTTAGCGTAATAAAGCTTTAAACCTTCTTTAGCTATGCTAATTTAAAGCTTCATTATGCTAAAATCCGTTTTATGCAATCCACCCCAGTTCTTCACAAATTTTTAACTCAGAGATGCTCCTGACTACAGGCCGAAAGATTGGATTGGATGCAATTTTCGCGCGGCGATCCCAGCGGCCGAACGCGGATTTAAACCTCGGCGACAAACAGGCGAGATCCGCGCTAAAACGTGTGCTGGGGTGTCGCAGCGATGTGGGGAAAAAAGTTAATTAAAATCCCGACGCCACTCTTGATATCAGGTTGGACGTGAGTCACGTGGTCACACGGTTGCCAGATCCCTCCATCCAGTGGCGGATATAGAAATTTTTCATAGGGGGGGCGGTTCCAAAGTTCCTACCTACCCCCTCCACCCCGCCTACCACCATTCCTCGTCCTTTCGCCTTTATTTTTCGTCTGGGGTAAGAACTTGAGTATCTATTTCACTGGCTCCAATAAAATTTAATGCAGATGCTATTTTGAATGAATAAATCAAATCCTAACCTGGCCATAGGGGGGGCGGTNCCCCCCCCCCCCCCCCCCCCCCCCCCCCTGTATCCGCCACTGCCTCCATCTATGCTGGCAGTTTGGGGTTCCATTTCCGCTGAGTTCACGTGACGAATGGGAACGCAAAAATGGAATAACAGAAGGCGGTATTTCTCCCTCGTTTTGTCTATGAATGCATTAAAATAATGAAGAATTCCTGGACTCGAGTCTCACTGGAGCCTTTTCAACTGGTTCCTGATTGTTTAAATGTGATTTGGCTGGGTGGACGGGTTACTTGTTAGGCCTATGTTTCGGTCTGGTTGGATCGAAGAAGAGAGAAAAAGGAGAGAGTGGGCGTGAACATTTTCCTGTATCGCCGAAAGCCAGCCTGTTTTGTTTTTTTTTTTGCCATAAAACTGGTTTGGCAAAAAAAAAAAAACTGATGACAAATAATGCACTGGAGTCGAAGAACGTGAAGACCAAGCCTAACACTTGAACCCAAACAACATTCCATACCATAAAAGAAACTCAACCAAAATACAACAAAACGAGACCGCAGAAGAAATACGTAAAGGAAAAGTAAAAAAGAAAACACTCACGAGGCTTTCTATCCCATGCGAGCAGGCTCCAAAACTGCGACACAAACTGATTTCAGAACGGCAGTTCAGTTGCAGTTCGGTTTGACTCAAGTTCCACTGTGGCCTAAGCAACTATTCTCAAAACAAAATCCCAACTGGAACTGCGACTGAACCGAACTGGAACCGAACGGCAACTGAATCGTGACAGGACTGCAATTTTGAAATCAGCCATGGACGAAATTGATGGCAGAGACGTGAAATCCAGGATGCAGAAGTGACCTCTCGCCATCTCGACGGAATGAAAGGAACTTGCATTTCGACTATTTATGCTAGATGTCATTTTGCACCAGGTTCCCACAGGTAGCGGTTCGGCACACGAGCCGGGGGCATGGGTGACCGGAACGGAATTCTTCAGTTACGTTCGTTCGCTATCCCGGAAGAGGTTACTGTAATTTGCTTTTGTAGTTAATGTATATGTAATTAGCAGCACAGCACAGACATAACAGGACTTACCGCTCGTCCGGTGTGGGTATTCGGATTTCACTTACCAAGATACGTCGTTGCGTGTTTCCCCCGTTACGTGATCCGATGCTGTGTTTGCAGCAACCCGTGATAGAACGCTACGTGTATTCCACGTTGTGTGATTCGGTCTTACGCGCAGGCCACTTGTACGACTTATATGTACCTGAAATTTAATTCAGATTTCATAGGATAGCCGAGTAATGAGGTCTATTACGATGGGTATCATTAGGAAGAAGCAGGCCTTTGGCATGAGCTGGCCCACGATGAACTTAGGCCTACGTTCATGAAATATTACTTTTGGGCGTAATCGTGCTCTATTTAATAGATGGCAGCTTAATGGGCCTTTCAAACTATTGGGTTTAAGGAAGTCTGATGGACGAGGACGAATACGTGGAGTCGGAGTGGCCAGATGATAGCCAGGCCACGTATGATTTCCAAAACTTCCCTTCTTACTCGGATGAAGATGGCCAATATGGGGATGAAGATTTCAGCATCTTGGACATTGCGATACACTGTGTCCTCCCAACGGCACGAGATGCCCTCTTCCACTTTGGTCAAGTGCTCATTTATTGCTTCCTTTTTCGCTTCTCAACACAGATCTGTGAGTGAACTTTTTTGTTCCTTTTGTTTATCCTAGCGAAAGGATTGATTTGGGACTGATTGACTTTCAATGGGGACGTTGCTTGTTGCCTTGCAGTGACACTGCCTGGAGCTGCCGTGCATTTCTTCTCAAGCTCCCTGGGATTGATTTTGTTATGGAACTTCTTTGAGGTGCAGGTCATCTACTTCATCATCGTGGCCACTGTGGCATACGTGTGCCTATTCGTCTCTTCGAGATTCAAAAGAGAATCTTCTGGGATCATCTGTGCCTCAATCTGTATTCCTCTTGTTGTATATTGGTCAGTTCCCTATGTACTTATTCTTTGCAGATAGGTTATTTTTCTGTGCCAGTCAGACATGACATAGTTTATCTGTTCAACAGTGAACTGAAACTTGCCGAACCGTCCGATTGGCACATGATTCGAGGAGCTCAAATGCTGCTTCTCATGAAGGTCATCTCTGTTGGATTTGACTTAGATTCTGGGAAAATCTCTTCCTTTTTAAATCCATTGGAATTCATGGGTTATATATTCCATGTTGGCTCTGCCATTTTTGGGCCTTGGATTTCATATGAAGACTATTGCAAAACTCTGCATCGACCACCTTTTGTGCGTTCCTCACATCACTCGCAGCATGTTTTTGTGGATATGAATTGTGCTTCTTACTCTGACTCACTTCATTTTCCAGAACTTTTCATGGGTGGTGAAGATTCTGAAGAGTTCTGTTTTAGCTTTCACATTCCTGTCCATATCCACCTGTTGGTCAGAAGTCTTTGGGTGGTATTTTACATGGAGGTAAGTTTTTCAAGACCTTTTAGGCATTATTGGTCAAATATCTTTTTACAATTTGTGATATGAATCTCTTTGCCAACAGGTGGGCCCTGGCCTACAGGGATGCTCTGAGTTTCAGAGCCAGTCATTATTTTGTGTCCTACATGTCAGAGGCATCTGTCGTGGCTTCAGGAGTTGGAGCAGACAAAAGTGGAAGCTGGAATGCTGTGACAGTCACTCGACCCCGGTACATAGAGTTTCCGCGATCTCTCGTTGAAGTGGTTGTGCACTGGAATGTTCCCATGCATCAGTGGCTCAAAACATGTTAGTGAATGCCTTTTGAAAATGATAGCCTCTGTGGAATGGCTTCCCAATGCTTTTTTGACCTTTCCTTGCTTCTTTCATCCTCAGACGTCTTCAAGACGACTCGAAGATACGGTCGGCTGATCGCCATCCTGATCACGTATGCAGCCAGTTCAATGCTCCATGGTCTGAACTTCCAGATATGGGCTGTCCTCTTGTCCCTGGGATTTTACACATACATTGAATACATGCTGCGATTGAAGCTCGCTTCGATATATGGTGCACCGATTCTTGCAAATCCTAACGCAAAGGAGGCGACCGACGCGTACAAATGGTGGCATCCGTGGATCCTGGCTATTAATTGTGGCTTCATGCTCCTCAATGTTGCTCACTTGGCTTACTTGGGTCTCATCGATCGAGCACAAGGTGAAGGATTCAACCTTGAGGAGTCTTCTGGGCTTGCAAACACTCTCACCAAATGGGCATCTTTGGATTTTCTCAGCCATTGGTATGCTCTTGTGATGTATGGTTTCTATGCTCTGATCTAAGATCTGATTTATTATTTTTTATTGTTATATTTATTACTGGGTATTTTTTCATGCATCTGATTTGTATGAAGTTTCTTACTTTTTATATAGTATGTGCTCTTGAGCCTGTTTAATTTGGGAATGTATTGATGGCCTTTAATGGGCATTGTTGTTGGTGCCAATAAGATAACTAAACAATTGGTGAAGCTATTGCTTTAATTTTTTTTCTGAGGATCGACACAAGGACTTCCAAGTGCAGAAAAACTTCAAAAAGCTGTTCCATTAAGTCCCTGATTTTTCTTGTATTTTTTCCCAATTCAGTTTAAAGACTCTTCTGTTCAACCTCATTTTTCCTCCTCTGTTCAACCATACCTTGTAGCTTACCTAGGCTTAAGCACAAGTTACTTCCCCTTGCTGTTGGCAATAAATCAAAAGGAAAGAGTTAGCCTTCAAAGTCAGAGTTGGTGTTGATGTACATCCCATTTTATTCTCAAAATGATCGACACAGGATGGACAAAGCAGGTGTTCAATGAGAACATTGAAGTTTTTCTGACGGTCGGACTGATCCTGTGTGCTGATCGTATCTGATCGACTATGTGATGGTTTTGACCAACTTCTGGAACCGTGTAAAGGGTGGGATCGAACTGAGAAACGACCACCATCTAGTGGTTGGCAAACTCAGGATTCGGGCGAACTTCAGAACGGAGCGGAAAGCCACACGCGTTGCGAAACGGGTGAGGTGGGAAGCCCAAAGTGACGAGAAAACTCGCAATGGGTTGGTAAGGGCAATCGGTGAAAATCGTTCCCAACTGCCTCTCCGAATTTCTGATATGGAGACCGGATGAGATATATTTCGATCTGGCGTTTCGGCTGCAGCAGTGAAACCAATCGAAATGAAATTTAAAAGCAAACCATTCGAAGGCTCCGGGAAGGCAGGCAGCATATTCTCCTGTTCGCGAGAGACCGAATCGGAAATACTTGAAAGGTGGAAGAAACACATTTCAAGTGACTCTTTGACCCACCCACGGCGAACTCGGAGAACATCTGGACAAACGGTCCCACCGCAGAGAGAAGTGGAATCTCTGGCTCGCTTCGAGGACGGAATGCCTTTCGTCCCTGCTCGGTGCGGAATCGCACGGGAGTCGGGGAGGAAGTGCACCGATCACCGTGGAATAACTCTATGCCGAGTCGCTCGAAAAGGGAGTTCGTGCAGTCCTCGTATCGGAAAGGAGCAGTGCGGACCAGCTCTCAACACCGAGTTTCTCGAGAAAAGTTGAGAACGTGCCAAAGAGGTTTACATCTGTTTTGTGGATCTCGGAAAGGCAAACGGCAGTGCACTTCGATGGAAGTTGTGGGCAGTGGCGTACATTTAGCATATATCGCAGTTCTTTATTTTTTAATACTGAAAGTACTGTTTCACAGACATTGTAAGCACACAATATTAACGTTGATATTATTTATAATTTAAAAAATAAACTCGTTTAATTTTTTAATCGAGAAAATTACAATTTTAGAATAACTTGAATTCATTGCCAAATACCAATGGCAGGAGAAACTTAGAGCAATACGGTATTAATGAATGCGGCCAATAAAACAAAATTTAATCAAAGAACAATATTCTAATTCTATTAACTAGTTTGTTCCAAGTCTCAAGTCCCAGTTATTTAAAAAAAAAAAAACAATGCAACCAGTGTTAGGAACTTCAGATACGATTACTTTAACAATTGTTAAGTCAAGTTTATTTTCCTTGCCTTCACTGCCGCAAACCGATTGATTGCATAAATGCTGAACATAAACTTACAGGGATGTTTGACATTTGGGATGTTGATGTTTGTTGTTAAGTTTTCCATACTTTATTACAATAATCAATAAATCAGTAATCATGGATCAATAAATTAAGTAATACTTAATTTATTGATCCAGAAGATCAGCCTTGCAAAAGCCGCACGACTTTGATATTAAGATGCGTTCAAATTTCGTTAATTAGTATCCTAAAATCTATCACAACAGATGGCACTCACCTTTAATATAAAAGTTGTCTAATGTAAGAAAAAAATTAACTTCATTTGCTATCTTTAGTATGGTCGTTGTTAATTATTAATTGAATTGAAATTAAATTACATTTCCTAGCATAAAAAAATTTTCACATACCGCGAAAATGGTGAAAACGCTAAGCTGTAAACCGGGAACACAAATAAAAAATAAATACCGCATCGCTGTGAAAGCTGGTAAAAGTAGATGGATCCATGCACCGATGCGGTTTTTCGAAAATGCTGGCCCATCGCTGGGACCCTGTGGCCGAGGGGGGGGGGGGGGGGCGCTAAATTAAGGACCGAACGCACCAAACATTTTTGTTTCGATGGGCTGCTAAGTCGTAAACTACATTATTATTCATACATTATTTTAAAGGGTGAATATTATTAATCGTTAATGCCGTTCACAACCTAGAAGCCCTCCAAATAAAGTCCAAACAAAAACGTAATATTCGGTCCCTGAGTTTTGCGCCCCCCTCGGCCTTGCGCCCGGGGGCAACTGCCCCCCACTGCCCCCCCTGCTACGCCACTGGTTGTGGGGAGTCCTGCTGGAGACTAGGATTGACTGCTTCTTTCTGATACGAGGACTGCACAAACTCCCTTTTCGAGCACCTCGGCATAAAGTTACCGGTGATCGGTGCACTCCCTCCCCGACTCCCGTGCGGTTCCGCACCGAGCAGGGACGAAAGGCATTCCGTCCTCGAAGCGAGCCAGAGATTCCACTTCCCTCTGCGGTGGGACCGTTCGTCCAGATGTTCTCCGAGTTCGCCGTGGGTGGGTTAAAGAGTCACTTAAAATGTTCCTTCCACCGTTCAAGTATTTCCGATTCGGTCTTTCACGAACAGGAGAATACGGGAGTTACCGCGGGCCATACGAACTTTTTATGCAGTGATTGCAGGAGCTGCATTCGAGCGAACGGGATGAGCTGCGGACTCGTTCTCTCTCGTTTCCTGTTCCTCGTGTGCGCGAATAGGACGCTATGCCATGGGGGTTGGCATCGGTGGTGTCGACGTTAAGATACTTCTCTTTGACGATGGTGTCTCCCTTTTGGCCCGGTTCGATTCGGAACGAAATCGAGCGTCCCCAAAACGCAGGTCATGGCCCTTTCGAGAAGTCCTGTACTTGCCTGACGTATTTGGGAGGGGGGCACTGAAACGGGTGGAATAGTTTTAAGTACTTCGGGGTCGGGTTCTGATATGGACGATACGGAAACGAGATCGACGGTCGCATTTCCAGGGTTTCCCCCGGTTTGCGGGAACTCGGGACATCAGTTGCCAAATCTGACATCTCCAAGGATGCGGAACTTTCGGTTTTTAAGAGCGTCTACCTCCCCACCCTCACCAACGGTCACGAGCCGAGGGTAACGACCGAAGGGAACTGGTCGCGGATACAGGCTGCATCGATGAGGTTCTTGCGGTCGGTGGCCTTCGTCACGCCGAGACGAGAACTTCCAGGTCGAGCAGCTTCGCATTCGGATCGAGAAATACCGGGCCTGTTGGTTTGGACACGTCTCCTGCATGCCTCCCAAATAGAGTGCTCCAATCGAAAATGACCGGCAGAAAATCAGTCGGTAGGCCTCGTGCAAGGCGTACGGATCGCAAATTTTGTCACGACAGGCTCGGTATACCACTCGTCGAGCCCGAGTCAGTTGCCCAGGATCGTGAACACTGGAATTTGCTCCGCCGGAAGTTACGTTGGGATAAGCGATTTTGAAAATGTATGTACTCTATGTGCCTGAGTTGAATGTCTTCTCTATCTGGCATAAAAATCCCAAATTTTAGTTCTGAACTCTTGGGGTTAGAGCTCTGATTGTAAGAAGAATCTACATTCCAATCGAGTTTCATTGAAAAGATGCAAAGGAGTTTACTTTTTTTTTCATGAGATAAACTAACACCAGTAATATGTGATGAAATGAATACACCAGTACCTACTGAATAGAACTGGTACTTATTTTTCCTCATAAAAGGAAAGGCTACACTCAGATTGCAAGGGGAACACTTGGGTTTCATTCTAAAGCTATGCAACCAAATAAAAACAATTCTTCCATGGAAGATTTTCAACATCTGCTCACATATCACAACTGGAAAACTTTTCCCAAATAATACCAGTCACCTCTAGACTCTCCATGACTATTGCAATATAATACTATTAAACTTGATACCAAGTGGTTTCCAGTTAATGGTAAATTATAATTGAATCTCTTATTTCATTCTATATGGTACTTCAGCGATACTGACAAGATTATAAACTAAACCCCATATAATGATGATAAATCAATACTTTGCACTAAGAAGCCATCAGGAATAGTACAAAGCTGAGTGGGGCTCGGAAGCGATGGTTCCAGGCTGAATCAGGGGACGAAGATGGACCGGAATTGCACGACTGAGACTCGGACTTAGGTGCCTTCCAGCAACTGCTTTGCCAACCAGTCTAGTCCTTCTTGAAGACCATTGCCACTGGGAACATCACAGGCCACAATGTGCCATGAACGACCACAGCATAGCTTGTACAGGCACAGTGACTCCATGATCTCTTCCACCCTCAAGCAGTTCCCCACATCCTGTACCCAAGATGGAAATGCTCCAAGTGTATTTTCCCCATAGTAATGGCTCAAGAGCAGAGTATCAATGCACTTCTTAATGGTTTACCTGCTTGTTGGCAAGTATGAGCAGTGTTGCCTCTTTTAGATCTCGTTCAGCCATGAGCTTGGCCAGTTCAGTGTGTGCTTCAGGAAGACGCTCTCGAACACTCGAGTCGATCACAAATATCACTGCCTGATAGAGTTCCAAGGGAGTAGAAAAACATCCAATTTCTTTCCATTCAAAGCCTGATGAATCCCCAGCAAGTGTATGAACCCACAATCTCACAACTCACTTGGGTATTGAGGTAATAGTGCTTCCAGAGTGGACGGAGCTTTGGCTGCCCTCCTACGTCCCAAACAGTAAATTTGACATTTTGTCGTTCAATGGTTTCCACATTGAAGCCAATGGTAGGAGTAGTAGCCACAAACTCATTCTGCTTGAGTTTGAACAACAAAGTCGTCTTGCCTGCTCCATCGAGTCCCAGAGTCACTACTCTCATCTCCAGCTTTGGTCCTATGTGAACTCGATTGTCCTGCAGATATTAAGGTTATCCATTTGCAGTCAGATTACTTATAGACAGATGTCACTCATAGGACAACAGGAACAGTAAATTCTCCAGCTCCCCATTCAGCATATAGGTAATCTACAAATGCTCATGAATTAGACTTACCTTGGTGAATGTGATAGGAATGGATGGATCAAGAAGATGATTAAAATTGGTTTCAGTGAATAACTGATGCTCTTTTTCCATTGAGTTTGAGAGGACTTTCATACTAGGTGCAGCCAGCATCACTCGAGCATCATCCTGCATCAAGGCCTTTTCCCACTGAGTGCTCACCTCACGAACCTGATAGAATGGAAATTCTAGGATACAATGTTTAACTGGTTTTGTTGACTCTATTCAGATGCAGATTTGCAAACCTGTGAGAGCATTGCTGTCAGATTCTCTTGATGCTGTCTAATGCAACCAAGTCTTTCTCTGATGTGAGATTCAACCACAGCGAGTGCAGCACATTCTTTCAGAGCAATATGTTCCCGCAGTTCAGCAAAATGAAGCTGGACCCTCTCTCGCGCAGTTCGTGCAGTGCCAAGCATAGATTGCATGGGGTTGGAATTCTCTCTGTTTCCCTCTGTTGTGTCTCCTCCTTCAATCTGACAGACTACTGACTCTGCAAAAAACATCATAAGCTACTCTCTTCAATTGTATCACTCCCTGGCTCAATGAGAATATATTATGCAGGTGTCCATGAGAATTCAAAGAATTCAAAACAGCTGTAATTGCTGTAAATATGTAAAGATTAACATGCAACTCTTTACATTATATACAATTAAGTCTGGAGTTTTACAGCTTAGAGGATTATCAAGTAGATGACAGCCCAAACAGCAGATATATTAGTTTCTCTTTATCCATTTCTTATATCATGCTGATGAGGACTCTTGAGAAAGTACAGAGCATAATTAAATTAGCAAAATTTGGATCAATAGTTACTTCAATCTGTGAGTTCTGTTGTGTCTCCAAAAAGATACCTCCAGATCCCATTGGCATAATGATTTGAAAAATTCTGATGTGCAGCATCAAGCAGACCATTGCATTCATTCCTGTATATATACTGCAGAATGTCATGGATGCATTCAGAGGATAGTTGTATAAATATACCAATCTCCTGCATCAGCAAGTGGGTATTGCATAAAACTTAAAACTTTGGAAAACACATTGCAATTGGTTTCACACAGGCATGCTCCAACTTATAGAAGTAATAGTCATTTCAAATCCTGCAAATTCCAGCACACACTCTCTCCTTATAGCCTCATCTAGCTGATATAGCAATCTATATATAGTGAGGAGGTGGAGAAATCAGCAACACACCAAGCTTGCGCAGGATCTCAGAAGCATCTTCTGTGAACTTCCTAAAGGACAGGATGGTAGACATGACAGTGTCACGAAATGCTTCAACTTCTGTCTCCAGCAATCCATGCTGAGGGTAACAGTATCATGAATAAATCATATATAAGCATGGCAAATGCATATAATAGATCCATCAGCTTTGGAGGCCTTCAACATAAACTGGTCTCAAGAAAAACTTTGTGCACACTCTAGACATCTTGAAGGATTAAGTTTTGAAATAATTACTACCTTAGTTTACACCTGGTAAAGATGAGTGCTCTAATTCCATGTCAGCATGAAAACATTTTCAATACCTCTATTCTTGTGGTGCATTATTTCCAACGCAAGATGTAGATGTTATTTTCCAAACTTTGAACAATCAATATTCACCAATTTAATGGAGTGCTTGCAGTCCCCAAGGAATGGCAGAATAGCATGCAAGACTGTCATTCTCACCCTATGTTTAGCATGCCTCCCATAATCCCGGCAGATGAAGCACATGAGGGGGTTGCCCTGGCATCCATCTTCAAGGCATATGAACTCAGCAACATGTTGAGAATGGAATTCACAGCGGGGCCGTTCCTTTGGCTTCTGACTCAGGGGGACACGTCGATGCCGACATAGAGTCTTTGTGGCATGGGTGCGTTCAGAGCACTCCACGCACAGGTGGGAACCACACACCACACAGTAAAGTACAGCCAAATGCTCCTCATTCTCATCACAACAGATCCGTAACTACACAAAGACAGATATGTGTTGTATTAGGTTTTGAGAAACTTGTCACTGTGTTCCTGAACAGACAGGTTCTTTAAAATACAGGAGATAATTACAAACCTCTTTCTCTTTGTTAAGGATCTGTAAATCAGGCGAGTTCAAGTCTCCGTTATCTGCAATTTGGAGTTTCTCCAATAGCTCCAAAAGGGCAAAGTTCTTCTTGAGCTCCCAGACTCCTCCTGGACCTTTGAAGCAATTAGAAAAACCTCATAGAAGTCAGTCCAAGCCAACATATTAGGCTATGAATTTCATAGTGAAAATGGACTTACCGAGCACAGTAGGTAAACGGTCGAATGGACAGAGAACGGCGAAATCCTGATGATTTAGTTGTTGGAGGCAAGAATGGCACAGGGTATGGCCACATTGAAGGAGTCGAGGGACTTTATCGCCATGATTTGTGAAGGCATCCTCGCAAACCCTGCATTCTAGAGCCTGTAGCAAGAACGCGTGTGAGCAGAAATGCTCCTCCAATCATAAAGTTAATGCAAGATCCAATAGATTTTAACATGAACCTAACCTCAACCTTGCCCCGACTCTGCTGTTGTCTGCCATGTGACAAAGTTTGCGACTTCGCATGATCCTCTTGATTTGTTGACATGAACTGCTGATAGCCTACGGCGTCGTAAGTACCTCTCTAAACAGCGTTTCACAGGAGAATCATCGCATAGTGTTGACCTTGGTCCACCACTGAATACAATCACATGTCCCGGACGGCGCCATATTGAACCCTGATGTCACAATCATGTCCGCTCCTCGTGGTACCTCATGACTCCTGCGTGGCCTAAGTCTGGTTCTTCTGTCGGTCCAAGGGCTGAATGATTTCCAGGCGTTTGGCTGCGCTTCTGTCGCCTTTCGTCGTGGGTTTGCCTGTGGGCCTCACCATCCTCGATGTATTCGGTTATGTCGCGAAGGTCGATGGGGTTTCCATGCAGCCGTCGCTGAATCCCGATGGGAAGACCGGAGACTTCGTCTTCTTGAGTCGATGGGCAGTTCGTGATTTCCGCGTTGCCCGTGGAGAAATAGTGTCTCTTGTGTGAGTTCCTCATGGTAACATTTTTCCTCAGACCATATCATGAACATACACATAATGTTAGGGTCCTTCAATTTTATTTTCAAACGTTTTTGTTAGGCAGTAGCCTAACTGACTTATTATAGGGGTAATGTTCATAACTTTAGCGTTTGGGATGGGAAGGTACGATTCTAAATTGGCCCAACCTAGGCATATAGACTCTGCATTTACTATTGGCATTTTGGATGCTTCATAGTCCTAAGTTACTCCATGGGAGTATCTGACCAGCTAGAGATGCAGAATAGTAAGTCATGGGTGGCCCATCACCTTGACCTATGCTGAGAAAAGGACTTAAAATTTAAGTGCATTCTTTTTTATCTAATGGACATGGTGATGATAAGGACATATATAATCCTGTAGGTCCCCAAAAGATCCAGGAACCAAGATCATCAAGAGGGTGATTGGTGTAGAGGGTGATATCATTCAAACTCTGAAGTGGAAGCGACATTTCCTCAGGGTCCCTCCTGGTCACATCTGGATCGAAGGAGACCACAAATTGCATTCCTTGGACAGCAACACATTTGGACCAGTTTGTGGGATTTTGCTTCTCCTGGGTGCAGGTCTCTGTCAGAATGATTTATGGATGGACACAGAACTGTTGACAAAATTAGGTGTATTTAAAAGCCTGCCTACAAAAAATGGATCAGGCATGTGCCTGAGACAGAGTATCAGAGTATTATGTCATCAGCATTAGGGGAAGGACTTGGAAAGCAACATTACACACCTTTTGTGATTGGTTTTTACATATTTTGAAAATGCAAGAGAGGATGGATACCGGCAATGAAAGGGAAGAGTTCTTCCCACTCCAAGGACATGTCTGTGAGCAAGGTGGGTAGAGGCTAGTAATGGTAATAAGAAATGATATACGAGGGCCACTCAATAAGTTATCTACCTGAATATGAAAGGGATGAACATCAGGCCTGTGCCTGCTGTGACATGTCTCGACAGGTCTCATGAGTGCACCACCACTATACCAGCTCAGTGTCTCAAGTCCGTTCAAAGTGGTAGCGCATTAGATTTCTTTTCCTGAGTCTGTGTCATGGATTTGACGAAAGTCGAACATTGTTCAGTGATCAAATTCCTCACCAAAGAAGGGAAAGCACCTAAGGAGATTCACGAACGTATGTCTAACGTTTATGGTGTGTCTTTGCCTTCTTATTACCAAGTTAAATTTTGGAGCAAGCAGTTTAAGTGGGGAAGAGAGTCAATTGAAGATGACCCAAGGTTGGGGCGCCCTGTGGAGGCTTCTGATCGGGAAACGTGTGGCAAATTGGAGAGTGCGATACCGGAGGATCATTGCACCAAAGTCTCTGTTTTAGCTCATGAACTGGGGATTTCAGAGGGCACAGTGATTCACATCATTCATGAAAAATTACACATGTCCAAAGTCAGTTCTCGATGGGTCCCAAGAATGCTGACTCCAGCTCAGAAGAAGAACAGATCTGACATCTACAAGGAAAACTTGGAATTTTCTAAACAAATTGGGGAAACTTTTTTTCCCAAAATAGTAACAGGTGATGAAACTTGGGTTCATCACTGGGATCCCGAAACCAAGCAGGAGTCCATGCAGTGGAAGCACAAGGGATCGCCAACGCCTTGCAAATTTCATGTTCAGAAATCTGCAGGAAAGATTATGGCCACTGTGTTTTGGGACAGCGAGGGACTACTGCTGCTTGAGTTCATGCCAGACGAGTGTACAATCACTGGCGATTCCTATGCTACCACCATGAAAAATTTACATGATGCCATCAAGGAAAAACGCAGAGGAAAGTTGTCAAGGGGGGTCCTTGTTCTTCATGACAATGTGCCCGTCCACAAATCATGGAAAGTTCAGGCAGCAGTGAGGGAGTGTGGCTTTCAGGAGCTCAACCATCCTCCCTACAGACCGGATCTGGCTCCTAGTGACTATTTTCTGTTCAGACACTTGAAAATTTTTGCAGGGAAAAAGAATTTTCATCCAATGAAGAGCTGAAAGTTGCAGTTTCTGATTGGTTTGATGGACAAGAAGTTGACTTCTATTCCCAGGGAATAAAATCCTTGGAATCAAAGTGGAATAAGTGTGTTGAGTTAAAAGGTGACTACATTGAAAAATGAAGTGCTATTTTTCCCCTCGGATGTTTCTTTCTTATTCAGGTAGATAACTTATTGAGTGACCCTCGTATGAAAGCCTTTGATGGATGCTTGAACTAATCAGGAAAGTTTTGAACTTGCAGCCCTTTCATGCAACTTAAAAGCCCTAGTACTAAGGTTGAAGTCCAGGAAATATTTTTTTAAATTATTGTCTGTACAGAGGGGATGATTGAGGTTTGATGAAGAGTAAAGCTCGAATGCACAGACCTCATTTGAAGGAAATGAAGGGACCTTTTTAAGCTATTGAGCTCTTTTTCCCCTATAGGAGCTCATGGGTTTTTAAATGACTTAAGTAAAGGAGGTTTCTGCATTAAAGCCTAAACATGTAGTTCCTGATGGCAATATTATAGGTACATTTAAGAAACTTTGCGAGGGTTCTCATGTGAGTCTTCCTTTGTAGGTTTCACTTGGTCTGGTGACAAGCAAAGCAACACACATCGTTTGGCCCCCTAGTCGCTGGCAAAAACTGAAAGCCACTTTGAATCCTGAGAGGAAACCTCTCAATTTGTCTCCACAGTCATCTGAGGGTGTTGATCTTGAAGAATCCCCTGAAGCTTTATGAGTTGAATATATATCCCTGGTCTTCTTATAAGGTGGAGTTTATTATGTGATTGCATTTAAAATTGATATCTGTTATTGTAGTGAAGGGGGCAAACTGGCAAGAATCATCTTAGAAAAAGCTTTGATAATTTATGTCCAAATGCTAAAACTTCTCATTAGGCAAGGTTAAAGAGGGTGTTAACCTCTTAAGTGGGTATGACATATATATCTCATGGCAAAATGCCCCCTAGATGGGTTTCATGCATGTATATGTCCTACAATTTTTCAAGTACAAATTAAGTATAAACTTTAACATTGAAATTGAATTCAACTCAAAAAAAGAGTAGTACATTTTTATACACAAACATTAATCTAACAAAAAAAGTCCCCACTTTTGGGGTGGACTTCTCCCCTATAAATTCCCCACTTACAGAGGTAGGCATAAGAAAGCAGAAAAAAAGAATTCATTTTGCTGATTATGGTTAATATTACATTTTTCACTCCTGAAGGGATATCTTTTGCATAGTGAAATGAAGGGTGATGCTTAATTAAACTTTATTGGCACTTTATTTATGAAGATGTTTCATTCCCCCTGATTACACAAAATAGACACTCCAGATATTGCACAATATGTAGGTGCAGAGATGCAATTGTGAATTGATCCATAGGAAAGGGTATTTTCATTGAAGATGTGCATAGTATACTTAAGTTCATATTTGCATGTTGGGTCTAAAGTTAAATATTGAGATTCAGGGACTTGCTGAATGCATACATATGAAAACAACTAAGTCCCTCTCTTCCATTGTACTTTCAGCAACTCATCAAGATGAGATCCATTTCCTTGGTGGAGCGGTTAGAACTTGATTTTGCTGGGAACTTGTGCCGGGATGCATTGTGCCTCGGGGATGTGGACAATGATGGGAGTAATGAATTGATTCTTGGAAATGTAGGTGGACAGCTGGCCATCTTCAAGAAAGAAGTCTCGACACCCTGGTTACGTGTCAGCGATCTTGGCATGATCGTCTCTCTTGTTGTGGGAAATATTTTCGGCGAGGAAGGGAATTCCTTGATTGTGATAGGTGGTGAAGGATTGTGTCATATCCTCCACATAGAACCTTGCTCATCTCCCACTGATTCTAACAGCCTCAAGGATGAAGTGTCTCTGCCAGGTGCCTTGGAAGGTGTGACAGCCCCAAGAGCCACTGTTGTCCACTCTCAGCGTCTTCAGGCCAACATTAAGACGGCCTTGTTAGCAGATGTTGATGGTGATGGCTCACTTGAGCTTGTTCTAGGCCTCACGGACTGTGTTGTCCGTACTTACAAATGGGTGAGCTAAAGCCTCCAACTCCTTTTTGTCACCATGTGGACCTGTTGGTTTATTCCACTGGATTGGTGCTGTAGGTTGGACACTAAGGTTTTGTTTACTGAAAACAAATTCTCTTGAAGCTTAACTACAAAAGTTGTGAAGATGAAACCTTGCAGGATGATAGTAAATAAGTGGAAGGTTTTTTGGGAGTCACTTGTCCAGTTTGAACAGAATCAATATAGTGACATTGACTAAAATTATTTTTTTCACTGATTTTGGCTCAGTTTCTCTCAGGAACTCCATTGATTCTGCTTTCTTTTCTTCTATATCCAAGCAAATGATGGCTGAGCACCTTGACAAAAAGTGATTGAAGTGAATCTGGAGGAAAGAAGAAAGTTTTTTATGATTTGAAGTGCATGAGTTCAAGTGCAAATACTTTTCAGGACACATTGTTGGTCTTTCTGGTGGTTCCTTCTTAATATCAGAAGGCATGATATGAAGAAGGAACCATATCCATGAGTGCTTCCATGAAATTGGAAGGGTGTTTGATTGCCCCTGCTCAGGATGGCCTGAAGTACCTCCCCAGCATTAGTACACTCTTGAATTACAAGTTATTCTTCCTGGGAGTTTCTCCTTAAAATTTGTTCTAAAAAGTCTTTGCACTGGAGTTGAGCATTCATGTATATTTATAGGTGAAAAAAATTGTATCCTTTCTTCCTAATTCAAGTGTAGTCCTTTATTCACTTTCATTGAAGAGCTCAGCCATCCCTCACCCACGAATGGAAGAAGAGAGTGGAGTTTCTGGGTGAAATGGGTCCAAAGCCATGAAGTAGTAAAAAAAAAGTAATATTCAGTCAGTGGTTCCATGTTGATTCTGTTACAATGAACGAGTGACTCTGAAAGAAACTTCCACTGTCAACTGTTATTGAGCAATATTTTAACTTCACAGCAAATATAGTTAAGCTTCTAGAGTTTTTTCTTTTTGGTAACATACTTTCTGTCCACCCTGTATCTGTTAGTAAGTGCATGGTAATGTAGCTGGAATGTTTAGATGAGTGTTGGTGTTATTGCATGTTGTGGGGTATCTAAAAAGCTTTTTCTGAGCTACAAGTGAATAAAGGTTCTGATAATACTCACAGACACTAATAGGCTTTGATTATAGTTAGTCTTCACTTTTGACACTCTTTGCTGATAATTAATTTTCAAGGGAAACATGAAGGCAGAGCACAAGAGGTTTGCAACTGATCTATGAGGCCGTTGTTTCTGTGAGAGAAGGCAGCTGTGGCAATGCAGTAGGATATCTGCCCTGGAGCCAATAGTTAGACCTACACTGGTGCAAATGCATTATTGCTGTGGAAGATTGTTCAACTTGCCCTTAACCTGCACCCACCCCCAGCAGATATGGTTGACAAATTTATTTCTTCCATATCCAGGACTTCAGATGGAACACCCAGCACATGCAGGGTGAAACCTATCCGAATCTGGCGTTACAAGAAAAAAAGCAAGGCTTTCTTGGACTTATTTTGGCAATTCTATGATTATTTGGAGTATACTTCTTGGGCCTGGGGAATCAAAACACACAATATTGCTAATTTTGACAAAGGAGAATTTGATTACTCGATTTGGCAAAAATTCACTCTTAGCTAGGTATCTGGCCATATCCCTTGCAGATGTAATATACAAAGGTTCAAAATCAATTAACTCTTCAGCCATTTTAGTTGAATGGCAACCTTGAATGTAGTATAATGGTGTAAAAATCCTGCATGCAATAAAAGTACATGTTTAAGCAGCATTTTCAGTGATTTTTTGTACAGGTAAAGGACACAAGATGTGGTGCAGATCCAGGGATGGGTGTCATGCATGGGAGGCTGGTTGCCGTGAAGAAGTGGGAATTGGCAATGCAGGTTGGGGCCATCTCAACTAATCGTGAGAACAATGGAAGCCTTGTGATCCTGGCAGCTCAGCCAGGTGGGACTGTTCTTCATCTGCGTTGCTGGGACGCTCATCTTCCTGGTGGACCGTGAGTCCAACCTTCTTCCATATACTTTTTTGAATTGCCTGGGGTGTGGACAGATTAAAGAGATTCCAGGTCTCCATAGAGTGGTGACCAATATGGATGAAGATGGAAGTCGCAGCATCAGGTATGAAACGCTGGCATCTTCCCATCTACGCAATCCCAACATTTCGTCGGTGATCATTGGAAACATCAAAGAAGCTGCATCCGGAGAGGAGAAGCAAAGCTCCCTGTATGCTGTAGTCACTCTGGATGGAACCATCATGCTCATCAGGGATGGCAAGATCCTCTGGTCGGTCCATTATCGTTTGTGTTATTTTAAATTTATATTGAGGATATTCCCTGCAATCGTCTGCAAATCACAGGTCGATGCAGGTGGATCATCAGCTGTTTGCCATGGAGAAGGTAGACATGACTGGAGATGGGAATGAAGAGATTCTGGTGTGTGCCTGGGATGGCTGGACTTATATCATTGATCACAACAAGCAGAGTGTTCGTTTTCAATTTGAAGAACCTGTTTCTGCATTCTGTGCTGGGCCTTTTGGGAGCACTGGTCATCCAGCACTCATCTATGCTACATTCACTAACAAAGTCTACGTGTATCACAACGTCGAGTTGTATAGAATCCCAACCATGACTCTGGAAGATGTCGTTCCACCATCGACAGTTGCCCTGGCTTCCTTCCTCTTGTACGATTTCCCGCTCTGGAAGAAGCAGAAGGAACTTGAAGCCTCTATGCGTTCTTTAGCTCTGAGCTCCTACACTACCAAAGAAGAGAAGGAGGAGGAGGAGCCTGACAGCTCCTCACAGGAGAGATGAAGCTCTAAATATGTCATTATTCTGATTTCCCTGTGATGAAACTCACTCATTGAAAACCTGTGTCACACAGTAATGTATGTTTGTCGTGTTGAAGTACTGAGGTGCACGATTTAGAATTATATAATAGTTTTCTTCTGCTCTTCAATTTCATGATGGGGGATTTTCTTGTTTTGCTGCTTAGTACCAATGACTCCCATAGAGAGGTTATGATCATTTTTGCATTTCTGATTTTTTAAATAATATGCATATTTGGGAAAACAAAAAGTGAGTGTCACACAGTCGACGAACTCGTAAATTAACCTCGTTCGACCTTGTGGCTTCCACTGTGAAAATCGCAACCCTAAATGTCCCCAACAATGATTCGTCGATGGCGTTGTGTCCCTCTCATCCTCACTCATTGGCCTGAGTGCCTCAACAGCTGGCATCGATTTGTCGTGCTTGAAGTTTCCTACTCTGTGAATGCTGGATGGAACGCCCGACGTGAGTAAATTCTGCAAAGGAGGTTGCAAACAGGGCCGGCCCTAGCTACTTCAGCGCCCCCCCCCCCCTTCCTCCTCCTCAGAATGGAGGAGAGTCAATCCCTCGCGTCCAAAAAGACGCCGAAGCTAAGGCATTTCCACCTTCTGAAGTAAAACTGATGGTGGCATCCACTATTGCTTTATCCGTTTTGGCGCCCCTAGTGAATTTGCGCCCAGTGTAAGTGCACATGCCAAAGGCCTGCCCCGGTTGCAAAGGAAAATAATTTTTTCGTTGTAAAAATAAAGTAAATAAAAAAGAATGAGTCAGAACTGCATCGAGAACCATTAGGCGTACAGGAGTGAGTGTCGTCTTGAAGCAAAGAAAATAAAAACAGCTTGTGCGTTCTTGCAATCTCTCTGTCACAGGTTCGGTGTGTGCTTTTTACTGTTTCTCTTCGGAGGCTGGCAACTTATTATGATTATATGATACCGATCCCTGTGCAATAAGGTTAGGGGAAGTAAGTGGTAGCGGGTGATTCGGACCCAGGCGGTCTCGATCTCTCTGTTCCACGGCCTTAGTATTTGATAACAAGGAAGGATTCAGGAGTCAGTCACTATACACCCTGAGCCTTTTAATCACTGATTATTATAACATCAACAGAGTAGTTTAACAATATTAAGAATCATGTAAATATGGAGACAATGCACTTCTCACGTCCTGGTGTGTATTGAAGGAAGTCAGGACGAGTATGCCCCTCAAGAAGGGAAGGCTTGTCTCTGGAAGGAGCGTAGTACTCGTCTTCTGCACAACTGTTCTGGGTGTCCGCCCGGTCTGGAATCCTCAGACACAACTTCCCCGTGTAACTGTCTGGCGTGGAACCCCCCTCTAGTGCGGCTTTGGACCCCTTTTAAAGCTTGTTCATGCCCTCAGGCTTATTTCAAGCCCATCACACTAATATGATCTCACAATGGTCCTCTATGGGAATCCGCTTGACGGAGGTAATATTATTCCCATGGACGCCCATTGTGGAACCAATTCAATTTAAGGTTAAACGGATCTGGTGTATGTTGCCTCCATCCTGAACCATTATTTTAAAAATGCATTACCAAAAGGACGCAAAATTTCCGCTGATCAAACGTATGAATCGATCCAAACATTAATCTGGAATTATCAAGAAGCGAATTTTCAGACCTAATTTTCAAACGAGTCATCTTGTTTTGGAGCAAGAATCATCTTGTGCATTTTTAAAGGTATCAGAATGCTCCAACATGCCCAGACTCGACCACTCTCTCCAACTATGTGTTACCTGTGTGAAATGGAAAAGAAGTTTGGACGATAAAATTGTTTTTTTAATCATATGCACTCGTTGCACTCGATCTGCCATCTGTTCGTCTGGTGGCCATCCTGGACAGACACTCATATTTGAAAGTTTTTCTTGATCATGTAGCAGACATGTCCAAATCGCTCCACTTGAGTGCTCTTCATCTGGAGAAGTATAGGGATGAGACATGGATTTCGACCTCGAGACGAATGCTTGAAGTTCTGTGTGGAAAGTACCCTCGTCTCCACGCCCAAAGAAATGCCAAACCGACACGTCCCGTGGGAAGTCGATACTCATTGTTCTCTTCGATGCCTTATATTTTCCGCCATGAATTTGTTCCTCGGGGACAAACTATCAATTAATTTTCTAGAAAGACGTTCTGTCGTGGCTCATCACTGCTGTCTGACGCAAACGTCCAGAACTCATCGGACAGTGCATGTGGATCCTCCCCGACGATGCGCTGCGTCACACATCGATACTCGCCTGGAAATTCTTCACCAGTCACGGAATAACACTGCTACTACATCCTCCCTACTTCCCAGACCTAGCACATTGTGAATTTGTGCTGTCCCCGAGGATGACGAATCTCCTGAAAGGTTGCTGTTTCGGTGACACTGATGCCCTCCAATCGACTGCGACCAAGGCGCTGAAGGAATTTGAAAATAATAGGTTCCAGAAGGTCTTCAAGTTTTTCTGCTAACGTTGAGAAGTGGACGGAAAGTTAAAGAGTTTATTTTGAAGGCGATCGCACAAAAACCTAAACTCGTTGAATAGGTTAGAAATACAACGTGCAGTCCTGGAGCTTTTTGATGAGTCCTCGTATATGTATTCATGACAACTCACCGACATATTGGCATGCCATGGTGCAAGAGCGTAAGCATGAAGTAAACATGTGACGCTTGTCCGAGAAGATAAAATAGAAGGGAGATAGGCTAAAGTCCCTCGCACGCTACCTCCACCGTTCTGCATCTGCTTCTTCCTCCTCCGCGTTACACACATCATCCAGGTGTCTCACGCAAATTATTAGTGCTCCTGTGAGTTGTGGAGAGGATCTCTTCTTCACTCATTCATTTCGTCTGTCTATAGTAGAGATTAAAAATGGAGAAAAGCTCTGCTTCTCTTTTCTCTTGCATGGTGTTCGTCTTTTTCTTTTCATAAAATGCGAAGCCTTCCCCTCGGCACATCCTAGGGGGAGGCGCATCACCGGGAAGAAAGCATTAATCTTCTATAGCAGTTGTAGAGCTCGTTTTCCATCGCAACATTCCGATGCGACCGGCATGCGTCCGTGCAAGACCTTTTTCTACGGTAATCTTCGGCAACGTCCAGGGCAAGTTGCCAACTCTGGATCTCTGCTCCAAGTCCTTCCGTGAAACCGAAGATAGGCCTTGTTTATTTGCTTTCTCCTTTTCGACAGAAACGCCCTCGATCAAGTAATATCTCGTTCCCTAGCAGACTGAGTCCAGTCCGTACGCGTCTGTATTGCCGCTCATTCGAGATACACGGCTACGGAGCGGCCGAGTAGCGTTCCTTAAGAAATGTCATTCTCGCTGTCATTATAAGATCAATTTTTCCGAGCTTCACGGGGTCAGTAAGCTGCATTGTTTTTCATTCGTGGACGCATTCGTCATAAACGAAATGCAATTTCTTCTTCCAGCCCTATTTCGGCAAGTTGAAATTCGACTAGACCATCTCCAGAATATTTCCATGTGAGATTTTAAGTACTGTGAGTAATGAATCGGTGTTAGCATATAATTCTGAAAGTATCACAAGGGGCACCCTTCCGTTGGGACTTTCAAAATAGTAGTCCCAGTAGTCGTTACAGTAGTTGGCTACTTGCCCTGGATATTGCCTAAAGTACCGTCGAAAAAGTCCAGCACGGTGCATGCCTCGACGGGTTGCAATGGAAGATGCGTTGCAAGTGCTATAAAAGATTGTTTTCCTGCCGGTGATGCACCTCCCCCTAAAGACGTGTCGAAGGAAAAGCTGTAGGGTTTCATAATTTGATTTTTGCTACAGTAGATCTTGGAAAACAAAAAACTGTTTTCATAAGTAGCCTACCCAACGAGCATGGACATCCTTGAGACACCCCATACGGATCCCACGTGGGACAAAATGACTTCCCTTGGACGTCCTTATGAAACGTCCTGGTATGTGGAAATCCCTGGAACATCCAAAGGACATCCCGTAAGATCGGGAATACTGTCGTCCTATGCGCCAAATTCCTCGTATGTCCATGGAATGTCCGTTGTGGGAGCTGGGGCGCCAGGATCTATTAGAGACTTTCCTTGCTACTTGAGTATGAACTCGCGCTCCGCTCATCTGAAACGCATGAGTGAAGGTCGACGTATTCCTCATATCCGATACTCAGCAGCTGGCTCTTTCGTTTGTCTCGAAAGAGATCACGGGAAATTTTCTTCTCGAAGAATCTGCCTTTTTTTTTCAGAGTGACCCCGAAGAAGAAAACTTCGAAGAAATCAAGAACGAGAAACAAAATATAATCTCGATAACAATGCGTGTGTGTCCAGGGTTGGTTAGATAATATGGGCTGCACGAATGTGAGTCCATAATCCGGGTCTTAGGCCAATTGAACCAAACATGACCCGACGCGACCCGATTCCACGAATTGGCTGAATGGGTGAAATTCACCATGCCATCTGCAGTGTTGGGCGGTAACGAAGTAAAAGTGACGCGTTACAGTAACTAAATACTTTTTTCAGTAACTTTTGAGGTAACGAGTTACTTTTCAGGGGAGGGTAACGGAACCGGTAACTAGTTCCTCTTTCATGGGAAAAGTATGTGACGTTACTTTAACGCGTTCCTTTTCAGTTCCACGGCCTTAGTATTTGATAACAAGGAAGGATTCAGGAGTCAGTCACTATACACCCTGAGCCTTTTAATCACTGATTATTATGACATCAACAGAGTAGTTTAACAATATTAAGAATCATGTAATTATGGAGACAATGCACTTCTCACGTTCTGGTTGTGTATTGAAGGAAGTCGGGACGAAGTATGCCCCTCAAGAAGGGAAGGCGCGTAGTGCTCGTCTTCTGCACAACTGTTCTGGAGGTCCGCCCGGTCTGGAATCCTCAGACACAACTTGTCCGTGTAACTGTCTGGCGTGGAATTCCCCACTAGTGCGGCTTCGGACCCCTTTTAAAGCTTCATGCCCTCGGGCTTATTTCAAGCCCATCACATCTTTTACGCGGTTCCTGCCATTATAAATTGAGGAGTTCTCTGGAAAAGAGGCGTATCTGTGTCCATACGTCCTTTTTCCGTATCTGTGTCCATGTGCTGCTTTAGGTGACTAGTCATAGGATAGGTTGGTCAGCTAGTAGTTAAGATGCGTATTCAGCAAAGGAGAAGCAGATTTTCCTATGTTCTCACTAAATAGCAGGCCATCTGCTTGGCAATTTCAATATGGCTGCCTCCATGAATATTCCATTATCACTTGCACGCTGAACGATTTTGGTGGAGTTATTTCGTCTTTTTAAACCGAAGTGAAAATGAGGAAGAAACCAGACATGAAGACAGGGAAAGTGTGAATGAAACGTGCCCTGACTATTCACATTTTCATTGCTATTTTTCAATGAAGAGCTTATTTGAAATCTGTAGATGCATTTATTGATTTATTATTATTTTTAACTAGAAAGAAGTGGTGAAGAAATTCATTAAAACCCCAAGTTCAACTGGGAAAAGGTCTAAGATACCATTTTACTAATATCAGGTAACCACAAAAGTTTTTGCCGATTTTAATGTCCGTTAAAAAAGACCAAAATTCGTATTAAAAACCAATTTTATTCAGCGAAATAGTTTCCATTTGACTCAATCACCTTTTCCCATCTTGAAACAAGCTTATAAATACCCTTCTTATAGAAGTCCCCGTTTTTGGAAGAGAAGAAAGCCTTTATAGCAAGTTCTTGGCATTGTCGATGGTCACAGGACGGTCGCTACGTAGTGCATCTTCAAGCGATTCATCCCCGATTCGGAATTTTTGGAACCAATTCCTTGCTGCGCGTTCCTTTACGGCATCCTCTCCAAATGCTAAACATATACTTCTAGTGGCTTCTGCAGCAGTGTTACCAAGTTTAAACTCAGAGTTTCAACATCTGATGAGCTTCGACGACGACTCCATTTAAATATTTTCTTGGCTTTACTAAATTAGATGATATTAACACGCAATATAAGATATAACAAATGTTTAAGCTATGGGTTGCTTTAAGAAGGCAGTTACGCCTACTACCATTAGTATCTTTTAACTTAATAACGATAGTGTAATATGACACATAAACGGCAAAAACTTTTGTGGTTACCTGATAATTAGGTTTTAACCAGCTTCGGATTAGCCATAGGAAATCTTTTATCGTTTAACTCGAATTGCATCTTTTGCACATACGCCCTTTTTCTAGAGAACTCCTCAATTCATTTCGCACATTTCGAGCAGTGACTCCATGGTCAATCGTTCTCGACGTGTAATATCACCATGATAAACTATATCTGTGTGGTCGGAGTGAAGGGTGCAATCCTGCAACCAGGCATGTGCCTCCGCACAGGGCGCAAATTCACCAGAGGCGCCAAAACGTGTCAGAATGAATGAAGCAATAATGGATACCACCCTCAATTTTACTACAGAGAGTGGGAATGCCTTCGGTTTCGGCGACTTTATGGAAAGAAGGGATTGACCGTTCTCCCTTTGGGGGGAACGGGGGGGGGGGACGATGGGAGTCTCTGCACAGGGCGCAGAAATAGCTAAGGCCGGTCCTGCCTGCAACGTGGTTCCCTCATAATGACACGGCATGAGCAAAAACCAGGTTTTCGACCTATGGAGGCTGTCAACATCTGCATACTCATAATACTAACTCCTAACAGCATATTCTATCGCTCTCACTCATAGATTCATTAAATTTTCCTGCGAGTTTTGCCTTGATGTAATATTCAAGTGCACGTAGGTATTCAACGCCGAGGCTATTTTGTAATTGAGGAAAGAGAAGAGCACGATACGACACTCAATTCGATCCGTCTTTGCAGAGGTTCTCTTTTCCCCTTTTGAGTGCATGTAAACCTCCGAGATCTGGCAACACTGACATAAGACATGTGCAAACGTCTCACGTTCCATCCGCGTGGCTCGGATTTTAGGTCGGCACGGAGGCAGGGAAGTGGATATTGACGATTATTTGTGGGGAAAAAAGGGACGAGGAATGGTCCATCCGGTTCAGCCGCTTGCCTGCAGGCACGAGTGGGAAGGAAACGCCATTAGTACCGCCCCCAGTAAAACTCCGGGAAGGAATCTGTTGCTAAATGTTACACCATGCAAATGCAACTTCTCATTCCATTGACTTCTTGGATTTTGGAGGGCTAACGCCAGGTAGGCTCAATAGAGTAGTTTCTGTCAAGCCTATAACGTTATAAAACTAGACTATCGGCTTCCAAAAGGGGGAAAGTTTTCCTCTGGAGAGGCGCTATGAAAGTGCTCGCTATTTTCAATGTATACTTTGAACATGGAGAATATTGACTTAACTATTGTAAATATTCTCCTCACATCCCAACCACTTGCATCTCCTTTCTCTTCCATCTCTGAGAGATGGCTACACAATGGGTCATGACTCAGATGTAAATGTTGAACCCTGTGGATTTTCGTTCCCCTCTTATTCTTGGGGTTATGAGAATTTTAAAAGCTCTGTGAAAAAGGGTACTGAGAAAGGTTAGGGATGAGGGGAGGGAGTGGGTTTACACTGGATATACTAAGAGTGTGGAATGGCCTTTGCATAACCAATTGTTAATAATAATAATTCTTGCTAATTTTTGTGGTGGAACAAAAGGAGGAAAACTATGCTCTCTGGCACATTGACCCTGGGAAATTACCTTAGACAGGCCAAAGCAACTGTTTTATTCCATTAGGCCTGGCCAGCAAATAGAGCTCTACAGAAGTTAGAAACCTCAAAAGTCTCTCTCAGAGTTGTCAGCAAGCAAGCCACTCACCTGCCTCATTTAGTCTATTTTCAGAGTGGAGAGAGAGTGGCAATGAAGACTGTTTGCTTCCCCCATCACCTGAATTGTAGTTGCTTCTCTCTTTTCCCTGATTGTTTGAATTTCTGTTCCCAAGCATTACTTTCTGCTGCAATTAATTCCTGTCTCTACTCCATTCTTAGCAGTCCTGTCTGCTTCAACATATTTCTATAGAAATGCTGGGTGGCCCAAAAAAAAAACATTCTGAATTTTGTGCGGCTGTAGATGGGACACCATGCTAAGCATCATCTCAAAATTTTCAGTGTATCATACCCAATATAAGTAGGTGGCTTTAAGAAAATTTCAATGAAATTCCATGTTCTGAACATGAGTAAGAGCTCTTTCATTACAAGTCGCTTAATGAGCAAGTGTGTCAGTGCATTTGCTGGTGTGCTGCTTCAGCCTGCGTTTCAAGGACACACACATCCATGGAGGACCCATCAATCAGTTCTTTCATTGAGTTCAGGCACATTCCTTTGCACACTCGCTCTTTTGACATCGCACAGGAGAAAAGTTTTTACTCACATAGTTTATAACCAATTTAAAGGAAATTTTTGTTACATTACCTGCAAACATTGCATGTAAAAGCCTGTAAATTTCCTGTCGATAACTAATATGGTACATCATCTGCAGGCATGTAAAGTTGGGGACTTTTTTTGGTCCATCTGGTATAGAGAACGGCACAACATTAAAGAGAAGTTTCATGTGGTTGAAAGGGGAAGAATTAAAATGGTTTTCCATTGATTAATTTTTGAAATTATATTTTTGCCTTGCTGTAAGTTTTCCTCAGCTTCCTTCATCTTCAATATCAATTATGAATTATGGTTACTGAAGGAGGACATGATGGCAGACCATATATCCTTTTTTTTTAAATAGAAAGTATCAACTTTTTCTTTAGTGAACCTCTTGCTCAAGGTTAGATAATTTATGGTTACAGTTACATTTCACACTTTAACTCACAGTTATATTTTTACTGTTCCATTATTTGTCACTGTAATGGTGATAACCATTAGACCCAGTTAATGTCTACCATGTCTTCATTAGCCTTGTTAATATATTCTCTATAATGATACTGAAAGTAGGTGAAGAACTCTCATCAATGTTTATGGTTTGTCTCTTCAGATTATATCTTGGATTGGGCCCTGCCTTGACCCTTTTTGTCCATGCATGTGAGAAGTATTTGGCAAGCCATTAATTTATGCCAGGACCTACATGTGTGGCATTCTCTGCTGCATCATCAGGTCCTCTGACCAGAAAAGTATTGATGATATTGTGAGTTACCTCCTCATGGTCTGATTCTCCCAGAGCATTGTCCAGTTGCATATGATTATGTATTGTGCTATGCTTTGATCAGTATGGTGAAGCATCACTTTTAATTAATGATAATGGGAAGAAGAATAGCAAGATCATTGTTTCTCCAATACTTGGCCTGAAGTCCTTCCTCTAATTGCCTGATTGCAGCACAATTGGCTCTTGCATGTCAGTGCATTTTTCCAATGTGACATGAGTTTAAGAAGCAGCCCTGCATTCCAATAAAGTTTGCTACATGTGCAGTGGAGTTGTAGCATCCCCCTAAGCATAGTCACTTGACATTTCCACTATATTCCTGATAGGAAATGTTATAGATTTTATCCTTTGGCCTGTTGCTTTATCATTAAACTAGTAGCACATTGCCAGACAGATGTTGCACAGCTTAGAAATGCTTATTTCTTTCAGTCAAAAATTGTTTGGTCTCTTTGCTTAATACAGCCAATATCACCATATTATTTGCCATAGTATCTATTAGGTGACTCTCTGAATGGATCCTATACTTTGGTGAAAGTGTCTTATGAATGAGTCTGGATGTGGTATTTGTAAATTACTTCAAATCCAGCTTTATTTTCCCAATTGTGAATACAGTAACTGAAAGTGTTCAGAAAGCTGTTTGGCTGAGCTATGCCAGCTTGCTGGACAATGAACTGTGAAAATGTTTTGATGGAATACTTTTGACCATTTAGTGATCAAATTGCTACTGCCGTCAAAATTAATCGTTATATCTCTTCATCTATGGGAGTTTTTGATCATGCATAGATTTCAAGATTGCAGTCCCTGCAGGATGACTTGGAGAGACGTGGTCCTGACTCACATAATGCAATCTTGTGTCCTTTGGGAGAAAATCTATGGCTGTTCATGTACAGCACAGTGCTTTGGCTTCAGGGGTCTCATGTATGCTCTCAGCCTCTCAAAGATGAGAAGGAGAACCTCCTCCAATGGAATGGAGACATTTACTATGCCAATGTAAGTTGAAGTGTACATCTGTCTTGGGCCATTGTTCAATAAGTTATACTCACCAGTGTGATGGGTGTTATTTTTTTTAAATTTTTAGGCAGGTGACAAAAGTGACACCCAGCTCCTCCTTGAGAGGCTTAGTGAATCTCAATCTGATGAGTATCCTGACATTTTTGGTGCCATTCAAGGGCCATGGACATTCACATTCTGGAATTCTCTAAACCAGGAGCTGTGGTTTGGAAGGGATTTCTTTGGGCGACGCAGTCTTCTCCTGCATTATTTCTACAAAGAAGACTTATATAAACCAGATATTTTCCTTCTTTCATCTGTGGCTCTTCATCTAGATCTTGATGGTTTTAGAAAACTACAGATGGAAGTCCCTGCTAAGGGAATATTTTGCCTTCGTACATTATCATGGCAGCTTCATTTACATCCCTGGGAAGGTTTAGAGTTGTCTAAGTCTGACATAGAAGAATTGTCATTTAGAGTGGAGGAAAAGTGCATTCCACAGCATATCAAGAATGATTTGAATCGAGACATCCCCATGCCTGAAAGACTTCCAACAATTCATCCCTCTGATGTTGTCTTCTCACAGTTATTAGCTGATCCACTATTTATTTCTGCTGTTGAGAATTTGGAGACCCTCTTGAAAATGGCAGTGAGTGTTCGGGCAAGAACCCACCCAGGAGTCTGCAAAAATTGCTTAGAGCTCCAAGAATGCACACATACAAAAGTGGCGATATTGTTTTCTGGAGGAGTGGACTCGGGTGTTTTGGCATCTCTTTGCCATGAATTTGTTGGTAATAATGAGACAATAGACTTGATCAATGTTGCTTTCCACCAGAAAAACTCAGATGAAGCTAATGCAGTACCTGATCGAATTACTGGCCTATCATGTTTCCAGGAACTCGAGAAAATCCATCCAGGAAGATGGAATTTTGTCAAGGTGAGGTGATTATAATATTTTTATGCATTGATGCTCTCTTTACTTTTTTTTGGTTAATAACTTTTTCTATCAGGTAGATGTGGACAAGGAGAGACTAGTTGACAAGAGAAAGTCACATGTTCGCCACCTCATTTATCCTTGCAACACAGTGTTAGATGATGGCATAGGCTGTGCACTCTGGTTTGCAGGCCTTGGTGAGGGTGTGCTTCTCAACGGAGAATCATACAAATCCCCTGCTCGGGTGAGTGCCTCGAAGCATTGTCACACCCAGTGAGAATGCTTCTATGTGTTTCCTTTTGTGTTCATCGCATTTTAAAATATTCCTTGTGAATTCATCTAACAGGTGCTGATGGTGGGGATGGGAGCAGACGAGCAACTGTGTGGGTACTCTCGTCACCGGGAGAGGTTCAAATCCGACGGTTGGCTCGGTGCAATTCAAGAGATAGAAAATCAGGTAACAGGAATGTGGAAGCGAAACATGGGTCGAGACGATCGCATTCTGTCCGATCATGGGAGACAGGCTCGCTTCCCCTATCTAGATTCTCGCGTCGTTTCTTTTCTTCACTCTCTTCCCGTCTGGGTGAAGGCCGATTTCCGTCAGCCTCGTGGGATCGGAGAAAAGATGATCCTCAGACTCCTGGCTCATCGTTTGGGTCTTCACAGCACAGCTAGACTCCCCAAGAGAGCCATTCAGTTTGGCTCACGAATAGCAAAGTTAGAGGATCGAAAAGAGAAGGGTAGCGATGCTTGCCCTCGCTTATGATATTCTTTCCCTAATCCTCCCATACCACAATAAAGGCCATAAATAATATTATTTTTGGTGAGGGGAGAAAACCCTTTTCTGCCTCTCCTATTAAAATGCATGTTAAAATATGAAAGGGGCTGAGTTTGAGTGACTGAATGAAGTGATAAAAGTGTCTCATCTTGGGACTCTGCTGTCAAACAGCTCAATGGCAGTTTGTGTCTTCCACCTGGTTTTTTTTTTTAATATACTGGAAAAGGAGTCGGACGCAGTGAAGTAAACTTTAAAACGGCACTGCAAGTCTCACCTTTTCCTCTGGATCGGATGAGCGATGGCATCGATCCAGAGGAACAAGCGAGCTACTGCTTGGAGCAGTTGTTCCTCTGGATCATTTTCAAGTCTCCCATAAGCTCATCGAGGAACTCGCTTGTCCCGCGACGAAATAGTTCCAGTTTCCTAATTGTCGGCTTTGAAGGTATCGCATTCTAGTCTGAGTGAGGCTACGCAGAAGGACTTGTCTCCTTTCCGATTCCAAAATCCTCAAATTTCAAATGTACGTAAGTCACTCCGAAAGTTTGTAGTCTTTTCACCTGAAAATACAGACACGAGTTTAAGCCTATGCATTCGTTGAAGGTATCCTTGAGGTTGAGGGTACTCCTTGACTACTAGCGCAATTCTCATCCAGCCCTGCTTAAATTTAGTAGCATTGAAGCACTTTGAGTAAAATCAGGCTTTCCATGGCTGAACTGACCCGTCATCACCTTCGCACCATCATTTTTTACAACTTGGAAGAGAAACTTGTCAGGCGGTGCTTGCCTCGATGAAGTGCAGGGGATATTATTAGACCGAGCCCCCTATTCAACTGGTACTGTCGCTTCAAGTGTGAGATAAATGGCTTGGAAGACGAGCCCTGATCTGGCCGCCCTCCGACGGCGGTGACACCGACAGAGAAAGGGTATGGAACCGCTTGTACGACCCCCCTGACCGAGCGGCAAAGCCAGATGTGGCTCGGCCGAAGAGACTCCCGAGCTGTCGAGACGCGACGTTCCCAGAGTGTGAGGAAGATGTACGCCGTCTTCTTGCGTTCATCCGGAGTGGTGAAGCTCGTGAAACCTCATGAACCCTGCACGGTCACGGCCAAACGGTACGCGACTGGCTTTCGGGAACTCGGCACGACACGGCTCAACACCGGACTCCGGCGCTTCCAGTTCCACAATGACGATGCACCTGTACGCACAGCTGCTGCTACTGTGACCTGCAAGAGGCTGGAGTGTATCCATCCTTATAATGCAACTTTTGGCTCATCCAAAACTTAATGGAAAGCCGATGGGGGGGGGGGAGTTTGACGATGAAATGCAACTGAAGCCATTTCGGCCATACCTAAAGAAGACTTCGCTACCCCATTTCAGAAGTGGTTCGAGCGGATGAGGAAGTGCATAGAGACCGAGGGGAAGTCCGAAAAAAAATTTCCAGTCCTTTTTCTCTTAGATTATAAACGAATTCCCAAGTTTAAAAACTTTTGGAATGACCGTGAACGTCACGCGTCAAAAAAGTTAACGTGCCGTAAAGATGGCTTCTTTCGGGTTATTTGAGATGACGAGTCGAGGGAAAGAGCAGGGAACCCATGGTGGGATGCCAAGCTCAAAGGAAAAGTAGCACGATTCCTCGAAGTGATGCGGGCAGAGCCCAAACAAGATGTCCAAGGCGTGAAGGATGGAGGTCACAAATGGTGGTTTTCCTGGAGTCGAGAGTCGCAGAGCTAGCTCGAGAGTGCTCGAATCCTCGTGATTAGAGGAACAACGGCCTATCTAAAGGATGGGTGAGCCCTCCAAGATTAAGCATACGACGTATATACAAGTAGAAATTCCCGGACTCGGCATTCAAAAAAGCCGGGCGTATCCCAGAGCATTCTGCATCGAGTGAGTACTATGGACTCGCCGTGGCGGACACAGAAATCACATGCCTATCCAATCCCCCCCACAACTCTCCGTACTACATATCTTCTAAATTTTTCATTTTCTCCCATCAAACCTGGAGATTCGCTTCACGAACCTTACTCAAAATCACAAAAGCGGAAGGAACACAAAATATTTCATCAAAAGAAATGTAATTTTTAAGCATTTCCAAGCATATTCCGAACCTGGCCTCCCCGAGCCCATCCCCCTGCATTCACCCCCCTCGTATCCTTCACCATGTGCAACGCGGCTTTGATCTCGACACAGCATGCATGTACGATGTCATAGTCTCGGCTCAGTACCGCTAGGCAAATCGTATCATAAGAAGTGTAGGGGTAAGAAATTACGTTCTTGAACCCTCTCCCTCAGTCACGAATTATTTTACGTCCGTTTTCTTCGGTGCGTTTTGCTTGGAAACATTCATCGTCTCACGCATTATGAAATCAACCTCAAATTTCAATTTTTTTTCTCCATATCAGAGGTACTCGGACGATTAATAGGTTGCCATGGTTACCATCGAGTGGACTTTGCCTTAGTGCAATCCCTAATTTCGAGCCTAGTACCTCATGAAAGCATTATGATAATATAGTAATATGCGTTAAAAGTTTTTCTTCAATCTTCTTTCCTTCCTTCGTAATTCTTTTCGCTCATATTTCCTTAATGAAATCACCCGAAGATCAAAGCGAATGCAGAGGTCGTAGAGGCGGATCGTTGCCAGGCAGCGGTCGGTAGAGGTGCATCCGGGCATTACCCCGCGGGAAGTACGAACGATGAACTACCGCGGACCGCATTGCGGTTTCTACGTCCGAATCCACCTCTTGGCTTTCGAACGAAAGCGCGTGGTCGTTCGAGCATAACGAAGTTCTGCTAACGTTAAGGTTAGTGGCACCGTGTGCACTCAGGTGTGAGAGTAAATTTAGGAGGCTTTAGCCTAGCTTGCGGAATTTGTGACTGTGACGTAGCTCAGAGTTTGTATATAGTTAGACCTACTTTGTGTGAAATATTGTTGGAAATAAATTCAACTTGAGTGTTTGATGGGCATTCCAGGTAGGCCTATGATTTGGGCCTAAGAACATTCAAGACCAATGGGAGAGAGTCTGAAGTTGAAGATGGAATTTCATGAAGACAAGTCCACGCATTCCGAAGACCCAATTTCCGAAAAACCAGAAAGTACCTACCAAGCCCTTCCCCCTTCACTGGACGTAACTCGATTGCTGGCAGATGAGAGACTGCGTGCCGAGAAGTACAAATTGCTCTACCAGAATTTGAAATCTACTCAACTGAGGTGTGTAGATAGCCCTTCGCTCATCTCATCAACTTCATCTTGGTGCCTAACATTCGACATAATTGATGAATTTTCAGAATGGAAGGAGATCTGGAGGTTATTCGAGAGGAATTTCGCCAATTACAGCATGAGAAGGAAACAGCCGAACAGGAGCACAGGCGTGCCATGGAGATTGTGAAGGAACAGGTTGCGGCCAAGATCTCTCAATTGAAGGAGTTTGAAATGAAAGTCAGTATTACTTGTTGAATTTGATCTGTAAAATAGTGAAGTAGTTATCTGTCTTTTTTGCTTGGACATCCTCAAGAACCCTTTTGGTTGTTTTCAGGGTAATCTGCCAGGAGAAGACTGGAGAGCACCAGGGCATAAGCCTTGTGCTGAACTGCTGGAAAGAATTTCTGGTCTTGAGTTAAGAAATCTGCAGTTGGAGCAGAGATTGAAGATGGTCCTAGATGAGCAAGAGATGCTCGTGACACATCTGAAGCAGAAGGATTTGGAGGCTGAGAAACATCTTCAGGAGAGAACCCTCCGTTTCAAAGTCCAGGCAAGTCCATAGATTGACTGGTACTACTAATAGTATGCTTGGAATTCTGGCAATCTTGATTTGGCTTCACCGATAGTTCTCTTTTCCATGAGAGAATGCCCATGCCTGCATTATGGGACAAGACATGATGTATGTAATACTTTTTGACCACCTATACAATTGATCCCCACTCTTAGGTTTTTGTGGAGCCACCTAGAATAGTCCAAAATTGGACTTTCAAGATGATAGCTGCATGAAATGGAGGCACTATGGCTGATGCTGCTGTTCAGAACCCCTTAGTATTTACATTATTTTCTATGGGGAATGGAGTTGAGAATGCCCATTTTGTTGCAACAGTAAGGCTATCAATGTTGACAGCAATGCATCATTGCTGATTGCTGTCTCTGTATCCTCCCTCTTCACATTTCAAGGCTCAGACTAATGTTTCACCAGCTCTTTTGGGTTTTCACTTAACCCAAATTAACCAACCTCAGAGAAGTGATAACCACAGACCAAGTAAACAGCATGCCTTTTATGGTTTGACCAAAATACCTATTTGGTCTATTATGTTGGATTAGAAAACAATCATGGCCTTTGGCTGCAACCCTTTGTTAACCCAGCTGACCTATAATTCCTCAAAAAGGAATTCCCATTCCCAAAAAATAATTCCCATTCTTTGGCATTTGACACCGAACTGGCAGGAAAATCATCGGGTTCCACCAACCATGCCATTGTGATGATGGGTCATGCCAGAATGACAAAGGCTAGACCAGAAAGGCATAAGAAACCCAACTCATACTCATTCAACTCAAGTTGGTCAGAGGACCAACCTAAGTACAGTAACTATGTCTGGGAATGCACTGGGATATACCTGGGTGGGGCATGTGACATGACCAATCCCAACTGCCAATGCTTATAACTTCTGATGAATTTGCAATGTTTACTGGGTGAAATGATGTACATGCACCATTAAGAAAAATTTGGTTATAGTTTATCTATATTGATATACACATGGCTCTTATGTTCACCTTGCCCATGGGTGTGAGGGCCAATTTGTAAAGTTAAACTGATCCAGATTTCCTCTGTTTTGTTAGGAATGACTTTTTCATCATGACCCTGTATATCCTCTGTTTGCCTCCCTGGTTACACATGTGAGACTAAAAACTTCATTTGGAGTGCCAGATTGCTTATCTTATCTCTTTTAAGTGCTTCTCTTGAAACTTTTTTCCCATCCCCCCTTGAGACATTTCAGGATGTGCCCATCACCTACAAGTGCTTAGATGCTCTTGAGTAGGTATGTTTTGGCCTGGAGCCTGAAATATACAAGTGATTGTTTATTGATCTTATTTCAAAAGCTAGCATGAAGTCATCGGGTTCATTGAAAAGAAGCAGGGATGACTCATTTCCATCTTGAGAGAGTAACTTGTAACTATGAGAAGCACGTCCTGAAGCTGGATGTGGAAGACTGCTGCAGATGCTGTCATGGACCACCCGAAACAGCTCACCACCTCCTCAGTGCCTGCCCCAAACTAGCCCCAAGGGAGTGGTTGTGTAGGCACGGTCAGATGTGCAAATATGTACACTGGTGTGTCTGCAAGCAAGCTGGCCTAGATGTCCCAGGGAATTGGTACGAACACCAGCCACAGTCTGTAGTGGAGAACTCCTCCACCAAGGTGCTCTGGGACATGCCCATAATTACAGACTGCACCATAGGTTGTAGTAGGCCGGACCTCATGATCTATGAGAAGGAGAAGAAGACTGCTCTCCTCGTAGATGTGAGCATCCCAGCTGATAACCTCCAAGAGAAGACCAGGGAGAAGCTGGAGAGATACTCTGAACTGAAAGTGGAAGTAGAACGGTTGTGTGGAATGAAGGCCACCATTGTTCTGATCATCATCAGCACAACTGGCATTATCCTGAAAGACCTCAAGGGACATGTGAGGAAGCTGGAGTGTGAAATATCACTCAATATCCTCCAGCATACAGCAATCTTGGACACGGCCAAAATCCTCTGCCGTGTCCTTCAGAATTACATGAGTATGAGGTCTGGGATGTGGCTCATCNACCCTTTTGGTTGTTTTCAGGGTAATCTGCCAGGAGAAGACTGGAGAGCACCAGGGCATAAGCCTTGTGCTGAACTGCTGGAAAGAATTTCTGGTCTTGAGTTAAGAAATCTGCAGTTGGAGCAGAGATTGAAGATGGTCCTAGATGAGCAAGAGATGCTCGTGACACATCTGAAGCAGAAGGATTTGGAGGCTGAGAAACGTCTTCAGGAGAGAACCCTCCGTTTCAAAGTCCAGGCAAGTCCATTGATTGACTGGTACTACTAATAGTATGCTTGGAATTCTGGCAATCTTGATTTGGCTTCACTGATAGTTCTCTTTTCCATGAGAGAATGCCCATGCCTGCATTATGGGACAAGACATGATGTAGGTAATACTTTTTGACCACCTATACAATTGATCCCCACTCTTAGGTTTTTGTGGAGCCACCTAGAATAGGCCAAAATTGGACTTTCAAGATGAGAGCTGCATGAAATGGAGGCACTATGGCTGATGCTGCTGTTCAGAACCCCTTAGTATTTACATTATTTTCTATGGGGAATGGAGTTGAGAATGCCCATTTTGTTGCAACAGTAAGGCTGTCAATGTTGACAGCAATGCATCATTACTGTCTCTGTATTCTCCCTCTTCACATCTCAAGGCTCAGACTAATGTTTCACCAGCTCTTTTGGGTTTTCACTTAACCCAAATTAACCAACCTCAGAGAAGTGATAACCACAGACCAAGTAAACAGCATGCCTTTTATGGTTGGACCAAAATACCTATTTGGGGGAATGTTGGATTAGAAAACATGGCCTTTGGCTGCAACCCTTTCTTAACCCAACTGACCTATAATTCCTCAAAAAAGGAAACTTTCCCACTCTTTGGCATTTGACACCGAACTGGCAGGAAAATCATCGGGTTCCACCAACCATGCCATTGTGATGATGGGTCATGCCAGAATGACAAATGCTAGACCAGAAGGGCATAAGAAACCCAACTCATACTCATTCAACTCAAGTTGGTCAGAGGACCAACCCAAGAACAGTAACTATGTCTGGGAATGCACTGGGATATGAAGGTGTGCTAGCAGGACCTGGGTGGGGCATGTGACATGACCAATCCCAACTGCCAATGCTTATAACTTCTGATGAATTTGCAATGTTTACTGGGTGAAATGATGTACATGCACCATTAAGAAAAATTGGGTTATAGTTTATCTATATTGATATACACATTGCTCTTATGCTCACCTTGCCCATGGGTGTGAGGGCCAATTTGTAAAGTTAAACTGATCCAGATTTCCTCTGTTTTGTTAGGAATGACTTTTTCATCATGACCCTGTATATCCTCTGTTTGCCTCCCTGGTTACACATGTGAGACTAAAAACTTCATTTGGAGTGCCAGATTGCTTATCTTATCTCTTTTAAGTGCTTCTCTTGAAACTTTTTTCCCATCCCCCCTTGAGACATTTCAGGATGTGCCCATCACCTACAAGTGCTTAGATGCTCTTGAGTAGGTATATTTTGGCCTGGAACCTGAAATATACAAGTGATTGTTTATTGACCTTATTTCAAAAGCCAGCATGAAGTTATCAGGTTCATTGAAAAGAAGCAGGGACGACTCATTTCCATCTTGAGAGAATAACTTGTAACTATGAGAAGCACATCCTGAAGCTGGATGCGGAAGACTGCTGCAGATGCTGTCATGGACCACCCAAAACGGCTCACCACCTCCTCAGTGCCTGCCCCAAACTAGCCCCAAGGGAGTGGTTGTGCAGGCACGGTCAGATGTGCAAATATGTACACTGGTGTGTCTGCAAGCAAGCTGGCCTAGATGTCCCAGGGAATTGGTACGAACACCAGCCACAGTCTGTAGTGGAGAACTCCTCCACCAAGGTACTCTGGGACATGCCCATAATTACAGACTGCACCATAGGTTGTAGTAGGCCGGACCTCATGATCTATGAGAAGGAGAAGAAGACTGCTCTCCTCGTAGATGTGAGCATCCCAGCTGATAACCTCCAAGAGAAGACCAGGGAGAAGCTGGAGAGATACTCTGAACTGAAAGTGGAAGTAGAACGGTTGTGTGGAATGAAGGCCACCATTGTTCTGATCATCATCAGCACAACTGGCATTATCCTGAAAGACCTCAAGGGACATGTGAGGAAGCTGGAGTGTGAAATATCACTCAATATCCTCCAGCATACAGCAATCTTGGACACGGCCAAAATCCTCTGCCGTGTCCTTCAGAATTACATGAGTATGAGGTCTGGGATGTGGCTCATCCCCCCTCATACCTCCAATACCGGCAGTCGCCGTGGAAGGATTTATTTTATGTATACTCTTATTTTGTATTAGTGGCAAAGCAGCTAGCACTGGAAGAGGTGAAAGATTAGAAGTGATATTCAAGGCATGCATTCAGTTCCAGCATTCATTTTGCAGCTCATCTTGAGGAAAGCTATAGATTTACTTGCATGAAAAGTGAATATGGTACATTCTAATCAAGAATGTTTTTGTTTCCCTTGGGAGACTGCTGACCACCCATTTTCTGGAGCTTTAAAATTTCTCATGCCTGTTGAATAGTTGTAGTCTTTTCAACATAAAGTTGAGTTCCCATTGCAGATGGAAAGGGAGAAGATGATGTGGGAAAAAGAGATGAAGGAGAAGGAAGAGGCATTGAAAGATTGCCAGACATCCCTGGAGCCATCACTGGAGGAAAATCGAAGCCTCCTTCAGCATCTGCGCACTTGCCAGGCTGAGAATGCAGAACTTCGGGCTCAGATTGCATTTGCTGCCGATCAGAAAGAAGCAGAAGATAGATTCATGCGTGGGCAAATCAGTCAGCTTCGCAAGAACCTTGATGCCCTTCAGGTACTTCAGGCCACATCAGAAATCCCTTATTCAAGAAGTAGTGTTTTCATGTCATCCCATGAGATTCTTGTGCTTTTTGTCAAATACTAGGCAGAAAAGCGAAACTTGGACAGGGAGCTCGAGATGATGCACCGCCGGGCTCAGCGGACAGAGGAGTCCCTGAGGGAAGCTGAAAAGGATGTCAGAGAGAAGAGACTTGAGCTCTCTCAGCTCCAGGTTCAATTAGAGACATTAAAAGATGAGAAAAAGCGGGCTAATTTCAAGTCAGAGTTTGAAATATCTCGTCTTAAAGCCAAGTATACATCCTTGAAAGAGAGCATGTCTTCTGATTTGGAAGGTCTGTTCCCTTTCCTCATTCAGACCTCACTGATTTCTTCACTTCTAGTGATTTACATGCTTTGAATGATCCTGTGTTCAAATTCAGGCCTTCAGGAAGACCTGGAGAGGAGAGAGGGGAAGATTGGTGAGCTAGAAGCACTACTGATTGCACGAGATGCTGAGATAGAGTCTCGGAACCAGGAGCTCCTTGCAAAGTGTAATGAGCTGAGTCTGCACATTGACTGCCTTGATCTCCGTGATCGGCTTCAGGTCACCTTTTGGTCCTTCCTTGGCCCTTATCTCTAGCTGCAGGAGGTGCTCAGTTTCCCTTTGATAATTTTAAATAGAAATCCCAGGAGTTGGTTAAGCAGATGGAAAATAAGAAAGAAGAGCTGGAGAAAGTAATGGAGGAAATTGAGAAATGGAGGAAGAGAGATGAAGAATGGAAAGAGGAGAAGGGACGCCTTGTACAACGGATTTCTGAGTTGGAGGCATCTCTGACATCCGCGACTGAAAATCATTCACAGGAAACAAAGCAGCTTAGTCAGGCAAGAAGCATGCCATTTGTTTCATTTTTCTTTTGTTATTTTGTGGAGTCAGTTATTGAGATATCTATATGTTTTGGTGCATGCAGGAAGCAAGCACACTGAAAGAAGAGGTAAAGAGACTGAAGAAACTACAGAAAAGGTTAAAGGAGCCTGGATTGGATATGGGATTGGCTCATCTTCGCCTTCAACTTGGATCTCTACAACGCCTCGAGGATCTCTTCAATTCAGCTTCTGTACCTCATCGGGTTTGTGTTGAGCTTTTTGAGTCCTGATCCACATTTGACTACCTGCCTCTGGTTTTGTTACGGGGATAAAGGGTTTGAGTGTGTTGAAAAGTATGAAATGGTTCTGTTTCCAGGGGAAGGAGGAGTTGGAAGCAGAAGTGGAGAAGCTTCATAACAGACTAGATACCCTCTTGAGTCTGCATTCCAAAGATCCAGTTCCTTGAGTCCATTTTTCTTGGTTTTCCACTCTTTCTCCCTCTTGAGTTTCTTCTCTGTGGCCTGCACTTCAACCCAAGGCCAGAGAGATAAGATTCCTGGACTGTTGGAATGGGAGAGAAGATTGGAGATAAGGAAATCTCTGTTCACAAGAGGAAGTCCCCTCTTCACCTCTTACTCTCAGGAGGAGAATGGTTCCATGAACCCCATATTTCCTTCACCTGATCTGCTCATAGTTTTTTAAATCTCATCAACATGGGTTTTTTATACAATCTCCTCCTCATTTTTGTTGGGGTGATCTTGTACCATGTCTTCAAACGGAACCCTCGACCAATCTTTGGTGTCTACCAGAGGCCAGGGAAGTGGTTCTATGTGAAAGTCCTTCTCTTCCGTTTCCTCCTATGGCTACGAAAGGTCAGTACTGGTGCTGCAGAGGGTCTACAGTGTTTTGAACATTTTCGTGTTCTTACTCGACACATCTACATCCGATGCCTGCCAGCAGAACCGTAACAAGAAGGAATGTGGAGATGCTGTTGGCTATGGAGTGAAGTCTAAATCCAGTCCAGAGCTGATGGATTGCCTACAACCACTCTCTAATCACCCCAAGGCCATCGATGCCGTGTATTTCAGCTCGGCCAATGAAGAGGGCTACTATATGGTGGGAGCTGCAGCTAGGCGTCCAAAGGGTGTCATCAATGGATTTCTCTATCTCAGGGTACCCTGGAATTTGCAGACTGCCCTCTCGTGCCTTTTATCCTGTCTTCGTACAGCAGTGCAAATAAATTTTTTTAGATTCCAGGCTTGGGGCTGCTGGAGAGCCCAAAACTTCCTGATACAACCCTGCACATCAACACAGAGGCAGGGGATGAGAAAGACCAATATGGTGCTGAGGGACTTCTTTTCACTTCCATTGAACCTATGAAGCGCTGGGGAATCCGTTATCAAGGACCCATGAAGTGAGTCTTGGCACACATGGAAAAGCCTCAAACCCCAAGGTTCATTTGAAAAGGCATGCATCCCTCATTTGCAGGCTTGGTGGGAAGGAAGTGGAGGTGGACTTGAAGGGAGAGTGGAGCAGCAAGCTGACTTATTTTGACTTTGACACAGACATGAGTCCCGGGGCATTGTCTCGGTCCATGGCCAGGGAACCTTGGTCTCGGGAATACTTCCAACGACTTAAAGAGTCTGTTGTTGCTTCTCTTTCACCCTTCCTCTCCTCCCAGTTGCAAGCAGTTTCCCTCAATTCTCTCAATTTTACTTATAGGGCACACCAAACCCACTATGAACAAATAGGACGAATTGAGGGGACTGTTCTTGTCAGTGGCAAGGAGTACACATTGCATCTGGACTCAATGAGGGATCATAGTTATGGTATGTGGAGTTCCCTTTCTCTTTCCAGCTTTTATATCAGTCATTAACCCTTTGAGGAGTGGGTTTTTTTTATGCCTAGATCACCCGTAGTGAATACATGGAGGGCAGGAGGATGTCAGTCCGTATATACAAGGGCATACTCGTCAAAGGGTTAAAGGTGATTCTTTCCTTTGCAGCTGAGAAACGGGAGTGGTCCTATTTGCATCGCTATGGCTTTCACACATTTTATCTTGAAGATGGGACAAAGGGCAACGTGGGGATTGTCTCTCAACCTGTCACCTGTTCTGTGTGAGCTCTCTTTGCAGTTATTTGCATCAAGTTATGATGGGTTTTGCTTGCAGTCATAGACGTGTCTCTCTCCGTGTGGTAGACTGGAGTTGGGCTATATTTACACCCGTGAAGGAAAGTTGGTACCGGTGGATTCTGTCGACTTACCTCTATGGCAACATGGAGAAGGTGGGACTCCTCCTAATGATTACGCCTTCATCTTCTTTGCAGGTGAGCCCTCAGCCATTTGTTCATTGTTCCCTCCAATTCAGGGGTTGCACTAGGACTCTTGCCTTGGCTCCTGCCCATACACCCTGGGGGTCCTGGGACCCCCAGGACACATAGGCAGAAGGCCCAAGACTGCTGGATTGATTATCATACTGCTTAGTTATGTTAAGTTGGCAAATACACATGGATTGCTGGACTTTTCCTTTTGGGGAACCCTTCAAGATTCCCTTGTGTTTCACTTGGAAAGTAATCCCCTTAATTATCAGGGGACCCCTACGGCAAGAAACCTAGCGCAACCCCTGCAATTGATCCAATCCTCCAAGAGGATGTCATTGAAATGTGTTGTTCACTTCTTAGGAGGGATGAGGTATGAGATGCAAGTGAAGGTGATCGAAGCCCCAGAATTCTTCATTGCGGCAGAGAGGGAAGCTCGAGTTGTGGAACGCATGGCCACGTTCACCTGCAATGGTCTCCAGGGGTGGGGGGTAGCAGAGTGGGAATATCGCAACAAGTCCAAAAAGGACCTGGTGTAAGACTGGAGAAGAGCTAGTGCCGTGCATTGTGCTTATAGTATCAAATTAGTGGGAGAAGCAAATCCTGTGATTTGACACCATGAAAGCAAAGTGACATTTTTTATGGTCTCTTCTGCAGAGAACAGGTATTTGTCACTTTCTCTGCTTTCTGTAAATTTCAGTGCTGCATGTATTGAATTTGTGGTGTTCATCCAATCCCAGAAAGTATCAATTTTATCCAGAGAGCAGATATAAGGTTTCATTCCTCGTTCTTAAGCATATGTCCCCTCCCCAAACAGGTTTGAGATAGGTACAAGGTAGGGCCCTTTTCATAGCATATAAGAATTGGACAGTATGATCCCATTAAGGGCTCACAGTATCTGATCCTTTCTGGGACTGGACAAAGTATTCATCCTTGGCTGGTCTCCAATAACTTCCACCTTCAAAGTGACTGAAAATTGCATTTATTGCAAAGTACAGGGATATTTTTTTCTGGAAAAAGAGGACTAAAATAAGGGTAGGATGGAAAGAGTATGCATGACTTTTGTCACTCAGGGAAAGAGATGCATCACCATTGGTCATCCAGCATATATAAACCCACTTGGGTACAGAATAAAAAAAAAGTTGCTATACCAAAAAATACATCTTGATCACACGCCTCATCTGGTTCTACAGAGAAAGTTGTCCTGAACACAATACCGATGGGGACAACCAAGACCACCATCGTCTAACTTGCTCACAGGGCCCAACCATGTAATTTGTCATGTATCACCAACAACTTTTCTCACCAGGATATAGAAATAAAACCCTAAGAGTGTTCAACTCAAACGTGAGTACACCAGGATCACAGGGGATAAAAACAATCACAGGTTTGATGTCTTTTTACAATCTCAAAAATCAAACTTTCCTCACCTGAGTTATAAGAACTCTAGCATGCAAAAACTTAAAACTAAAGTTGGAAAGATAAAAGGGAAAAGAGAAACTCCATGCTTTGGAAAGGCTGGCTTCGATGAACACACCCGTGTCGTGGACTAGCACCAATTACCGTAGATGCCCTTAATAAGATTCTAAGATGGGTGCAGACGACAGAAGAGGGCTCTGCTCTCTGCATCCTGTCGAATGTACTTCGAGATTCGATCGGGAGACTTGGGATCCACGTCGATGATCTTCACCTGGCAAGCATACCAGGATCCCGAAGCGTCTCGTACATACCCTCTCCCCTCCTTCACCCCCACATCGAAACCGTTTCTATCCCATGAAAAAAAGGTCAATTTCGTGGATCCGGTTTCCCTTCCACCGTAACCCGAGATAGAATCCCGAGGACGAACCTGGGCCCGCCGACCGGGGCAAAGGTGAGAAAGAGAGAGCAGTCGTTGGCTGTGGCCGAGATCTGAAAGCGTTGGATCTCCCGAAAGGCCTCTAGATGCTCGTCGGCATCATCCGGTCCGGGAGGTAGCCCCTTTACCACGGAGCTCCACAGCGGATGCGAAAACGGTCCGTGAAGCAACTTCACCAGGTCCTCCCGACGATCCCTCAGCTCCTGATACTTGAGCAGCAGATCCTCGATGGGGACCGGAGGCACCAGGGACTGCATCCTCAGCACCGTGCTCAGCAGACAGTCCGGCGGGAGCACGTGGGACGGGGCCGTCCCCCCGCCCGCCTTCGCCTCCATCTCCAGGAACCTCTTCTTCGCCTTGGGGTCGAGGATCTTCCAGGCGTGGCACGTGGACGGCCCGCAGCAGGGACCTTCTCCGTTTCCCACGTTCACTTGGTAGAACCGGTGCCACGTCGAGGAAAGGAGCAGTGCCTGGGTGACCAACGTCCCGAAGTTCTCCATCTGTCTACCGTGGAACAAAGCGAAAATGTCAACTATCTCCCTAATTTCGATCGACTTCCATACGGGGTGTCCAGAAAAAACCTCAGGTTTCGAAGTGGCACGACGCAGGTATTTAGTATTCCACGCAACACACAGGTGGTTGTTCAGAGTGTGTCACGGCTGAAAAGACGAGTCAAAACAACACACACCCCCTCATCGGCCCCGATCGTGTCGACGTTCCACCTCTTTCATCCACAGTTGCTCTTCCACGACACAGGAAATAACTTCATCGATCGTTGCTTTCGAGCCATCCGAATTTATCGTTTTCCTGCAGTAAATATTTTTCTTTAAAGAAAAATATATCCGTCTTTACAATTTCTCGTAGAAAGGAATCGAGTGACGTGATATCACGTGACCGATCCATCGGCAAATGGCAGACATGAATCACTCTGATGGCCGCTCGCTTACGTGGTCTCGTGTCGTTCCATCTCTTCATTTGAGGAATTGCCAAGTCTACCTATCCGCCACCCCCCCCCCCCCCCCATTAAAAAAAATTAAATAAATACATCGAATGACGTTATTTCCTTTTATCACCAGTTCAATATTTGGATAAGGTGGGTGTATCTGGAAACGTCAGCTCGACCATGCCAGATTTCGAACATCCGCATGCAACCGTGTCACGGCACTTCCAAGCCCCCGAGGTTTTCTCTGGCCACCCCGGACGAGAGGGCTAACCCAGAAACGAGAGAACACCATCTTTCATCCGAACGGTGTCCAATTCGGGCGATTCCCACTTTCACCCGTCCAGCCCTTAATGTTACTTGCCAAAAGAGCAACTACGCTTAACCCAACTAACAGGCATGTCCCAACCCCCAACATGAACTCCGATGCGGTACCTTGCCTTGCATCACCGGGAAGGGAAACCGTCAACGAGTTGCGGTTCGCCGTCGCTCCTTCGCCGTCCGTTTCCGGCTCGTTCCACCCCGACCGTTTCCACACTCTTCGTTAGGCTACCGCGACCCACCTGCCCTCGATCGTTTCTTGCGCATCTAAACGTGGCTTCGTCTACCAAAATAGTCATTTCCCTACGATTAAAAAAAATGAATCGGCCGGCAATCGGGCGAACTCGAAAGTCACCTAGAGAAAAAAAAAATTTGAGCAACGACCGAGGGACCTCTCGAGGTAATGGTACGATCGTTTCCTCGGCAAACGAGAAACAAAGAATACGGTGTCTTTCGCCTAGCCCTTCCTTTCGATAAAGCTTCGTTGCACAACCTAGACAGGGACAAAAAAAAAATACAGAACAATAATTCCGGCACACTGCAGGTGAAAGTGGCCTCCCCTCACTGCGTGAGTTTCAAACTTTCTTTTTTTTTTACCATTTCACAATTTGAAAACTACTTCCACGGAGATTACAGGCTAAATGAACCGATCCGAACGGCGGATTCCTCCAGCACGTCGGGTCACGACTTAAAAAAAAAACGCCCCCGGGGGCGGGCTTGGTCCCCCCCCCCCCCCCTCCCCCTCCCCCTCCCCCTTCCCCCCAAATTACAAATGCAACCAGCCCGACCTATTCCTTGCCATCCTCCCCCTTCCCGTCCGGGAAAGTTTGCGGTTAACCCCCCTTCACCCTTCAGGGCTCCCCTTGACCCTTCTGCCCCCAGACCATCCCTGGAATGAGTTTCTGGCAGGGCTGCACCCCTGCTTCCTCTTCGTTTGAATATCCCAGAGGCGTCGCCGACCGGTACGAATGACCTCCCCCGAATAAGGAAACCGCATCTGGAATCGCCGCCATCCCCCAACGCCTCACGATCTGGCCGTCTTCCCAGTTCTGCATCGGATATCCTCGCGAAAGGCGCAACCGACCGACGTCGCCCTCTGGAAGTCCGAGCCCGTAAAAACGTTCCCCCCGCCCGGCGACCGTTTTCCTCCTCGCGAGCGGCGCACGGTCCTTCGGCGGGAATCGAGGGTAAACGATTTCACCTCTCTCTCTTCGTTTACGTCCCAGAAACACGAGTAAAGCCCGAACGAACCCCACGACTCGACGGAAGAGAAAAATCCATCGCGCGAGAATGCCTTCGTGCTCCGCCGACTCCGATCCCGACGCGTGAAGGTCAGCCCTCACGATCCCGTTCCCGTTCTTCCGGTCGACGAATCCGGCCCGAAACGCGTCACGAAACCCCGGTCGGCCTTCGCATCGAGAAGCGAGTCGACCGCGATGAAGATGCCCTTTCTCGGCTGCGGTTCCGTATTCCCCCCCATCGATGTCCTTGGCGGAGCAACGGGACTCGGCCCTTCGTGGCCCTCGCTGGTACCACCGCTCCCTCCCTCTCCCCCTCCCTCCCCCTTCACCCGCTTCACGCTCCCCTCACCTTCCCCTCGCCCGCATCTCTCACTTCCTTCTTTCTCTTCTCTTCTCCGACCCTCCGGGCCTCTCGCGGACTCACTCGTGAGACGAGGAAGCCGAAGGGAACCAGGCTGCCAGGACCTCCTTCGAAGGCAACGACCGGTGTCGTTCGTCGCCGTATATCGACTTCCCGTCCTGTCCGGGAGAAAAAATAGAAAAACGCGTCGAACCGGTTCGCCTTTCGCACCGCCCCGTACCCCTTCGAGTCGCTCACTCGGAATATCTTCAGGTTGTTCTGCGGAGAGGAAAGGAGTCCGTAGACGGCCTCCTTCGTTCGCCACGGGCAACTGCGGGGACGAACGGGCGATCGACTCGGTGAGTCGGGTCCTCGCCCGAGACCATCGATTTAAAACAAAAAAAAGAGGAACGCATACCCGGAGAAGAGATCGAACGGACAGTAAGGCGACATGTACTCCAGCTTCTTCTTCCTCATCTGAAACGAACAAAAAACGAGTCGTCGAGCGAAACGGATCGACACCCGCGGGAGACGAAGCGAGACGGAAACGACGACCGTCTACCTTCATGTGCTGATGGAGACAGAAACGGCAGAGCGGTTCCTGCCAATCCGGGGGGAGAACCCCTTGCTTCGCTTTGATTTCCACGCACCACGACGGACCCGAGGACGGTCTCGAACCCATGAAAGCGCAGTCGTCGGCCAGAATCCCGTACACGTTCCCCGGGATCAACTCCTTCTCTCGTCGGCTTTCTACTGGAAAACGTCACGCCTCGTTACGAAAAATACGGGGGGGGGAAAGCGAGGACCTCGCAAGGCCCGGTGAAGGCCTCGAGCCGGACCTGGACGCAAGGCCCGGACGCTCAGCCGGAGGTGTTCCGCGTCGCGAGGGGAGAGGGCCACCAGCTGCGGGAGGATGAGGTGCTCTCGTCCGAGGATCCTCTGGACCACGTGCAACGAGTAGTCCAGTTGCTCCAGGAGTACTTCCTTGTTCCGGGCGAGGAGGGAGTCCTTGCACGTCCGCTTCGCCGCGCCCGTCTTCCAGAGGCGGAGGACTTGCTTTCTCTGGAACGGGGGGGGCACGGTCACGGTTCCACTTTTACCATTTATCTTTCATCGGGTCGAACTGGTTAACATTTTACCCCGTTTTGCAACGGACTGCCGTTACGAGCCATTAAGATCTCGACGGCGTGATATATTTATCGGCCCGACGGTTCGAGGAGTTACGCCCTAATAAAGGCGCCTGCGACCCGATCGGCAAGTGCAGGTTTGGTTTTCGGAGTCGCAACGGTGAAAAACTACATCTTTGGGACATTTTCGTGCGCTCACGCGAGAGCTTCGAGATCGGTGCAAGCCGAAGATGAAACAGTCGAGAATAATTATTTCGATTAAAAAAAAATTCAAATCCTTCATATCCAATCCACAAGGTTCCACGGGCAACGAACCCACGAGAATCATCGGTGAAAATCACGAACACGCTTTGAAAGTCTTCCAGGCCCAGGTAAAGGCTTTTATTTTCTGGAAAAAAAAAAGCTCGACGAACTTTTTTTTCTCTCCGATTTCACGCTCCCGTTCATTTTTTGTCCGAAAGGGGGGGGAATCTTTCGGGAGTCTTCCGTTTCCGTCACCCC